ATGCGCCGAAACGTTTCGCGTGCGTGTCTCGTAATAACCTCATGGGACTTTACTATTGGTATTGTTCGTGACAACGCAAATTCACTCTTGGTCGTGTAGCTTTCGATTTATTAAAGAAAAAAAAAAAAAAAAAAATGAAAAAAGAAGATTATGATGGATTGAGGCGGATATGCGAACGCTCTCGTACAAAAGCACGCCCAGAGACACACTCACGCTCGAACGTGTATCTATAACATATATTGAGGCGTACATTGGGATGCAGCCTGTGGACTCATGCATCACGGGCCACAAAAAGTACAAGCGATCGTTCGCACGAGTCTATAAAAGTGATATATCCAGTACGTGGATCACACATAATAGGGATAAACCAACACACCCAGTCAGTGTGCATATAAAAATAATAAATATATTCTGTAACGTCACGACGGCCTGCATAAGCTCGTTATAAATCCTTAATTATTTGTCAAGTATTTTTGATATTTTATAAACTTCAGGCCAGGTGGCTAACAATAATAATGACCAAATTGAGTTTGGATAACGCCAGGGATATTTTCGCGAAAATAGGACAGCTCGTGACACCAAAATTGTTTCATTTCTCACAGGAAGATTTTGCAAGTTAGAGGACTCACTGATTGGGTAGACTCCACACACATAGACTTGGGCAATTCAATTTTTACATAGGGGAAAAAGAATATTCATTTCTAAAACAGGATCAGGTATAGGATTTTATTTATTTTTTTTTAATGTACAAACAAATCAGAATTTAGTCGTGCTCTAGAAAATTATAACTGCTCGAGAACTTAGTTCGTTGAGTTGGTAAGTTAATTCTAAGATTTCCTGTGATTTTTGTCGCGCTTAAAGGAATAGAATCTTTATTTGTTATACAATTCTCTCACGTGTTCTTGCACAAATGCAGCTTGTTTAGGCGTAATGTTGATATTTATGTCGATGCACGTGGGGTGGACTGAGGAGTGCATTTTTAACGGGTCGGAATATTTCTTATTTTGCTCGCTCGTCGTCGCGCGACTAAGGCTTAATCTCGGGTTACACATTTTGTAGGATACCCTCGAAGCATAAGTATTCACTGGAATGAAAAGAGGAATGCAAGTGCAGTGCACGCCCAAAGTATCCGTGCGTGTGTGTGTGTGAGTGAGTGCGTCGGTGTGTGGCTGAGTGCACCGAGCCGAGAGCTGATGAAAAATGTCAGCTAACCTGGTTATATCGTGTGTGCAGATCCAAATACTTCCGACCCCTTCTCAACTCACCGAGCTTGCGTTTTTCTCCCTCGTAGCTTGCAATGACTGCGTGTTTGTGTGTATATAAACTCTTGTTTGTCCACTTCTCAACTTGAGTGTACATACATATCTTCACGCAGCGTCGCTCGCTACGTTTCCTGACTTTTTTGTTATCGCTGTACTTGTTTTTCTTGTTACTACTCTTAACTCTTGCTATGACTTTTGCTGTTGCTACAAGTGCTTCTAATAAATTTACTGTAATTCTTCCATAATGATGATTTTTCATCTTCTCAGTCCACCCTGGCAGAAGCAAGAATCGTCTCTCCTTCGTTCATTGATTTATTTGCTCGTCATCAAGGGTGTTTTTTTTGCAAATTTTGCGAGAGGAATGAGAAAAAAAGTTACAAGGTGATAGATTTCGAGTACAGTTTTTTTTTGTACTCACCTTTACCCTGAAGAAACATTGATATTTTACTGTATTCAAAATGAGGTACAATCATTTTGTATCATTCTAAATTTGTCATTGATATTCAATCACTGTCCAAATAATCAGTATTGTTGTTTACTATATCTTAAATTTTTAAGGATATATAAATATATGGGGACATTATTTTAGTGACACGGGTATTTCGCATGCAAGAAGTTGATCAAATAATAATATACAGTAAAGTCTTTAGGACAAAAATCTATCGCAGGTAAAAAAGTTAACATCGTTCTGTAACGAATGTTGAACTAGACTTACATGAAAAAATGCGGTGGATAATTAATTTTTATAGGGCAACAAAAAAGTTCATCTAAAAATATTGTTCTAATTAATTTTCTAATTCATAGCATTGCACATTTAACATGTACAAATACGATATAACGGGATAAAGCGATATACACGTAGAAAATTAAAGAAGAAAGATTTGATATCTGATAAAGATGAAGAGAAAAAAGCAACGCGTATGTAAGTAAAAGTTTTTGAGAAGCTGAGCGATATAATAATGATAACATGCGGCAAGCGAGTCAGTACAACTATTCACTGAAAAGCGGCATCGAAGTTGAGGGAAATCTTTCCTGTGAAAACAAAGAAACGTCCAATGGAAAATAATGAAAATCGTGAATGCAGCCACGCGCACTTATAAAACACACAGGAGGAAGGAAGGAAGGAGGCCAAAAAATACACACGCACACAACACTCAAACGAATGATTTCCCACTTGAGCTTCATGTATACTACCGAAAAGGTTCACGAAGCCATGAATGTTACTTTACAGTTCTACTCCTTCTTCAGGGTTTTTTTTGTCGTAGTATTTCCCTTCGCATCACTGGCAGATAAAGAGCTAGGGTACACACTGAGACAAAAACAACTCTTTTCACTGCTAGTCTCCCTCGGTCTCACCCCTTTTGCCATCATTTCTCGAGAACCCTTAAAGCACACATACACACGCACACACATAGACATTCTATGCGGTGGGACGAGACGTTTTTGTACTCCTCGCTCAGTTGCACTATACACACAGAAGAGTGTGTATGATGGAAACCATCACCAAGTCGCTCTTTGTTGTACACTCACACGTATAGACTTACACATAACTTCATTTATCCTGGTATATTTACTATTATCGTCTTTATGCTACATGCATTTATATACATGATTTATTTATCTTGACTCTGCGCCATAACGTCTCCGGATCTTGGGCAAAAGATTTACACGCAAAAGCGGCTGCTTTACATAGGTTAAATAAATAGAGCCTCGAAGTGACATATGAAAACCAAACGTTTGATAATGCGTGGACATTTGTTTGTTTTAATCAGTGCTATATTACTCAATAGTAAACGTGCATAGGTACGCAGAGGCGCGCCTAGTTGCGAGGAGTGTATGTTCACTCGTAAATAATCTTACCTATCGCGCGTCGAGCTGCACAGGTCTGTTTGTGTGTATCTTTGCGCGTGTATGTGTGCGAGTGTTTGTACTTTGACGACGGCGATGCATATTACACTCCAAGCTCGCTGCGTTGCGGTGTACATGCCGAGCGCATACGATGATTTATTGCGCGTTTGATAAGAGGGTCCGATATGCTTGAGCGCGAAGCTCTGGCAGAGACTCGATTAGCTTTTTCGTGAATGAGTAGGGACGTATGTTGATCTGTAGTAAATACCGTATCATATTTATAAATCATGTCAATTATGGCGAGTGTTGAAGAAAATCCACCTAAAATCAAATGTGTCCAGAAACCAAAGAACTGCAATATAGCATGATTCAATTATAAATTATCAGATACACGAGACAAAAAAGACAATTACCGTACTTACGCAGTGGGAAGGATATGAACTGAAACAAAAGAAAAAAGTAACAATAACTAGCTCAAATAAATATACATAGTCTCGACGTAATGTATACTCCATTGTAATGATAATATATACTCCATACATTGAATTGAAGGGAAAAAAATAACGGAGAAAACAACACACAGTAGTTAGTTGTAATGTAATCTCTTCTCTGTGGTGTGTATTGCATGCGTAATTATTATTGCCGATGCATGTTTTTATGGTGCTAACTTTTGACTTTTCTCCTACGTACATGTGCTGAGCTTGTGCATGCAGCTTCAAGTGGCTCACACGTATGTGTGTCGTGCGTATATCTCCGCGAATATTATGCCGCTTTAGAGTTTTGCTGAGCTTGCCAAAGAGCAATAGTTATATATCATATTCCAAGCTTTTATCGGTTGCACAGGTGTGCGCAAAAAAACCATCGACGAATGTAAAATCGTCTGGGAGCCGAGAGAAAGCTACCATCTGCTTCGTCGACGGAAAAACGTGAAAAAATTTCATATAACAGAACGATTCCTCTCCCTCTCTCTATTTCCTCTTACTTACGACTAGGAAACAGAGAGCGAGAACAGTCTAATAAAGCCATTTATTGGCCTGTGGAAATGCCTGACGCAAGCTGGACTCGTACTACTTCGAGTTAAGATATTTCACGTTTTTTTCGTTTACCTCGTGCAATGATACTCGGATGAATTTCTTTTCCATTACCAATTGAAGAGGTTGCTTTAAACGCCTCTTAGCATGTGCGGTATAGTACAACAAAAAGTAATTGTTCGAAGATTTAGCCGAATGACTTTTCAGTTAATTAAATGATTACAACATTTTAGAATACTTATTTACTTTTTCATCGCTATGAGTACACAAAACAGTTCGATTCGATTTATTACATTTTTTCTTTACTTTTATCTTGTAATTTTGTAATTTAATTTAATTAATTTAAACTTTTCATTCAAAATAATAACATAATCAAAGTTTCAATAATCACATCATTCTTTCTTTCTAAAATCATTAACATTCAATTACTGCTTAAAAAAGCACGGCTTTATTTTAATATATATTTTCAACGATGCTGCACTAATATATCTCGGATTATTCTCTTTTTACACAATGCATCTTAGAATTATCTTTTCATTATTCAACCACGCCCGTAGATTCAAGGAATTTCAAAGTTTATAGTTTAATGAAAATCATAGTTGAATAAATATTTCTACTTTTATAAAAAACGATGAAATTCTGTATTTTTAACGTCCGGTTTCAATAGATGACGATGATAGATTTTTTTGATTAATTAATTAAAAAAAACAATGACTTTTTGCCATGATTTTAGATTTAAAGGAATAATTTAAAAATAAAAATACAATAAATAAAAATGAGAAAGATTGAAATAAGTAGTGAAAATTCGACGCGAAATGAAATTACACAGTCGACTGACGATTTATTTGTATGCCCACAGGAATATTCTGTACAGTTGACATTCAGAGAACAATGGATTGACGAGAGACTCAAATTCGACGACGTCGGTGGTAAGGAAAAAAAAATTTCTTCATTTTTTATTTTTCAATCTTCGATGCTCGCGTGCTGCGCTCTAGATGTAATATTGTATGTGCAACGGCGCACAAGCTTCGCGCGGGAAATTCTCTAAGGGGAGGAGAGAAAATGCGGGGAATATTGAATTTCTTCGGAGCCGCTTCGAAGCTTTTACTCGGTAAGGGGAAAAATTCCTCCTTCTCTACGCATCAATACAACGAGTGATTTACATTTCGCGAGTACTCTAATAATCGAAGTATTGTTGTGAACTCGATAATTGCGAAAACTCCATTAGTCTGCCGATTGCGTATGCATTGGAGCAGTTTTTTTATTTATTTATGGGACGTTTACACGTTAATGCATTCATTTTATTGTGGTTTTTCATTGTGTTCGCAGGGAAACTAAAATATCTCACTCTCACCGATGCCAGTCGAGTCTGGATGCCCGATCTGTTTTTTGCCAACGAAAAGGAGGGCCATTTTCACAACATCATCATGCCCAACGTTTATATTAGAATATTTCCAGACGGATCGGTTCTCTACAGTATACGGTGAGCTACATTTTCCCTTTTAACAAGCCTCTCTGGAAAATGGATATTCCGTCAACATGATTTTTGTTTCGACAGAATTTCACTCACCTTATCGTGTCCAATGAATCTCAAACTCTATCCACTCGATCGTCAAATATGTTCTCTGAGAATGGCCAGCTGTGAGTACATAAAATAGTATATGTATACATGACCGATTCTCCGTGAAATAGAAAACTAAAAAAACTTATTTTTAGACTCTCGATCACCTTTTTGCAGGGACCCAAAGTAGGCTTGTTCCAAAATTTATAATTTCAGGGGAATTTTGATTTTTTGAGTAAACCATTTTACTTTGAACTTTATAAGCTTCAAGAAAAACATAAAAGTCGAAAACTGATCGAATTCATTTCCGCCTTCATTAATCAAAACTTCACGAAGTTTTCAAATCAAATCTTCTATCGATTGATTTTCATCAAATTTTTTAATCAAAATAAATTTTGTTCTTCTTTTGCGGATCTTACTTTTAAGTATTTAAGTTTCAATAGTTAGTGTTAAAATTCAAGTTACATTGCCTAGGTTTTCAAATGCATATGGCATATTGCATAAAAATAGGGTATAGATGAATAAACATGTATCATACACAATGATGAAAAATTGTAGAACATTAGTTCAAGCACGAAGATAAATAAAGTATGCAGTTTGACGTGCATGCCAGCACCGTCATACGCAACCTAAGTATCGGTATTATTGAAGTTAATACTCTCAATGTTGATTATGCTATGATTGTAAAAGTTAATATTAATTGTTGTTTTAGTGAAGCAGTTCCTCTCCAATAATAATTTCAGAATTTGAAAGGAAAATTAGGCACTTAACATAAAGTATAACTTGATTATGCCATTATAACCTCACTTTAGCACGTGAATGTTCCCTACTGTCGAGAGCCAGAAGCTCGATGGGGAAAATCACGCTACGGCGATTTTTGATTTATTGTATCATGTAAACAAAATGTAAAATCTTTACGACATTTTTCTATAATATTCTTGAAAGTATTGGGATAATTATTGTATGTTAATAAAAATAATTTATAAATCTTTCCAGACGTCAAAAAAATGATTTAAAATAAGACGTTTTAATGAATGTTTTTGTCTCGTTCAATCGAGGAAAGTCTGTTATGAATTTTCGAAAATGCACCTTTTTATATTACATGTATATCATTATTAAAAAAAAGGTCTAAGGAAAGCGTGTATAAAGTTTTAAATCTAATGGGTTATTCAAATAAAAGTTACAAACACAAAACCAAGGCCGCTTGAGATTACGGGTTTAAATGAAACGCATGTTAACGCTTTGGTTTTTCAAATAACTTTTGCTTAACGAAGCAAAATGACTTTAAACTTTACACGCGTCTTCCTTAGACCTTTTTGATTAATGTTATGGTGTAATAATTTCAATTTTCGAAAATTTATAACAAACTTTCCTCGATTGAATGAGACAAATACGTTCATTAAAACTTCTTATTTTTAATCATTTTTTTCAGACGTCTGAACAATTTTATATATTTTTATGAACGTACAATTATTACCTCAATACTTTCAAGAATATTATAGAAAAATTTCATAAAGATTGAATATTTAATTTACAAGGTAAGTTAAATTAAACATTACCACAGCGCGATTTGCCCATCGAGCGTTCGGCAATCGATACTATACTCCCGGTCATTGTAAAATTTACTATGACTTGGAGTAAAATCAACCGATAGTGTTTACTATGTGTTTTGGGTAAGTTTCATTGAGATTTGAGTAACTTCAAACGAATATTTTTCTCAGTTTAGACGCTCTTCAGCGTGAAAAAGATGACTTCTGGGTGAGTCATCCTCCTTACGCACTAGTTGTATACATTATTTATTAACATGTTATGCGTAAAACGTGGTTTTTGTGTCATTGAAGTTGTTTTCACTAGTAAGGCGTAGTGAGGGTGCAAAGACTCCTGGATGAGTCAACTGCTTCGCACACTTATTACTAATTATACTATTGTTATAATCTGATATGTATACAGTGTGTGGTGTGTGTGTTAGCCGCGAGAGGGCGCGCTACGCGAGCGCCGCACAGCGCGAAGCCTCGTGAAAAGTCGGAGCAGAGAGCAGATTGACTTGAACCTCGGAGTCGAACGTACGTTCGAAGGCTCCGAAGTGGTTCTGCTCGTTGGGTGTGCTTGGTAGGCACGTAAGCTGTTTTAAACAGAGTGTGGGAGAGCGAGACATCCTGACCACAACATTCATAAATAAACTCTACCTTTGTTTTATTAATTAAGTTAAATAAAAGTGTCTCATTTATTCGTGGCCCTCCCAACCCTATTTATTACACCTCAGAAGTGGGATTGAACTGGATGTGTGCACTGAAGCTGCTTTATGTACTGAAGCTGACCTGTGAACTGTGAAAAATAAAAACCGTGATGTTCGATGCTATTTGTGCAATCGTGAGTGGAAAATGAATGGTGACGAAACGCAAGAATCGTTGGAGGCCGCAAACGCATTGCTTGGCATAAGAAATAATCAGCAACAAAATCAAAGTGACACTAGAGACGCTCCAGACAACAGGATGGGGGAGGCAAATGATGTTATCGAGAGTTTCAACGCCTTGCTGCGACAAAACGCTCAGCTGATACAGATAATGACACGAAACCAACAGAATGCGAATACCATGCAATATAATGTTTTGCCTGATTTGTCTCACAATATCTCCAATTTCGACGGATTGAGTAGCTCAGCTGACGCAAAAGTTTGGATTAAACAACTAGAATCAACAGCTACCTTGCATCATTGGACCGAAGCGATTGCCTTTGAAACAGCTCGCAGCCATTTATCAGGCCCAGCACGGAATTGGTATTACGCAAATATTCGGACCATCAAAGATTGGGCTACGTTTAGGGCAGCGTTTACAAACACCTTCTTGGCCGAGAAAACGCTTACAGAAAAATGGCAAGATATGCAAAGGCGTAGTCAAGGACAGGACGAGGACGTACGTGTCTACTTTTTTGATAAGTTACGCCTGTGCAAGGCACTTGGATTTTCTGTTGAAGAAACGAAGACACAAATGGCCGTTGGATTATGGTCGAAGAACACGGCATCAGCTATTATGTCCAACTCTTACTTGGACGAAAACGATCTTCTCAGAGCCATCACCAATTTCGAGGGACTTGAAAACGCGCGCAAACAGCGCATCTCTGGGAAAAACGGAGCAGCTAGAAACACGAGCGACGATCATCGAAGGCAAGGCAAACATGTCAACAACGGGCAGATGCAGCGTAGCAGCGAGCCAGCGGAAGACAATTCCAAGAAGCACGGCAGCAACGGAGGCGAGAATGTAGCAGCTAGTGGTAGGTCTAGTAAAGGCGCTAAAAATTCGGCGAACGTAGAATGTTTTAAATGTCACGCTGTCGGACATTACGCGAAATATTGTAAAAGCGGAATTGTATGCTACAATTGTGGTGTGTCGGGACACATCTCGAGAGATTGCGACCAGCCAAAAAAATTGCAACAAGCTGAGTCAAAACTTGTGAGCACGACGCGCGGTGATAAGGCTGCCAAATTCTTTAAAAATGTAAACATAGGTAAAATTGATAAATTGCAAGCAGTCATCGATCCCGGCAGTACAGACTGCATAATTAAAGCCTCTATTGTTCTTGAACACGGGTTCACTTTTATAAAATCGCCGAATGTAATTAAAGGAATAGGTAAGCCTGGCAGCGAAGTAATATCAAACGGTGTTATCAAAGAAAATTTACAAGTCGACGAGTGCTTGGAGAAGGACGTGATATTTCGAGTGGCGCCAGACGACATTTTGCCTTATGACGTTTTAATCGGACAAAACTTTACTGAATTACCTAGCGTTGTTTATTTCAAAATTGATGATAAACTTGAATTTAGAAAGCGAGAAAATCACCCATTCGCAAACTATCCGGAGTTGTCCGAAAAGTCTGAAGTAGTTATACCATGCGTAGCTGAAACCACCGATATACCGCCAGCGAGTGTAAATTTCGTGCGTGTTCATGTTAACGGCGATGAGTGGAATTTGCCGGTTGAGAATTCCAGTGATCAAATAGTCACGGTACAGAAAAACGATGCGATGCCGAGCTTGAAGTGTAGCGAGATAGTAAACGTACCGGAGCTCGAGGTCGGTAGCGAACCAATTGTCGAGACTGATTTTACGGTAGGGCCAGCAGTAAGCGCCGAGCAGAAAACGTCACTGCTGAACTTATTGAATGCATATCGCGTGTGCTGTTCTAGGAATGATAAAGAGTTGGGCTGTACGGATTATATCGAGATGGACATAGTCGAAAAGATCGATGCAGTACCCGTGTATTCGAAGCCGTACAAGGCGAGCGCGAAACAACGCGAGACGATGAAAAATATTATCGGTGAATGGAAGGCGGCCGGCATCGTGACGGAGACACAGTCTCCGTACGCGAGTCCTTGCCTGTTGGTAGATAAAGCAGACGGTTCGCAGCGTCTCGTAGTAGATTACAGGCGTTTAAATAAAAATACGGTTAGAATGAATTTTCCTTTACCGAATGTCGATGACGGGCTAGAAGAGTTACACGGTGCGAAAATTTTTACTATTTTAGACCTCGCTCAGGGCTATTTGCAAATTCCACTTTCGGAGCGCGCCAAGGAAAAGACCGCGTTTATCACGCCTGACGATACCGGTCAGTTTGAGCGAGCGATGTTCGGATTAATGAATGCGCCATTTTATTTCTCTAAACTTATGAAGAAGGTATTCGGAAATTACCAAAACAAACTCGCGTTATTTTTCTTTGATGACATGTTAGTGTACGCGAAGTCGTGGCCGGAGTTACTTGAAAAGTTAGAGAAAATCCTCCAATTGCTTCGCGAGGCACGTTTGATGTTGAAATTACGCAAGTGCCGTTTCGGGCTTGATGAGGTCGAGTACGTAGGGCTAATTGTTGGCAAGGATGGTATAAAGCCGGGAGAGCGAAAAATCGTCGCAATTAATGATTTTCCGACTCCTCGCAATGAACACGAAATTCGTCGGTTTATAGGAATGTCGAGCTACTTTCGCCGATTCATACGAAACTTCGCGCAAATAGCAGCGCCGCTAAACGAACTATTGAGAAAAGATAATAAATTCTTTTGGGGCTCACGACAACAAGCAGCATTCGACGAAATTAAGTCAAAGCTCAGTTCAGGCCCTGTGCTGATTCCTTATAATCCTAAAGCTAGCCGAACGGAATTGCACACGGACGCGAGCGCAGAAGGATTAGGCGCGATGTTATTCCAGGCAAGCGCAGATGACGAATTACATCCCGTTTACGCGATAAGTCGCCGTACGACTGACGTGGAGCGCATGTACCATTCGACGAAACTTGAGCTCCTGTGTATTGTTTGGGCAATGGAAAGACTGCGACCGTTGTTGCTCGGAATTCCATTCACGGTTATCACTGATTGCGAAGCACTTGTTTATGTAAATTCTTTGAAAACTAAAAGACCCCAGATAGTACGTTGGTTAAGCGAAATAGCAGACTTCGAGTATGAAATTCGTCATAGGAAAGGCGAGCAAATGCGTCACGTTGATGCTTTATCGCGTGCACCGGTAGAATTGGCCGAGAGAGAATTGGAAGACGCACGAGTCTTAAATATTAATATACACGAGGGAGAGATTTTAATGTATCAGCATAAAGATGAAAATCTAAAACGTAAAATAGAAATTCTCAGAAAACCCATTAATGAACGATCGCGACGTGAAAATGGTGAAGTACTTGGATTCGTGCTACGTAATGGTATACTATACAAGGTTGACGATGACTCCGAGATTGAGCGATATGTTGTGCCAGCTGCCATGCGTAAGGCGGTCGTACTGAAAAATCACGACTTCTCTGGGCACTTTGGAGTCGACCGTACTGTTGCGAAAATTAAAAACTTTTATTATTTTCCTCGCATGCGTAGCTACATAAGACGACACATTGCCGCTTGCATTGAATGTTTGTTTGCTAAAAATAAAGTTGGAAGGCAAGCCGGAGAGTTGCATCCAATTAAGCCAGGAGATCGACCGTTTGAAATTGTACATCTCGATCACTTGGGACCATTCGTGTCCTCTTCACAGAAAAATAAATATATTTTAGCCGCGATTTGTAATATGACGAAATTCTGTCAGTTGTATGCAGTACGCAATGTAAAAGCTTCAACTACAGTACGGCAAATAGAAAAACTCATTGAACGATTCGGAGCGCCGAAAAGATTCATTACCGATCGAGGCACCGCGTTTACATCTGATTCGTTCGAAAAACTTTGTACTAAGCACGGTATCAAACATACCTTAAATAGCAGTAGACACGCGATGGCTAATGGACAGGTAGAGCGATTGAACCAAACGATTTTACCGGCGTTGCAAACGAGTTTAACAGATTCCGAAGGATTGTATTGGGATCGTAATTTAGCGAAGCTTGAAAATGATTTAAACACGTCGGTAAATAAGACTACAAATAAAACGCCGTTTGAAATGCTGTATGGTTATATTCCACGTTATGAAGAGGGATTGTCGCGCGAACTGTCCTGCGGGGCCGAAAAGTATAAGCTACCAGCGGATGTAAGAAAGGAGGCGATAAAAAGAATTGAATCGGAGCAATTGAAATTTAAAGCCAGGTACGACAAAGCTCGTTACACTAATGTAAAATACGATGTCGGTGATATTGTATTCATGAAGCAGAGTAAAACTGCTACGGGCGAGTCCACGAAATTACAAAACAATTTTAAAGGACCTCTTGTTATAACCGAGGTATTACCTGCTGACACTTATCGAGTCCAATACTTAGCTGCGAAAAATAATAAAAGAGCGACGACAAGTCATGTAAGCCAACTTAAAATATGGTCCGGACAAGCAAGCGAGAGCGACGAACATTGTTCTGATGGCAACGCGAGCGACGAGTCGGGTAGCGATGTTGAGGATTCCGTCGAGCAATGTTTAACAATCGAAGCAGCAGATCAAAGCGATGCGCTTGAAGACTCTAATTGTAATAAAAAATCAAAGCGAAATCGTCGCATTCCAAATAAGCTAAAAGATTACGTTATGTAAGACCAACTTAATTTTTTTTTCCTTCTTTTCAGCGTTTTATATTTACTCATTACTCATTATATGCTTGTAATTGTTTATTTTTGTACAACAACATATTGTAATTCATTTTTTTTGTCTTTTCTCTTGTTAATGCTTGTGGTCAAGCTCATGACTAGGATGGCCGAGTGTTATAATCTGATATGTATACAGTGTGTGGTGTGTGTGTTAGCCGCGAGAGGGCGCGCTACGCGAGCGCCGCACAGCGCGAAGCCTCGTGAAAAGTCGGAGCAGAGAGCAGATTGACTTGAACCTCGGAGTCGAACGTACGTTCGAAGGCTCCGAAGTGGTTCTGCTCGTTGGGTGTGCTTGGTAGGCACGTAAGCTGTTTTAAACAGAGTGTGGGAGAGCGAGACATCCTGACCACAACATTCATAAATAAACTCTACCTTTGTTTTATTAATTAAGTTAAATAAAAGTGTCTCATTTATTCGTGGCCCTCCCAACCCTATTTATTACACTATTTTTGTCATTTTCTGCTTATTTAGTTGTTCTAGACGTTTTTTATGACTCTTTTTGTTTAAAATTTCGTAAAGCGCTAAGACACTTTAAGATATTTATTGTCTGGCAGTTTAAATAATTACTATTAAAGAAGCTTCGTAGTATTTTTTGCAAAAATCATTCTGTGATTAGGAAGAAATTTTCTAGTTTTTAGAGATAACTTTGAATTAAGGAAATATAAGTCAACTTCGGGTCTGTGAATAAGAGTTATTATACTGGGTCCCACAAATTGTAGTAAAATTTGGACACATCTTGTCATAAAAATAATTATTTCTACTGGCATGAAAAATTCTTGTTTACCCACTTGAATTCACAGAGAATCGACCATTAATGTTAAAAAGAGAAAAGAATAAAATGAAAATGAGCACAAAAAATTGATATTGACGATGCTTGAATTCAGACGGATGGACAACGGCCGATCTAGTGTTCCTTTGGAAAGAAGGCGATCCAGTTCAAGTGGTTAAGAATCTACACCTACCTAGATTTACGCTTGAAAAATTCTTAACCGACTACTGCAACAGTAAGACCAACACCGGTGAGTGCGAATAAATGAGCAGGCTTCTCGTTTTATTTCAACCTTGTGAGCGTCCAGCTCTAAATGAGCATGTTTTGTACTCACACACATACACCTTTACAGGCGAGTACAGCTGTCTGAAGGTGGATCTGCTCTTCAAAAGAGAATTTTCGTACTATCTCATCCAGATTTACATACCCTGCTGTATGTTAGTCATCGTCTCTTGGGTATCCTTCTGGCTGGATCAAAGCGCCGTACCTGCTCGGGTGTCCTTAGGTGAGTGAACATAGCAAGCAACAGCAGCACACGCCGACTACCGCCGACTTTTTCGCATTCGTCATTTATACGCGCAGACATGTACAGACGACTTATCAAAGGATCAAAAGCGTTTCTAACTTTGAATTTGTCGAATTCTCCCGGTTTTGCTCGAAATTATTGAGCAATTCTACTTTGCATTGCGCAATATTAGTCGGATTATTATAAAGCAATAAAGTCCGGCGTTACATCGTAATTAAGTGAATAAACTTTGCATATATCGTTGGCGGACGAGCGTGAAAATAATTATTGAATATGTGCTCGCTCGCACTAGCAGAAAGAGCTGGAAAGCTGAAAAAAAAGCCGACCCAAGCCAGCAAAGTTGACGCGCAAATGCAAATTCTCGGGGCACGCGTATATGAGTTTCATAAACGCAAACGTGAAAAAGAGAAAGAATATATTTTCTGTTACCGCCTATGCAACGGCAGGATTATAGAAAAAGCCTCTCACTCTCTTTTGCTTTGAAATTATTTTTAAATTGCGTATGCATTATGTTAGCGAGTACTAGCTGCGTGTCCGTCGCATATTCGCATCGAGCAGTTTTGCCTGAATTTTATTTACCACGCACTCGTGCACTTGCACAGCCCATAGAGCCGCTCCAGATTAAAGCAAAGTTGGGCATAGACACTAATAAATTTTTGTGCTTGCAGGAGTAACCACTCTGCTGACAATGGCCACTCAAACGTCGGGCATAAATGCCTCGCTACCACCGGTCAGTTACACCAAAGCCATCGACGTCTGGACGGGCGTCTGTCTGACCTTCGTGTTCGGGGCCCTTCTCGAATTCGCCCTGGTCAATTACGCCTCGCGCAGCGACATACATCGCGAGAACATGAAGAAGAAGTATGCCGAGATGGAGCATTCGACGTCCGTCGACCCAAACGCCGAGCCCTACGATCCAGACGCTGCAGCCAATTTTGCCATGGTCAGTGTTCTTCTTAGCTCTTTATTTACACTTATTATTACACTGATATAATGAACTATCTGCACCACTTTTATCTTTATATACGATTTAGTAGCGCCCTGATGTTCGATGTCTAGCGGAGTCGAGAGCCTCGACCTACCATCGCGTGTGGGCCAATTGTCTATCAGTAATTTCTCACATTATTTTCTCATTTGCACTTTTTTCGAAGAATCGATATTTTTTAAATTAATAAAGTAAAATTTTGTGAGGCTTTACCAACAAAAATAAAAGACAATTCAATCATTTTAATCGCACTGTATCATTAGCAAAATTCTTAGCTCCTTTCATTTTCAAATAGAAAGCACTTTATAATCAATAAAATGCATGCTTTTTCAACTTTCAATAAGAAAATTTCCTTTTCAATAGTTTGGCATTTATAGTGCATATCTATAAATCATACTTCATTGAATTTTTGAATCAGAGAGTTTGAAAAAATCCTTGCATTAACTAGAATTTTCGAATAAACTTGATTACCCAACTTTCTTCTTCTTCTTTTTTTTTTTTTTTTTTTTAAGCCGAAGAAAATGCCAAAGAGTCAAAATTGTCTTTATTCTTATGCAGCAGATGAGAAGTATTAAACTTTTTTCGAGATCTAAAATTCATCTGCTTTCGATTGTGCTGATTTCTTTGAGATACGTTTTCTTTGGCGGATATTCTCATCGATGCACTTCGAGTAATGAAAAAAATTTGTAGCTCGCACTCTCGAAACAATTTCTCAGATCGATCTTCGAAGTGTGTCGATGTTACACGTGGCTGAATGAATTCAAACTTGTCCGCAGCTACGTGTACAATCATTTACTATTTGAAAAATAGACGGTACGCAGTGTGAGGCTCTCGGCCCATTATATCATCGCGGCACAATCTCCAATACCCGTCGGGTCGGCTGTGATACGTCCTTCGCAAACTTTCGAACAATTCATGCTTACAAATCACATTCAGATATTTGTCAAGCATCAAAGTCGTAAACTATTGAAAAAAACGTAAAAATTGCCACACGGTAACAGTCGAGTCGAAGGTGTGTTTGGAGGACGCTACCAGTAATAACAAACGATTGTCAAATTTCAAAATAAAAATGTAATATTGCATTAATTAATGAAAGTAAAACTCAATTGTTTTTTCTTGTTTTTTTCTTGGTACGTGTTTCTCTGTCCTGTACAATTGTCGCTCGCATCAAAATAAAAAAAACCTGTGTGTCGACAACGTGTGTTGTGCCACGTGTGATACAATGCCCGCCATGCCACCACCACCAACCACTACCTTTTCAAAAAAAAAAAAAAAAAAAAAANAAAACGAAAAAAAAAAAAAAAAAAAAAAAAAATCAATAATAATAAAAAAAATCATACACCACCACCGGCCACGATCGGTATCATCATCTTCATCATCTTCTTCACCACCTCGCGTGCGTACTACTACTTCTACTACTACTGCTTGATGTGTTGGTGTGATGCTAAATATAATAATCAATCACACCGATAAATTACGCACACTGCGTGTGTGGTACCTGTACCTCGCACTTGTTATGGCTCGATGGGACTGAAAAAATGAATCGAAAAAAAAAACGAAAAAAAAATCGAACCACATAATACGAACGTACATACGATATGTTGAATGTTGCTTGATGAAATCGAGTAGAACTTGCCACCACTGACACCAGATTGGAAATCAAAGGCAGCACATTTCTTCCAGAAGCCTCTGGTACGTGCGGCCGATTCGGACAACGTCATGTCGATGGAGAAGATGAGGCAGTGCGAGATACACCAGGCACCGCCGAAAAAAAACTGCTGCAGGTCGTGGCTGTCCAAGTTCCCGACGAGATCCAAGCGCATCGACGTCATCGCGCGGATAATATTCCCCCTCGTGTTCGCCCTGTTCAATCTCGCGTACTGGTCAACGTACCTATTTCGGGAGGAAGCGGATGGCGAGTAAGCCTCGACGGGGAGGCGCTCGGATCGTCAAGGGACGCATCGCAAGTGGCACGCGGCCACCCCCTCTATTACTCACAGCCCCGACCGGCCAGCAGCAGCAGTCAGCACCAGCAGCAGCACCAGCAGCAGCAGCAACAGCAGCAGGGCTCGTCTTCGCGCTCGGCATCGGCACACGGTAGCAGGTCGGCCTCGCCCGCGGCCCCCGGCACCGGCAGTGCTCACGGTAGCGCCCACGGTAGCGCCCACGGTAGCGCCCACGGCAGCCTGACGCGCACCCCACCGCGCCACAGGCACCACCACGGACATCGGCACCACCACCACCACCACCATCACCACCATCACAGCCACCAGCAGCTCCAGCGGCAGTCGCCGTCGCCGTCGCCGTCGCCGCCTCATTCGCGCTGTTCGCAGGCATCCTCGTACCAGCAGAGGCTGCGCTCGGGCTCGCCGTCCTCGTCCTCGATGACCGAGAGCGAGGGTCGGGAGGCTCTGCGCTCGCGCTCGAGATCGCGCAGTCCGGCCAGCAGCAGCAGTCAGCAGCAGCAGCAACAGCAGCACCAGATGGCGATGAGCGCCCTCGGCGTGGCCGGCACCAGGCGTCGATCGACCCCCTCGCCTGGACACGTGATCGACATGGCCCAGCGACACCACCAGGCGGCCGCCGAGCTCCTCAAGGCCGACGAGCTCCAAGCCACGCTCAAGGCCAAGGCCGCCTACGAGGAGCGCTGCTGCTGGGGCTTCATTCCCAAGAGGTGGTTCACCAGTCAGGCCCAGGGCAGCGCCAAGATCGACGTGTTCGCCAGGTTCGCCTTTCCTCTCGCGTTCGTGGGGTTCAACATAGCCTACTGGTCGACCTACATGTCGCGCGGAGACGACAACGTCGGGCACAACTGATAACGATGCGCTCCTCCTCCTCGGCCTCTTTTCACCTACATACTCCTCGCTGCAGCGCATCTTGACTGCGCCGCTTCTCGACGTACTATTTGCATCTCGCTCACCGCTGCTCCTTTTTCGCGATCGCTGACAACGTGACCCCGAGCGGGCCCCGCCGGGGGCTCGTTCTACGATATCCATTTAGGCATCTCTGTATAATACGTACATACGGCTCGCGATGAGCATTTTTTATATCATTCGTAATGCATGATCATAGCCACGCGTACGCATGGATCCTTCGTATGCACGCGACATCGTCTTTTTTACGTGACTCGACTGCAACGACCGCAGCCATTACAACAACTGACCGAGACGCGCTGATGATGCACGTAAATCACTCACTCGCGATAATTTTTCGATATTTTTATACGTTTACTATGATAATCTTCGATACTTGCTCGATATTCATTGACGCACGGACGACTTGGTACGCCAACCCAGTCATGCACACGCCATACGCACCCACGCGCCAACCTTTAACTCTTTGCACACACGCTTCGATCGAGCTTCCATTTCAACGAACGAAATAAACTAACTTTTACACGCGTTCTTCTTGAGATTAAATCAAAAGCGATCTACGTTTTATTAAGTAATATGAGCAATTCCAGGCGAGATAATCCAGTGAAATAGTACGTCGATAATCAGCAAAAATATCGCTTCCATCGCGTTTGTTTGCTATTCCGAGACTTCGATAAAAAAAAAATCAACTACGGCAAAAAGGTCGACGCTTTATATACTGAACGGATTTTCGGAATATATTGTACTACGACCGATTTACCGACTCGGATATCAAGCGTAACGCATATATTGCGCGGCCGTAAAAAATATCAAGTGTGAGTATAGATGTGTATGAGAGTGTCACATTTTATCGAATAAGCATATAAATATTATAAATATAAATGTATACATGTCGCACACTTTTGCGCGCACGCGATATCGTGCGATTATTATATATATGTATAAGTATGATATGATGTCGTATAAAACGAGTACGTGTAAAAGAGGATGTGATGAATTGCGAGTGAATGTGTGACATTTTTCCCGAAGAGGCCGAGAGTGAGACGAACAAACAAACTTCCATCGGGCATACGTACGTACATGACTCGTGATAAGTCATGCGTGTGAGCCTATAAAAAAGCGCATCGTTTAAAAATATGTGAAAAATAATATTATAATTAAGAATAATAGATTGTACATCGGGGAGACCGCGCGCCACCTTAAATATACTATAGTTAAATACAAAGAAGACTATAATATAGCGGGCCTTGTATAGCCACGGCCTATCTCCAAAAAATACAAAATGACAAATCGACGAAAGGAAAAACAAATAAAATGAAGAAATAAACAATGACTTTCAAATAATAAAAAATCTATCACTTAGATTATAAGGCAACAACAACAACAAATAATGAACGAAAGAAAAGGAGAAATGAGTGAAGTAAAAAAAAACTATAGGGTACGTAGATTTTAAGTGACAAATGAAAAAAAAATACAAACAATCGAGGTATTATATGAACTAATAATACGATAATTATAAATATTATTATTATTATTATAATTAAGTGACAATGAAACTGTGGGGATAAGAAATTAGGGCTTAAGTATAAAAGAAAAATAAAAAATGAGATATCGGCTAATAAAATTAGGATGATTCATGATACATTAAAAGATATTTGAACGAAGAATATTAATGACTATTAAAAGCAAATGAGGGGGAGGGGGGATAATACGGAAAATGGTCGTTGTGTGAGACACGCGAACTATTTACCCGTACTATAATGTACGGGTGAACTGTGAGAATACATTAGTAATACATGTATCAAACGAGAAAGTTACTTGATGACGATTCCATAATCATTGAATGCACATCAAAGTAAAATTTTATTAATTATACACGCACACATACGCGCTCGTGCGCGCATACACATCACATTCGATGAAAGACACATTTGAACTTACACGTACACACAGACACACACACACACACACACACACACACACACACACACACACACACACACACACACAAGTAGGTACAAAGTATCGCATCTATTATGGTATCGGTGAAATGCATATTATTATTAAACTTGCGGATAAACGAACGAGTCGGCAAGTGCCTTTGCGCGAAAAAGGCAATATTCGTTCGTTTGCGTTTAAATTGTGATTTCTGATCGAAACATCGACGAACGAGTGCAATAAAAAACGTCACTGCTCTCGCATAATAATTTTGTATGGAATAACAAGAAGCCGATGTATGCAAGCCATCGATCGATTTGTATTATTTATGTATCGTGACCAGTGCGAAGCGAGCAGCGACATTTCCATTGCTTATACTCGACGACAGTCGAGCCGAGCTCTTCTTTTCGATTCCATAAAACATGTACGATGCCATTTACGACAAAATTGAAGTAAAAAATTTAAAAAAACCTTAAAAACAAGTTATAGTGCACCTCTCGCTATCCACAATGTATTCCATTTGTAATTTTCACGTTTGTATATCGAAAAAAGACATAATAACGAATTTTTAGATATACCATATTATAAATCGAAAGAATAAAATTTTCTATACGAACGCACCAATAATTACGTTGATTGAGAATAGGAGAATTTTCCGACTTTCAATATCAAAAAACTGCAAGCAATGATTTTTATCAGTAATATTAGAAATGAAACACCTATATGTCGACACACTTACACACACACACACACACACACACACACACACATACACACAACTCCACATGTATCACGATCGTCCTTGCAAAAGTCTGTATATTATAACGAACCAAAATACACCAAAAATATAACGAAAGAGAGAGAGAGAGAGAAAGAGAGAGGAAAGGGAAAGAAGGAAAACGAAAAACCAAACTAAAAAATGCTCGAGAAGGAAAAAAATCACACTACGAGAGCGCGCGTACGCGAGCATTCGAAGCGGGAAATAAAAGAGAGTAAAAAAAGAGGCCACAGAATGTTAAGTATACGCTTCGTTACTACGTCGAGGTTGCTGTGCGAACAAAAAAAATCGGCAGAGTTGGAAAATTCAGCCCCGCGCGCGGGCGCGTGAACGAACGAACGAGCGAACGAACGAGCGAACGTACGAAGCCCGGAGCCCGCGAGCTAACTCTCGATTCTCGTTAGGGCCGCTAATTGGAATACACGTATATATGGATATGTATTATATGTGTATACATTTCACAGAGCGAGCATACACAACTACGTGGCCTCACACAGATGCGACATATGAAAGGTCACGTGGATGTATGGAGCGACCTGGCTCTCTATATAAGTAGAGAAATGAGTGGATGGCTGAATTTATAATACATTCACACGTATAAAGCTTCTCTCTCTCTCTCTCTCTCTCTCTCTCTCTGTTTGTCTCTCACCTGTAGCCCGGGTAGGTGTCGGCTGTCGCAGCCCCGCACACACATACATACACCAGGCCACGTATGTGCTGTACACACAAGCCAGCTCGCGTCAAAGAGCTCGCAAGGAGACTGGCTAGAAGCTCTTAACGTGTACATACATGCGCATACTTATAACGGAGTACGGCCGAGCGATATTAGCGCACATTTCGCGTATGATTTATCATTTATACAGAGTCTCAGACACAGAGAATCGTGAGCACGCGCGTCGTAGGTGAGCCCGACTCGGTGCGGGGCTCAATTCACTTGTACGAGTCGCGCATTATACGAGCCCTCGTCGCAGGCCTCCTAGACTCCATAAACACGTTTATAATGGCCCAGTGCAGCTCCGCGAGCAGTCGTGTATACAAATTGACGCTGAAATTGAGGCATTAAACTCGTGGTTCTGTGAGCTGCCAGCCGAGTAACTGAAACCAGACAACGGCAGCCATTGGCCGCGAGGCGCGCCTCCTCCTAACTTGATCGACTTTGAGTCATTCGAATCGAGCCAGCTTCAAATTCATTTCCTCATTTGTTTTTATAATTTATTTATTTTTCACTCCATTTATCTAACGTTTGTCAATTACTCTACATCAGTTACGCGAGCATCTATATACGATACGTTTTATTCGTGCGGCAACTTCTCTCTTTCGCGTTAATTCTCGAAAAAAATTGTTATCTTGCGAGAAGAAAGAAGAAGGAGAGCGCAAAGAGGATAATTGCATCCGTTTTTGAGACCGTGAAATATCATTTCGGCTCCTATAGGGATGATTCTATAACTGCTCTGTACGGGTTAAACTTTATCGGGCCAACTCGAACTTTTTTTCTCGCCAGCGTGAAAATCTGCGAAAATGGTCAATTATAAACGTTAAAAGTTTGGAACGCTTGTATGTGTGTGAGTGTGGCTCAGTGTGTACACTAAGGAAAACTTTATTCTCGCAAGCTCGCGCACAAGAGTCGAGCGAATGTAGGTCACTCTCTTCGATAGTCCCTCTTTTCTGCTCTCTCTCTCTCTCTCTCTTTATTTCTTTTTCTTTCTATTTCGCTTCTCGCGTGGAAAAAAATATCGAAATGTGTACGTACGTGTGTGTGATGTACGATGCGCTATGCAAAATGATCTTCCCGAATAATAAAGTGATTAGAGCTGAAAAAAGCTGCGTGTCGTTTTATGCACCTCCGAATAACTGAAGATCCATGTAATATCGCTTGCTTGTCGTAGTACCTAATAGCCTGTGAAAGTTAATAAACGCGATACGGCCGACGAAATTCCAAACTCGATGTTTCGAGCTGTTACTGTAATCGTTACGATAACTGTTACGTTCGCCGCTTCGTCGTATATGATCAAGTTTCAAAGTTGTGTGATCAAATGCATTAGCAGTCGTTGTGAAGCGATCGAATTATATAGACGAGCAAAAAGTTGGCTCACAATCGTGCCGAGGCGATCCTGTAATGCTATACACACACCCACACACACACACACACACACAGAAGATAATGTACGCAAGGGCGAAAATCGCGACAATCGTTCACCAAATATCACATACATTCTATGTCAAGTACACGCACGCCAACAAACTATATAAACATTAATGAAATCTCACGGGGTAAGCAAGTGTCATTTCAAGTTAATGGTAAAAAAAGCATAAATATGCAAACATCGTACGATAAATAAATATAAATAAAAAAAAAGTATTCTGAAACAGTATGAGCATAAACAAAGTATTATCTATAAAATAATATCTTTTTATCACGTCATAAGGAGGTACCTAAGTATAAAAGTATTATCTATGTGCGTGTACACAAACGAATGCGCAGCTCGCGTTTAATTGAGCGTGTCTACGTATGTGTACATGTGTATAAATATAGCATATACGATGCTGTAATAGTTTTTTGTATATTGTTTCATTGATATAATAATATAATATTTAACGTAATTAATGAGAAAAAAATGGAAAAAATCAAGCAAGAACGCGATTAAAGAATATTTGACGGAAGAAAGTGTTGAGATGTTTTCATTAGTGATGTTGTGAATAAATGTGTTTTATTGAGTAAATCACAGAACGCAGACAGACAAACTATAATATATGAGAATTGAAAAAAAAATGATAATACTTACGTCAGAAAGAAAGCGAGCGTTGAATTTGCAAATATTTTATCATTGTAATCGAAAGAAAATGAGGAAATTCGATGAAATAATCCGAATTTTACGAAATGCTTATCAAAAAGTATTAAAATATAGCAGATGAGGTGCATTTCGGGAAAGAGAAGGAAAAAAAATGATGGTAAGCGCGTTGTTGTTTGTTTTTTCTTCCATTTCCCATTGTCATGCCTCGGTTAGCTACAATATAGTTGAACGAATAAAAAACCTTTACATACATTACATTTGTATATTTTATCATCGTCGCATGATATACACGAGAACACTTGAAATTCAAGAAGAGAATTGTTGAAAACCTTTTTCGTTGGTTTTGTTATACTTATGGTCCTTTTTTTCATTGTATTCTCAATCATCCCGCAAAAAACTTTATGGAACAAAAAACGTATGTACACACAAAATAATGAAACAACAAACACAGGCGAAAAAATGTCATCGCACACATTCCTAACTTATCTGTACACGCCAACACATGCAGACACGCACTCACACAACACTTATACAAATTAGCCGGATAAAAGTGCAGTGTATTCATAATAAATAAGTGTGTTATATTATGTATACATGATGAAATACAAAATCTGTATGATCTGCATTATGTCATGCTCGCGTAATTTCATCAGAGAGTCATCGACGTCACTATTAATATGAGAAAATGAAATGGACGCGGCTGAGAAAAAAAATAGGAAAAATAATAATAAACACATGTTTCTCAATCCTTATCTCGAATAAAAAAAATGGTTCTAAAAATAATTGTATAACACGATACACACAATCGATCTATGATTTCACATAATTTTTACGTTTTTTATTACGTAAATTAAAAAAAAAGAGCAGCAAAAAAAATAGGCAGGAGATCAAATTTTTTCTCAGTACGAAAGTTTTCAAGACGAAGAAAAATGATGTTTCTTTTCACAATTTATTATGACACTGGAACGTTGACGTTGATTTTTAATCAGCTGTAATAATTTTTAGAATATATATTATAAATATATATATATATATATATAAATATTATATATATAAAAGTATATATGCATTTTGTTGATACAGTGATGTACCGATATATAATATATTTGGTTGTTGCGTATAAATGTGTGGATTTATGTGAAATTCATAGAAAACATGTTGTAATTTGTATTACGAATTCGAATAAAATTCTAAAGAAATAGCGTTTTATCGATACGTTTTTTTTAATTATCCCCCAAATTTCTTCCTTATATAAAATATATAGAAATATTCTTGTATACAAAGTTAAACAGCTTGTTCATCGGCCGAGAGACGCCACATCTGGCTTGCACTTACGTCAGGAACATAATTTAATTATCAGAAGATTTCAATCAGTCACAGCACGTTATCGTCAAACTCTGCTGCTAGTACTGCTGCAGGACTGCTGCCTCGGAAAACCAGCATTCCATTTTTTCTCAAGTTTTTTTTTTCATTTTATCAATTATCTTCTCGAAAACAAGTTTGAGTTTGTTCAAAGATTAAGCAAGCCAAGTTAATTCACGCACTAGTTTACCTTTATAAGTAGTAAAATAAACTTAGTCTTAAAGTGGAAATTCGGTAAAATTTTGATTTTACTTATGATTTCGTGAAAAAGTTAGCAATTTTCAATGGTGAAAGTTATAAGGCTGTTTTTTCAGCAAATAACACAATTTGAAGAGTTACGAACGCAAATGGAAAAACTGTGAATTATTCAAAATTACTATCGAGTGAATAAAGCACATTTTTGTGCAACTCCATTATAACCGGATTATCACTTAGAGCAGTTAGATAGGTTCAATCGCGAATGGCTGCTTGACCAAAAAAGCCTCATCCTTTGGCTTTGAAAAGTCGAGACTTTTCGCTAAATTCATTTTCCTAGGATGTATAATTCAACAATAGAGCCTGGCTTGGGAGTATAACAGCCTTGACCGCCATGCCAGAGAGGGTTGGCGAGCTTTTATGAGGCTCTGTGTACGGAGCTCGCAATATCCGACGTCGTTTTAATGCAGCGTGTCGTGCACGAGGCCAAAAAAGCGAGTCGAGCGGAGTTGAAGCTTTGCACGCCCTGCTATACTCGCGTAATCTTATTAATCTATACGTGTAAGTGACGCTCGTCTCTCTGCCACACGACGACGACGATACCTTTGACAGCTTTTTCCAACACAGCTCGCTCATTCATTGCGGAACTTTGCACGCACATATGCCCCTCGCTCGTATAGACGCTCACACGTATGGACCATACAGAAAAACTAAAACTCGGTAATTGAAAATTTAACAGGTTTCGTTCATTTTACCTTTTTCAGATCTAAGCTCTGCTTTTAGCGTTGCATAAACGAAACATAGGAAGAGAGAATCCAGAAATTGCCCGCAATTCATTTACGGGGTACATTTTAATACTTTAATTTTTATATTTTTAATATTTTTAAAACAACTTCTTTGGTGAGTAATTCGTTTAGAAGGTAAATTTAAATTTTTTTTCTTTCTAATATCTTTAATGCATTGGTTGAAATTTCAATAACTCCACGAACTTTCAAATTTTGCAGCCAGAAGAGAGTGTAGAGTAAGCTAGAAAACAAAAATAAAGGGAATCAGTAAATAGCGTCAGTACACAGCCATATTGCATCTTTGATCAGCTCATGACTGTACGTAAATTCGTCTTGGCAAACACATCAAGAAAAAAAAACAAATAAATAAGACTCGGGAAGGGAAAACGAGCCGAGGAAAATATATAGCCAATGTGGTCTAGACGCAATAACGACATGATTATTGAATGACGGCTGATATGTAAGTATAAGGTAAAACGACGTGCGGGATAAACGTGATATATAATGATGGGCTGGACGGGGAAGTTGTTCTGGCTACATGGCACGTATACTCTGGCATTATGTGTAATTGTATGTGATAGACTGTAAGCCGCCGCCGCTGCACAACAGTCCCTATTATATTAGGCTCGTTATCGTTAAGGGATCACAAGCTCAAGCGCTACAGTCTCGGCGATATCGTATCTCCGCTCTTTTCCGTTCTCTACGCTATTCGTACGCTAGCGGCAGCAAAAATAAAAGTCGGACCGACACGATAGCGTTTGATGCCTCGAGAAAGAGAGGGTGAAACGTCGCCAGATCCCCGACGACGGCCATCATTTTCGAGGGTCTTGATATGACGAAATCTCATAAATGCTGCGTTTATACGACGCCGCAGTGTAATAAAATAAGACTATTTTTTTCCGATTCCAAAAGACTCGCTCTTCGATGACGACCCTTATGTATAAAAAGAGTTATGCACGCGAGCCTTGGATTTTTACTGCCAAGTACTTTCTCTTCTGGTTCTCCCAGGCCGTAAGATAAATATTTTTTCGCATTCATGCGATTGTCATTTGTTTTTTTACTTTTAAAAACAAGCGGATAAAGATGAAATGCACATTTTTATTATTCTTTTTTTGCGTACATTAAATCTAGTACATTGTATCGATAAAATCTACGAGTTTGCGAACAACGAACACCATGACTCCTACTTGTTTTTGAATGTGTTCGAATTGCTTATAGGTACTAGTTTTCAATTTTTTTTTATCGAGCATGCGCTTTTTACATCATTTATCGTTTTTTACTCATAGTTTATAAAGCTCGTGTCAAGCTGTGTATATCTGCTCCAAGAGAAGCAATCAGTAAGTTTCAATTACGAAAATTATATAAATTAAAAAACAAACTTATGTATCACATAGTAACGAAATCTATCAAAGATATTAAGACGTTATTACTCACAATAATAGATACATTATGAGGTATTCGTTTTGTATGAAAATTCGCATTCAATATAAAAACTCTGCGTTTAAACATTGTTTATCGTGATTTTTACAATTAAAATAAAATAACATAGTCAAACTCAATGTTACAATAGTAAATAATGATTAAAAACTTTGGCATTAATTAAATGACTAGTCCTTTTTTACGTTTCTTATGATTATATATACACTAATTGATTATCTTTCATCAGGTCTAATCGCTATAAAATTTATTAATTTTTTTCCTTATTTTGGTTACAGTCAATTAAAATTTTTTTTTCAAGTCTTAGAAGTTGAACTATATAAAATGTAGCAAAAGTTTTTTTTTGCTTCTTTCATGTTTAAAACCTTTGCAGCCTATGAATATTTTTTTGCTTCATTTTTCGTTTTGTTACGTTCCAAATTTTATCTAATAAAAATCAGTCTTAATCTACGCAAAATGAATAGATGTGTGACGTGAGTTGGCAAGAGAATAAGAAAAAAGTCTCTTGAAAATTTTGTGCGGTTTGGCTAATACATGATTTACATCAAACGGAAAAAAGCTTATTGGTAAACATCTGGCATTTAGAACTTTTTAATTAGAATTTTTTCTTCTTCATCAACTTCTTCCTCGCGATAACAAAATATACATGCTATCAAAAACACTATCAACTACAACAGTTTTCAATATATCAATATAACTGAAAAATTTGAAAATCAAAAATTCAATATATGATTTATAATATTTTTTCGTATCAATATTGTACGCTTGTGGTGAAATATATATCATGTTTACGCACTCTACAAAAGTATATCGCATCATTATCATTCAGGAACGTCGTTGACTATGTTACATTGTTCATAAATAGGTATATCATCGTCAGAGTTAACTTGTTTTGCCGAGTTTGAGTATTCCTTTTCGCATGTAAAAACCTATAATATGTTTTCTTTAAAAATAATGATATACAACTTTTTCTCCCGTTGCATAGTTATTATTTCGTCAAGTGTCAGAGCATCATTCGATAAGTTACATGTTATTTAAGGATAAGTAAGCGTTTGAACACTTAAAGCAGCAATTAAGTGATTAATAACATGAAGCAAAGCTTTAGAAGAATCGTAGTACAAAATTAATTATTTACTTCTTTTTTTTTCGCCCACCTCCGAGTCTGTATACAATATTTTTACTCAAATATTTTCGAGTTAGTTTCCTTCTTGCACAGAAAACTTGTTTGAATACAATACATAATATAATATACAATCTGATAATGTAATTGTAATAAGATGTTTTAAAAACTAGCTCTGATTGGTTATATTTTCTTTTTCATTATAAATGCGTCATTAGGATGAGATTTGATTTTTTTCTACGATGTTTCATGTAAGTACTAAACTGTGTAGGTATGTGTTTTTCTGATACTCTCGAGTATCATGGACGTCAATAAATTGTTATTCTCTCTTGCTTGAAAAAGTCACCATCCATCTCCTCTCACGCGGAATCCGAAGCATCTTTCCATTATTTTGTATACATTTTATTTCAGACTTGTTTTTAGAAAATATGCATCATGTCGTCGCGTTTTAATGACGCGCTCGTGGCAATGAAATGTGCACGTAAAAAATAAAGCCGTACCCTAACAGTCGAGTATAGTTTCATCGTCGAGTCGCTCAAACTTGTGTTAGTACGCGTATTATATGTAAGAAAATAAGGAAGAAAAATCGAGATCGTTTGCAGTTTGTTTTTTTTTTCCTATGAAGAACACATCGAAGATTCAATCTTCTTCAACGACACTCTCCTATAACAGTATCTACTAGTCGAGATATAACATAAACGAATACAATAATAACCATGACGTGGCAACAGTCATACATTTATAGAGATCTCTCATGCTTAATTTCTTCGCTGCAGCTTCATTCACATCGATGCACACAATAAATGCGACATTCGAGCAGAGAAAAATTTTCTAATTTTGCATCTAAACGCTACGTCGTTCGTTTTTTCATTTACACATGCAATCTATTCACGCGTACGATTGGGCAGTTGAATCATTGCTTTGCAGCTTCGCTATACTTCTCATACATCATTAAACTAGTAGTAAGACTAGTTGCTTCCTTTATTAATATTACTATTATAATTATTATTACTTTTTGTTTTTTATTTCGATAAAAACATAATACTTAAAATCTCTTTCGCTTTTAGTTTGGTCCAATATATTCGCTCTCGAATCAGCTTTTTTTAAATGTGAGTTGCAGCCTTCAAGAATTTAGAAATAGTAAAACGGGGATAGGTCTGTGCTGTTATTGCGTGAGTAAAAAAGATTTCATTGTGTGCTACAGTCCACTTAATGTAATCGAGCATTAAAAATGATTCGGCGATTTAGTTGCAGAATGAAAAAGAAGGAGATGATACACGGGTTCTTCAAGGTTGCAAGTCACGCGACAAATATAACGTTATATTTTAGCATCATCGATTATCTTTTTCATCATGTTTGCAGTCGCATATCGGCGTACTTTCACTAGCCTCACGTCGCAGCCTATGCGTATGTAACAATATATTAACGCACGCGAAGAGCGACGAAAGATCATTACTCATTTTTTTTCTTCGAGTTATCATTATAATTATTCAACTACATTCATACATCTGGATTGAGACAGAATTACACATAGAGAGCACCAGGAACACGATTGCTTTCGATTGCGATTTGAGTAAATGTCGTTATAGTAATTTATAATATCGTATCATCATGTGTTACGTGTGAACGTGAGTGGATGTATGGCTGTGTGTACGAGGCTTCGAGTTTATCATGAAAAATGTGTGGGTGTCGAGTGTGGGAAAGATTAAAATACAAGCGATTGGCGTCGTTTTTTTCTTTTTAAATTTAAATAGTTGGTAAGTAAACACTTGATTCGGCGGGCGCAGGAGGATTGGGAGGCGGGTTCGCCGCCATATTCCTAATCAAGGTATGCTGCTGTTGCTGCAGCTGGTGGTGATGGTTCCTTTTGCGGTGCAACGACTGGTGTTGATGCTGCTGCTGCTGCTGCTGCTGCTGATGGTGTTTATTGCTTCTTCTATTACTGTGGGTCCGGTGCAGATTCAACGGAGGCAGATTCGGATGCTCGATGCGAGTAGGCGACGACACCCGAGGTCGCAAGGTATTAGCTACTTGTCCGAGATTACGACTCGGCATGCCGTAAACAGCTTGCACGGAAAATACTGGAAAAGAAAGAAAAGGCACGAGACAAGTGCGAGCGTGAGTGGGGCGGATGTATGAGGCATCTCTGATTCAATTAGATAATAGGCTTGAGGGATGAATTCGAAAACATGCAAACGAGATGTATCTGCCGGCGAGATATTGTATTAAGCCCCGACGACAGCAGACTGCAGAGGGTGGCGCGCTCGAACTCGCACCGGGGCGTATAAGGCAGAATGTGCGGGGGGGAAGGGAGAGAGACAAGACGGTAGTGACGCGCGAGAGAGAGAGACTTTATAATATCTGAATTTTCAGCTGGCAAAGTGTGGAGCGCCAGCCGAAAAGACGAAATACCTGAAACTCTAGCGCTCAGCTGCATAATGTTATTTTAGCGCAAAGTTTTCATTGTGTCGTCTCTTTCTCTTTGGTGGCGCCGCTGCCTTATTGTTGTACGCGCGGGGGTACAAGGGGCCGGGGTGAGTCCCCGCAAGACAAGACGAAATATCAAATTCGGAAAATTCGTACGCTGACGGAGGGTGAGGTAAAGATGAAGACAGAGAGAGAGAGAGAGATAGAAAAGGCTTTGTCAGAATTTCCTCGAGAGACTTTGAGTCGGTGATATCAAATTTCCTCGTCTCGCGCGCGTTTATTTATACACAATGGGACAAGGTTGTATAAAATAGTCCTGAAATTCTTTGAACGTTTGTCGTTGCTTTGGATTTTTTTCGCATACTCACTCGGCTCGCAAGGCTCAAGGACGTCTTCCAGCTGATAGTACTCATTTTTTATCTGTCGAGGGTCCTCGTAGTCGACGAAGCCCGTGTTGTCGAAGGCTTTGTCGTCCTTGGGCACTTGGCCGGGCGACGCCACGGGGGGCTCCGTGTAAGTCTGCAATCGGGACGATTCATATTCGATTAGCTATATACAGATTGACGAATCGCAGTCGAGCCAATGATGATTAGTATACGTACGTTTTCGCAGGGGCTCTCGGCGTAGACGACGACGGGCTCGTCGCCGTCGCGCTCGGTGTAGCCGGGCGGCTGGCCACTGTCGCTGCCACCCCCGATCGTCTCGTACGTGTGCTCCTCCAAGTAATGCCTGGTCGTGCCACGGGGCGTCAGAGTCGCCCACATGACTCGGGGGTCGTGCAGCAGATTCGGGTCTTGTTGGGGCTGCTGTCCTATCTGATGAGCTTGATGATGATGGTGATGGTGATGGAGATTGATGTTTGGCTGCTGCTGCTGCTGCTGCTGCTGCTGGGGGTGAAAGTGCAAGTGATGCTGGGGTGAGCAGGGAAACAGAATGGCAGCCTCCTGCTGCAGACGGACGATCGGTGACTTGCAGCTGAGGGCGGCGCAAGACGAGGCCGGGCCCCCGCCACCTCCGGTCGTAGTGGTGGTCGTGTGCATCGACGACGAGGCCGTCGACGTCGACAACGTCGAGTTTTTGTTGCTACGATTGCTGCACTGCGACGCGTTGTCGTTGGATGGAATGGCTTCGCTGTGTCTGCAGCAAAACCAAATCCGTTACGACTCGTGCTCGTAGGTAGCCATACCTACATGATATAGGCTAGCTACCGCACAAAGGACTCGTTATCTAGCGAAACGATAGTCGAGTCGGCGCTCGTAAAGAGCTCGAGCTCGCTATCGCGTGTGAATGCGTGCGATTATGCGATAGCCATATTGCCTATACATATAGCGCTGAACGATAGCAGCGGCGATCGATTAAAAAAATCTCACTCGAATACTTACAATTTACATTTGATTAAAACGGTTGCTAATATAATCCCAATGAATATGACGCCGACGCAGGAGCAGACGAGTACGATGAACCACGTGTCGTCGAAAATATTTCCTGCAAGCACACAGATAGGGAGAAAAAATTAATTTCATTAATACGTCTAAAACATTCATTATCGGCGAGTGCGGAAGCGGCGGCGGTGGCGTCGAATTTATTTCCGATAATTCTCCATCGGCCCCTGCGGCGCTCGGCTTTTGCTTTTAACTCGCGCGCACATTTATGATACAACATTTTCCCAGCTTGGATAATCCTTAGCCTATTGGCCCCACGCGCACCGGAGAAATGAATAATTAAATGCCTAAAGTGCATCGCAGCTGCAGTACGCGCGCACACGGCATAGACACGTCGAGCGGCCTAGTGGCTGGGCTATTTAGATCGGAAAATTTTCCTTTCTACATAATAATACGAATCTTTGAAATGTGCCAGTGTACGCGCGCACTGCAGGCGCACGAGCGAGTTTGCAGCACTCGCGATCGGTTATCATCGCATAATCTGATTTCAATATGCAAATTTTCTCTTCTCTTTCTCTCTTTCAACGCGGCTGTATAATACACGCATATATATTGCGCGCGTAGAGGTATATGTATAGAAAAGATAAAAAGGATATCGCAGGCGCATATGCTGCTGCGGCTATACGATCGCGACGCGTATATATAACGAACGAGATTAAACGAATAATAATATATCTATGCCGGATTACTTTCGCAATTTAATTCTCTCTTTTATGTACCGCACGCATTACCTTCCTATACTTTAAGGATGTAAGCGATTTCGTGTGCTCGAACGAAAAAAAAATAAAAAAATAAAAAAATAAAAAACAGAAGCGGACTATAGGAAAAGCGGGGGAATGGGGAATAGGGACGTGGCAGCAGGAAACTGTTGAAATTCCCGTGTAGAAAAACTTCCAAACTTACTTCTTTTAGCCACAGTTTCTTTTTATACCTCGAGGTTAGTCCGTGCGCGCAGCGTTAGTTTAATATTTTCTTTGGCGACTCGCTCGCGCGCGCATTTTAAGTTTGATGAAATATAAAGAAGAAGAAAAAAGAGTCACCGAAGTTGGGGCTAGCCGCATGCTGGTCGTTCACTCGTGTCTTAGATATATAATATACTTTATAAACGATGCCGTCTTTTTTTTCTTTCTTTTCCTTTTTTTTCAGAGCCCCGCAGCTCGGCTCAATTAACTAATTTCAACGTCGTCGTCGCAGTTGCAGCGTCGACTTTTTCAATATGTATTCAAATTAGACGAGATTCATTATTTAATACAGCGGAATAATATATAATTAGTCGGGGCCAGGTAGCTCAAGTCCGTCAGTCCATAAAGGCTTTTTATTCGAAAGATAAAAATCAGATCGTGCAGGCGTTACAGTACATAGAATGCAGTGCCGTTGACGTCGCTGCGTGTCCCGCGTAGGTGCAGGCGCGCGTAGGTGCGTGCGAGCTCGGAGAAAGGGCGATAAATCAATTTCGCCGCTCATGGCATGTACACGAGCGCGACGCGTACATAGCTCACAGCGAGGCATCCCCATCGAGTACGTAGTTACACTGGCTCCGGCGCTCGAGTCTACGTGTGTATCGAATTACCCTCTCTATCTTCTCGCGCGCACATATACACCGAAAAATCGGCCTCGCTGTCGTCTGTAGGCGCCCACCCCTCGTCGCTGCTGCCAGCCGAGCGAACTTTACACAAAAGTTTTCCCTTTGCTTCTCGCAGACGTATATATACGTGTATAGCGAGGAACTAAAGAGGCAAGACCAGGGGGAGAAGGGGCTAAAGCAACATCTCCGTCTAACACGGCATCGATAAGCTGGCGCTCCCTCGCTAATGCATCGCAACTCGTTGGCTCCGATCTCCGTTGAAAGGCCTCGAAAGATAAAAGCACCTACCTGGCTGGGACACTTCGACGTATCTGACGCCCTGTCCCCTCCAGTCGCAGGTGTGCTTGCAGGGGCTGTCGTCGAGGTGCTCGTGGGCCCTGGCGTCGCCGACGGCCGAGCGGCCGGCGTCGGGCCCGTCGGACGAGGGGCCGTGCTCGACCGAGTGCCGATGGTGCGCCGCCTCGTAATAGTCCTGGGCGTGCTTGAGGAAGCCCGGCAGCGGCGGCGGCGGTATGCGAAATTCCGGCGGCGGATCCAGCGTGCAGTAGGTGCATCCGGACGAGTCCTCGGCCAACTCGGGATCCTCCATTTTCATCCGATTCGGGAGCTGCGCTACTTGGGCCAACTACTCCTCCGATAGCGATGCGCTGCGAGGCTCCTCGGCCAGCCGGATATTGTGTATTATCATGCCATCCGCCGCCTGCAAAGAGAACATTATATAGTACATGTATGCAACGAGTATATATACGTATAGGAGAGGAAAGAACAAATTATTATTACGCTTTTTATTCAGGGGTTTTTTTTGTGCAGCCCCAAGCGAGTTATTATCTATTGTGCAAAAACTGGCAGGGGTGGTGGCTACGTAATTGCTGCGATTTCAAAGTCTTGCATGCGAGCGTATAGAGGGCACGATATAAGACAAGACACGGGCGGTAAGCGACGAGTCGAGCTCTGTGTAGGTGGATAGCGCAACAACTCGGCGCGAAGCTCTCGACTCGGCGCTGCATTTATACTTTATTTAATTCGGTTCGAGAGCTACTAAATTACTATCGGCCATCGTATAATAGAAAACGCGGCGGCTGTTGGACGCTCAAAACGCCGAGAGCTGCGACGAGCAAGACGAACGACTCGAAGAATAAGAAACTTGTCCTAGTCAAACAGCTAAATTATTCATTATCAAGTCCGGCGCTATATACCTCTCTCTCTCTTTCTCTCTCGACCGGTCGCTCGCTCGCTCGCTCGGCCGCTCCTAACAATATAAAGTACTTATGCACGAGTGGGGTAGTAGCCGGTAACTTTTGCACCTAGTCATAATTTATGTTGCGCAGCTTTTTAACGCGTACCCGGCCCGCAAAGAGCTAAGCCAAGTAACAAGGAAAAATGTCACGTTGATTGTAAGACTTTTCTCTCTCTCTCTCTGTCTCTCTTAAAAGAGAAAGCGATAATAGACGTTCAAAGAAGCAAAAATCTGAATAATAGTCAATTTCGCTGGCTCTACACGAGCCGAATGTATGCCGCGAGCCGCAAAAAGATATGTACGTGCGCGTTATAGGTGCGCTATATAATCGGGCATAGGCCGTGGCAGCACAGCGTGTACAGCATAAAACACTTTGGCACGTATCCTAATTTGCCGTACGCGAGCGGAAAAGCTCCTCGCTCAACCTAATAATACATCTGTCCGTCTGTACATTGATTTATCGAAAAGCAATTTGACCGATGCGAAATAAATATGCATCGAGCGTCGAGTATTTGTATGTGCGCGTGTATTCGTGTCCCCCCCATGCAAGTAGTGCCGATATAAGCAGTGCCGAATACAGCGGCAAAACAGTATATACGCGCCACACGCCCCATCACTTAAGATGGAAACCTTACTTAAGGACACGTCGGGACTGTGATGTAGCTATAGTACATAAGTATCTCGCTGTAGGTAGCTCTAGCAACTGAGAGACAGAGAGAAAATCAAGCTGACTAATTATCTTAGTGGGGATCAAGTCAAGTCGCATTTAAGCTTCTTCGCGCCGCAGTGGCAGGCAACTCCTGCCAAGGACTGCTCTGCGATTCTTTTTTCTATTCCATTTTCTCTCTCTCTCTCTTACTCAGACCTTTCCGTTTCCGCACGAGCCTGTCTATAAACGCATGCGTGCGTTTGTGTCAAAGAAGCGCAGCGCTAGAATATAAGAAAAAAAAAGCAGCAGCATCGTAGCGTCGGCGGTGGCGGCGTCAGGATAAAAAGGAAAGGAGAAAGATTGTAAGAGTGAAAGAGCTTAATGGTTTTTTGATGAGACACCCGTAGCAGTGGCAGTAGCAGCGGAAGCAAAGTGTGTAAGCTTCGCGCAGTTCTCTCGTGCTCTTTTTCCAGCCGAAAACTTTTACTACTCTTTATAGGGGCATACATAGGTATAAACATGGACAGCTGGGGCGTTTTTGCGTGTGCGTCGTATTTGTGTACTCGATGGAGCGTCGGGCGTGTATATGTGTACGCGTACACACATGCCGGGCAGAAGCAGCTTACGTATGTATATTTGCATAGCGCGAGGGTCAGAGAGGAAAAGGAGCTAGCTGCGGCCGTGCAGCGCTCTAATGCGGAAAAGCGCCTATACAGCGGCTCCCGTAATTAAATTAAACGATCGATGTGCCGTGCTCGTCTACTGCCTGTTTTGTATCGCTGTACTACGAAAATAGCATCGGCCGTCTATTCTTTTCCTCGGTCAGCAATTATGCAGCTCGAGTAATAATTGCAGCTACGTATTATGCATATACTCTAGGCGTTTATATTATATAGTTTTAGACGACACTCGTGCTCGTCCGCGTGCAGATGTGCATGCATAAATACAGACTTGAAGCGGAGTATATAATAATCTCCAAAGTAATCCATGCGTAATAGCGTTATAAGCGCGCCACAGCAACAGCAGCAGCAGCAGCAGCAGCAGCAGCAGCAGCAGCAGCGCAGCGACGCCGCCGAGTGCCAGCGAGGAGAAATCGCGTGACGCTGTACTTGCTCGACACTACAACACACACACACAAGCAGCAGATATTATAGCTGCTAGACGAGTCTCTGCGCCACGAGGTAGTGCGCCTGTTCTGACGTAGTATAATACATACTTGAGTAAGGGTTAATATAGTCTGACGCACGTGAGCGAGGAGCTTTGCTTCGTTTTCTTCTCTTATAGGCCTAGTACATAGCTGCGCCTATACGCCAGTTGCCGTGCACGAGGCGGCTTACCCCCCGCACGTAGCACAAGTGCGCACTACACACTCTCTCTCTTAGCATTCTATATTTAAAGAGATAGCGACGTGCAGCTCGCACAATCGTGTCACTGTCTCATTTTCCACATCCACTAGCTATTTATTACTATTTGTGCGCAGCTCTCTCTCAGTCGGCAACTACCTCTCGACTTTGCATTAATATACATGTATGCGCGCTTACTGCAATATAAGCTCTATAAATGTACGCGCGAGCGCCTGTAACGACTCGCCCGCTCAAGCTTGCGCAAGCTCTCTCCCTCCCTCCCTCCTTCCTCTCTCTTTGCCTCTCGTAGTGGCGCGCGCTCGCGTTAATTATTCCGGAGCGCAGGTAATTGAAAAAGTAAATTATTTCTTAGTGACTCGCTCACTCGCTCACTCGCTCACTTGCTTGCTCGCTCTATAGCAGCTGCAATCGGGCTAAATAATAATGCTGCAGTACACAACGAGTGCGGCAAAAATTCGCATATAAATCCGATTGGTTTTGCCAAATTTCAGCCCAGTTGACGGATAATAATGGGAGCGCGCGCACTGGCTTTAGCTGTAGTTTCGCACAGCTCGACGATCGAGATTCGAGAGGGTCGGACTGGCCAGAGAGGCGGCAAAAGAGGCGCAAGCACGCCACTAATCCCATATGAAAACAATAAATGCGCGGGTGCAAATGCCCGTCGGCTTTGGATTCGGCTCCTTCGAGTAGGCTCGACGCGTCCCACAGCCATAGATCGAGCTCGCAGCTAGCTATACGCCTGGCTAATAAGGGTTGTTTTTCCTACGTGTATACGAGAGCTCGAGCAGGGGCTGTAATGTATACCTACGTACATATGCGTGTATGTATACATGCGGTAACGTAAAGGACCTTATTCGTACAGTCCAATACGTGGAGCGCATCGCGCACCCGTACACGAATGTGGCTGTGCGAGTATAGCACACGAGGCAGGCATGAGGCAGACATGAGGCAGGCAGGCAGGCAGGCAGGCAGGGCAACAAATCCACCCTCGGGCTAATCGCAAGCGTCCCATCGCCGCAGCAGCGAGTTGTTCTGCAGCAGTTCTCGTCGTCGTTCTCTCTCTCTCTCTCTCTTTCTCTCTCACGGCTCATTTGCCAGTAAATCGAAGCGCGCGCGCGCGCGCCTACCCCGACGACGTTATGCCCTCTGTATACTCCGTCTGCCTCCCGCATACGTACGCGACGTTTTCGTGCAGGTGTGTACGCGGATACGCACACAGAAACGCGCGGCGCTGCCAGAGGGAGCAAGGGATTTTTCACGTGGCTCCTAAGGATATTACACGCCAAGATTCGATATTAAAGCTCGACGCGCTACCGACTCGCTAACCGACCCTATAAGCTAAGGAAAAAAGAGATTAAACCCGAGTAATGATGAAATCCTCGCAACGGATCAAATATTATATATAAGCGAGTATATCGCTATTTCCTATCGCGGCACGTACCACCGTTTTATATCTATGTATACAATCCGATAGAGAGAGAGAGAGAGAGAGTCATATATCCTTTGGCGTTCATTCGCTCACACACCCAGGCAGAAATTCGCGCGATTATAGGCTGCTTGAAAAAAAAGCTCGAGTAGCATAGCTGCAGATTGCAAGCGGGAAAAAGGGGGCGATGGAGTTGAATAGCTTTACATGCGTACGACCTAATATATATATACTACGTTCGAGTGTAATGGAAAAGCTGGAGAAGCAGAGAGAAGCGGAGATGCCTGGCAGTGGATGGCGCGGCATCAACACGCCTCCGGACTAGGGGCAAAATACTACTTAATGCTAGAAAAGCTGCGAGCAGAGGGCAATTGCTCGGCTGTGCGAGTCGTGTCGCTGTGATAATGACCATGATGATGCTTACATCGGCTCAAAGCGATTCTCTCGTCGCTTCGGCTAGGCTAGCTGTTCCGCTGACGGTGGCGAATGAGACAGCGTCGGACGAGAAATTGCGCCGTTGCTTCGTTCGTCCGGTCCGATTGACTCGATCGCTGCTTCTCGCTGGCTGATCTCTAGTGGCTGCGGCCCGACACGTCCACTCTTTGATCCTACGTTCGTGGCTGAAGCGACACTCGGCCGTCGATATATTTACTCGATGCAGCGAGGCATCGGCACTTGGATCAGCGCACACAGAGCCGCACCGATAGCTGCTGATCGAGCAACAACACAGACGACACACACACACACACACACACATACACAGACACACGCACACAGAGAGCAGTCACAAAGGCTCGAGGCAGGACTCGCGAGGATTCGAGGACGTGTCGTCGCAGCGTTGAGTCGTCGCACGGTCAACAAGCGTTGTGTGTACGAGAGAGGTGCACAGGACGATCATTGGCAGGAGCGATCCGACGAGTTTGCTCGGCTTCGGGCTTCGGCAGGAAAAAAAGCTCGCTCGCTACGAGCTTGCAGGTAGTAGCGCCGTGCACGAGCGCATGACCAGCACCGAGATAGACCGTAGCGCAGCGCATACACGATATGCGGAGTTGATTCTTCTCTCTCTCTCTCTCTCTGTTTCACTTGCTAGTTCAGCCAGTGCCAAAGAGGAGGCAAAGACGTGCGCTACTCTCAGCGAGAGCAGAGAACGCGCAATCGTGCACACTTACGGACACACAGACACAAAAACACACGGCTACACAGACAGACACGGACTGTATGTATACACGGCGAGTATACGGTTGCGAGTGGAGCGCAATCCTCGCGCTATCGCTGCTTCCAGCCGCGTGTGTGAAACGCGTCTCGCGCAGCCGGCTGCGGATCCGTCGGCGTATACGTACACTGTGCGCGTCGCGTGCGCACCTATATAGCTATAGGAAGAGCTTGCCACACGCACACACGAGCAGCCGCTGTATACATACGCCTACGCTGCGAGTCGTTGCCTCGCGCATGCCAGCCATGCCACCTATAACGCGAGTGTGCCGCCACCGCCGCCGCACTCTCGTAGTGGGGGAGTAGCATCCCTGCTATGTGCTATATCTGTATAGGGTTTCAAAGTATGTAGGTGTGTAGCGTGCGTGCGAGTCGACGTTGGCTCGCGCGAGTTATTGAACGAGCTCGGGGCGCCTGCGCCGCTACGCTCGCTGCTCGCTGCTCGCTGCTGGATACTGGATAGGCCGCCCGGCCCCGCTCGGCCCCACCGAGCCCCTCGCCCTCGCGCTACGGCCGACCTAGGGGATGCTCGGAGCGAGAGACATGCCTGGAAATCACATTAGGCGACCGAGACCGGGCCAACGCACGCGGGACCCCCCTGCGGCTCTCTGCTCTGCAGCCTCGTGCTGCGCGTTCTCCCTTCCTGGCGCCGCTACCACTACCGCTACTGCCTCTACTACTACTACTTTACTGCCTCCAACTACTAGCCCCCTGAAACTCTTGGCCTCTCCTGCAACTCCCCTGCAATTCCCCTGCAGCTCCCCCGAACTCGCTGGCAAGGCTTATTTTGCGGCTAAATACTCTGGCAGCTGGCTATATATCTGTATAGATTTTAGGCAGCGTCGCGCACACGAGCGAGTGCTTTTCGATGCTAGCTGCTAGCTACTATAGCTTCTAGCCAACATGTATACGCCACTCTGTTATAGCCGAGTTGAGTTTCTAAGATGGGCTAGAGAGACTAGACTACTCGTGTAGCCGAGTGAATTTCACCGACGGATGCTCCATGATCTTTGCTCTCTCTCTCTCTCCCTTGCTCACCCTTCACCTTATGCACCTACATCTATCTGCTAGGATCGCTTAAATTAGTTTTCTATGTATGCGGCAAAACGAGGACACACTCGGGGGATTGCGCAGCCGTGTCTATTTATTTTTATCTGTCCAGGATGAAGAAGAGGATTAGAGGTTCTTGCGGGGATTATAGCATGAGTTACGTATATGTGCGTCTGAACACCTACGTATGTGCATGTGTGTACAGTACGATAACTGTATAGCTGTGGGTGAGGACTGCTGATGAGAGAGACAGAGAGGCAGAGTTGTGAATAGCGCGCCGAGGAGCCTAGGGTAGCGCCGGTTGATTTGCATGAGGAATTCAATTGGCTTTTGAATTGAATTTCGACTTGTTATATGCGCGCCGAACTGCGAGCACGTACGCGTCTACATACGTATACTCTAGCGCTATATATGTATTATACGTACGAGAGAAGGGAGAGAAAGCGAGGCTCTACATGGATAATGTTATGGCCCGTTGTTTTCCTTGTAGCTCGGATAATTGTATCGTACGCCACACTTGTAGCCAAGCTCCGCTGCTGCCTGCCGCAGATTAATAAAGAAGGTCAACCTGCTGTTTGACGATCATCCACCCCCCGAGCCTGCCAGCTGTACGCTGCCTGTGTATTACAAATATATACACGACGCGCATCCTACGCTAAAATCGCTTGTTCTATTTTTATGCCATTCTTACGCATAAAAAGTCCAACAACGTGCGTTGTGTGCAAGAGTGCCGAGGGACCATTGACGATGCCAAAGTCACGAGCGGCATCCTTTGATGCAGCTCTTTCCGACCGAATTCACACCTGCAAATATTTGTATTTGCGCTGAATTTACGCCCAAAGCCGCCCGGATGCATCAATAATTCCTATTATCCTTTCACTTTTCCATTAAATTATATCGCGTTCGTTGATTTTTCTACAGAGAACATTTTCAAAATATTGAGAAACGTCATGAATCTGCCTGTTAAATGTCCATGCAATTGACCTTGATACGCCGAGATCAAATACACATGGATATCAAATTACATCGGATGAGCGTACGAGAAACGATATGAAAAAAATGAAATGTTTGTGCGATCTCCGTCGAACGCAGTGTCCGTCGTCGAGTGAGCTTGCAGCTTTTATAAACTTTTTCAAGCAGCTGCTACTGAAACACTTGAAAAAAGTAAGCTTACGTTAGCAATTAGTAATGCAGTCGCAGTTATTCCAAGTGAAAAAAGGCAAAGAAGGGAAGAGGGGCCATTATAAATCGGACAATCGAGGTTTGGTTGGGGGAAAAATAAATCGGCTGGATATATTATATGGAGGAATTGCGGCGGTGTAGGCGCATTCGTCATACTCTACGGGTTTGGTGGCTGCGGCAGCTTGGGCTTGCTCGGGCTTGCTAGCTGCGCCTTTGTGATAGAGAATGGGCTACACATTATATATTGACTCGAATTCAGAATGGAAACTACCTGCCCCCGCACATACAAACATAGAGACAGAGAGAGAGAGAGAGAGAGATGGTATGCGGACGGCAAGCAGCAGTGAACGCGCAGCTATTCAAGTTACGTACTGGACCGTAAAATGGGACGTCTGGGACTATCGGCAGAGAGAGAGAGAGAGAGAGAGGGTGAGAGGGCGAGAGCCAAGCTTTTAACTCTCCAGGGTAAATACACGCAAGCACGCGCGGATAGCCGAGCAGCCGAGTAGAGAGCAAGCGGCAGCAAACGCCAGCCGAATCGAGTAATGAATCATTAGTTCCTTATTATTCGCACAGGTTCCGGCTGGAGCGCGCGATTTTACACCGCTGCGATATATGCGCTGGCAAAGTGTAGATTTAGGCCGACTGGAGTTCCTCCACAAATACATTGTGTCGAGTAATTATGTCCAACACTCGGACTGCTTTGACTCGGCAAAAATTATTATCTCCCCCAGCGAACTCGGACTTTAAACCATTCCGTCAAGCAGCGAGCTCGAAGCTTATTCCAACGACAGTTTGGATCTTAAGTCAGCTCCTAAACCAAGTCCGGATTGAAATCCGACATCTACAAGCCCGGACACTCAACCGGCAACCACACCGCTCGTCAAGCAAACCAGCGGAAAGAAAACCCATCTAGCATGGTAAACATATTCGAACTCCGCTTGGACATCGAAGCGCTCGGATACGCATCCGACGCCCACACTACTAGGAGAAGAAAGTAAAGAAGACTGTTTAGGTTCTTCAGAAGAAGGACTTAGTAGATATAAGGTAAAAACTATGTACGCGTAAGAAATTTAAGTATGATACGGATAAAAATTTTTGTAACTTGAATATATTCATGTTTGATTTTATAACATTTAAGCATCGTCAAAATAAAAAAGTTTTTTTTTCATATTTATCACTTCTAGTAGTCCAATAAACATTTTGTGAGAATATAAATCCGAGTTTGTTTTTGCCAACAGTTTAAAAAAAAAGAATATCACGGTATGACATCTGTATATGAGTTATGTTTTCTGATCAGTTTTTGGAGGAGGTACAGTTGATTCTAATGCGTCTTTGGCTTTTCATGCTTACTTTTTTCATATTCGATCAAACTCATAAGTTTCCGATCGATTTTATCAAAGCTTTACGAAATTCCGTATTTTGCGTCCAAAATTTTTGATTAGCGGCAGTCTTCCACATCATCCACGAGGTTCCGTTTAGTTGTAGGCGCGTTAACTCGATCTCGGTTTACAAACTCGGTCGACGAGCACATTTCGCGGAAAATAGGTAGCGAACTCAAAACGTAAACAACAGGCGGCCGGCGTGGTGTTCGTCGCCAATGACATCTTGACAAAACTTTTTCGAGCGAGCAAAAAAAAATATGCACTCGGCCGGCTCTAGGGGGAGAGAGAAGGAGAGAGAGAATGGAGAAAAGCTGCAAATCAGATTACAATTAACGTAATAATGTTGTTCTTTTCATATCGGCAGCTGCTCGCTAGCTGCCCCAGTGCGCTTCGAAAGAGACAAAGGAAACGAGATTAAATAATTCGCGAGCGATCCTTTGAGATTCGCCATGAGCAAGAATTAAATAGCTGCCAACTCGGATCGTATGAATTCGCAAGCGGATTATCAGATAGCAGCCAAGTAGTGGGCCAGCTTTTCTCCTGACTTTTCCTCCTCGTAACTGCAATTAGCGGGTGATCCGAGGCAAGGCAAAACTTTTTGCATCTGGCCCCCTGGCCCGACTCGAATATGTGCAAACGATCGCGTCGCAATGCGCCTCTTTAAACATACGAGTTTAATGAGAAATTTGTCCCGTCGTTAAACGCCAATCTGTATAAAAATTGCAATACGGGCGGCCCGTTTCAGCTGCAAATGCGCATCGGATGTTGCTTGTATATATAGTCGTGCTGTACACGTCTTGCGACACATCGATTATTACATCCATTCTCTCTCTGATCTCTCTGCAGCTCTCGCTATAGCCGTGTGCAGTAGTCTGTTGGTAGGCATCGCTTCGGGATAATAATAACGGGGCTGTTGCTGCGAGGGAACGTTTATGGCGTGCATCGCGAGTGAGCTTAACGATGCTTTTCTCTCTCTCTCTCCCTGCCCATTTAGTATGACGACCATCAACGGCATATTTGCAGCAGCAGCAGCAGCACGACGACGACACTTGGCCCTTCGCACCCATAGTAACGTCGGTTAGGCTCTCGCATATATACGTGCGCTATGCACACACAGACGCGCGTGGCTTTAATTGATTTAACTTGCGGAGCACATAGTAACGACGACGATTTTGCGGTAGCCATACGCAAAATGCCATGCATATAATACACATCCAGCTCCAATCGAGTTAATATCCCAGCTGCTGTATACGTCATACTATAAAGCGTATTAGACGATCTTGGCCATAATCTAGATGTATTATACGTCTTATCGTTTTGCACTTGTCGCGGGCTTGTGCGAGCAAGCGAGCCTCTTATGACGTATTATATATAAAAAGCAATCGAATACTCGAGCTCGACGGCGGCCGCACGACCAGACAGATGAACGATATCCCTCTTACGCGAGTATAACGTATACGTACGTGGCTCTACGTGTACACGGGGGGCTTGCAAGCTCCGACTCGACTTTTTTTCCTAGACGCTGCCAAAAATATAAGAGCAATCGAAAATCAACTTTCTTCTCTCTTTTCGTTTTCTCCTTTTTGTCGCGGCATGTGCACGCCGCTCCGATATCCATTTTAGTCGCTTCGAGCTCTAGCATAGATGAAAGTTGCTTTATTTTCTTGGCCACGCAAGACATTGCATTCCTACTTCCTGCACTATAACGTCTCGGCGTTGTCATTAAAATACACAATCGCGAGCGGAAAAAATCCAATCTGCCTCTATCCGCCATGTATGAGGAAATACGAGTCGTCACCGAGAGAGCTGGAAAATGTAAATTTATCGCGCGCTACGACTTTATGCGTGCATGAGAGAGAGAGAGAGAGAGCTGGGCTGGGCTGGGCGAGCGACAATTTATGCAAAGTCGTTTACGTAACGCCGAGCGAGAGCTACGAGCTTGTGTCTTTTTCATATTTTTCCCCTCTTCTTTCTCGATGTCGCGCGCTATATGGAGGACGAGGAGAGCATATAGGCTATACACGCCGACGCGATCAGCTCAGCTGTCGCATGCAGGCGCAGTCGAGCTGCTTTTGGCTCGGCTTTACTTACCTGTACCGCTGGCGTGATTGCGATTCAAGAGAGAGAGAGAGAGAGAGACAAGGGCCTTTGGAGTCTTTACAAGGTAAAAGTTCGCATACTGATTTGGGTGACGGCTCGGAGCATATTATACAGTACAGCTGATCAGCGATTAGCAGCAGCTTTTAATAATAAAGCCAGCTTAATTGTTTTCTCATTATCGAGGCCGTTAAGACGCTCGTACGCCGTGTATAACATTTTAACGTGCCACTGGGTCAATGGCTCCGTGACATACACACGGACTCGCACCTATATGTAAGCACTCGCTAACTCGATCGTCGTTCGATCTCGAATTACCTCTTTTTTTTTTGCTCTCCTTCTCTCTTTTGCGGCCACTTTGTCGTTGGCTGCCGCACGCGTTAATAGTCCTGCGACACGATACACGATGACGCGATAATTGGCTCGACGTTTAACGTATGCTTATTCAATATAAGAGGCATTTCGCCTGCCCATAGCAGAGAGAGCCGCGCGAGATCAGATTTACCAAAAGCCACTACTGCCTGGCTATTTTTACATAATTACGCTCGCTTTGTGAAAAGTCCGAGTCCTTGTAAAAGTTGCGGCCGTTTCGTCACGTAGCGCGCAGTATCACAGCCCACGCACCATACCGTTCATTATAATTCAAATAATAACAACAATGGCAAAATCAATTAGTCGATCCGCGAGCTACACACGCATACAGCTACGTATGCTGATGCAAATAATAGCTGCTCTCCTTGTTATTATATTGCGTGAGCTCGCGCGGCATTTTCAGCTGCACCTGCAAAATTATTTATTATACATCGTGCCGTCCCTTCGGCGTTTTTGGCACACGTCGTGCCAGCTCTGGCGATTCGACTCCGAGCTAATTCGTACAAAGCCAATTAGTTGGCCGATGTAATTGATATCGATGTCGCGTGGCGCGCAAAAATTACTCCTACCTCGCGCTTCTTGCGCTTATTCCCAATTGTTTCCGATGCTATATGTATGGGCGGATTACGTCCGATCGCTCGGCTTTTTTCCTTCCTTCGTTTCGATTGCGTTGGAATCGACGTGGACGTTCGATCATCGTCGTGACCTTATCGAGCGATCGACCAGATTCCGACCAAGGCGAGCCTCTTGGAAATCGTCCTGCACCTTCGGCAACGGCATTTAGCAACGCTCGCGTTTATGGCCGACCTTCCTCGGTAAAGCATAACTGGCCCAACGACGTGCGTAACGATCATCCGATGCGTCAACACGCCTAAACGTCTCGGCTCGTAACGACGTTCTCATAATACTTACATGCCAGACTTGCCAAGAAAATAACGAGAAACCAGTCGGACACGCGCCAGCGCTACATCTCCGGACTCCGGCTCCGCGACTCCCATATATAATACAAAAAGATCGGCAGCTGATCTCATGCATCTCTCGCAGTCTCAATACTATATATGTGTATATTGTACCCAACTCGCACATAACCCCCACTCCACTGCCGTATTCGTAGACTTTGTACTCTACTCGTACAGCCGTGTAACATGTCTTTCTCTGTCAAGTGTGTATATACATATATACATACTCGCAAAACTGCTCCGTTGCGAGACAGTAGCTCGCGACGTCGATTCTCTTCAGTCGCGAATCGCGAGTCGTGAGACGGGGGGGAACAGCCACAATTGCCTGACGTCTCGCAAATGAGACCACCGAAACGAATTACCTGCATTTATATGCGCAGATACGCGTGTAACTCATCGAATACCAGTCTCGAACAAGGACTCGGAAACAGTGACTGTGTCGTCGTCAAAGTCTTTTCCTTCCTCCACGCAAAACATACAGAGCTACGCACGGGGGCCTGTGCAATTTCGACAAGACTATTCTAGGCAATGATGTAGAGCTCTAAGAAAAACAACGCTTTTTCATCCTGATTTTATTTCTTCATTCAAGTAATTGTGACTGCACCGTACAGTGTTTAATTTATCAGTTTATGCAACAAATGCACCTGTGCCTGCATACAGGAAAACAGAGAGCTAGATAACTATTTTCGGATGTTAACCTTGGTCACAACACTCGCTTTTTAATTCATTTTCTCGTTCTCCTGAAACTCATGCTATTTCATGCTACCTCAAGTTTTATCATGCGCTTATGGTCTTTCGAGTGAACACTTCTCATTTTACTAATCGTTGCAGTTATACAGCCAAGTCATGGCTGTATCTATCAGTGAGATATGTGAAAATACCAAACTTGCCAGAGAAATGGCTTTAACTGGTAATTATGACACTTCAGGTGTCTATTATCAGGGTGTAGTGCAGCAGATTCACAGACTACTTTCCAGCATTGTTGACAGCCAAAGAAAAGCCAAGTGGCAGCAGGTACAACATCAAATAGTACAAGAATTTGAAAAGGTTAAAGCTACATCTAGTACACTTCAGCTCTTCAAAGTTGATTCACACAATGATAGACTCATTGGTAAGATTGAAATTTTTCAAATTCACTGAATGTTATCCAAAACAAAATATTTCATTTTGTAGGCCCTCAATGCATATCCTATGAAGATACATCGCGTGACTCTGCAATGTGGTCATGCGGTCCTTCAGCTAACTGGACTCCGACACCACCAAGAGATCCCGATGTGTGGCCACCCTTATCACCAACTGAACAAAAGTAAGTTTTAAATTTACATTACTTGATGTTATAATATTGTATTTATAAATATTTCACAATAATTTTTAGAAATTCAAAAATCCCTGCGAGAAATCTTCAAAAACCAACTAATAGATCGAATGTGCGCAAATCAAGTATAGTTTCTACAAAAAAAGATGGTAAGCCAGTCTCTAGGAATAATCAACGAAATAATGGAAATTCAGATGACAAGAAAACTTCTAAATCTAATTCAAATAATAATGGAAAAATAGATGATGTTAATAAGGTTTGTACTATCTCATTCATGTGTACTTCTTAAAAAATCTCACTATATTTATTTATTAATTTTGTTAATTATAGGAAAAAACTGATTCTGAAAAAGCAGACAGTGAAGCTGATGAAAGAAGGTTTGAAGGTGCAGGATGCGATAGGGATCTTGTTGAAACTTTAGAAAGAGATATTGTGCAAAAAAATATTGATATTCATTGGGATGATATAGCAGATCTACATGATGCAAAACGACTTCTTGAAGAAGTGGTTGTACTTCCAACTTTGATGCCAGATTTTTTCAAAGTAAAAACTTTTTGATATTTTTATTAAAAATTTGACTATAAAATCTATAATGAATCTATTATGCAGGGTATTCGAAGACCTTGGAAAGGAGTTCTAATGGTTGGACCACCAGGCACTGGTAAAACCATGCTTGCTAAAGCTGTAGCAACAGAGTGCAGTACTACTTTTTTTAATGTATCTTCATCTACATTGACATCAAAATATAGAGGAGAATCAGAAAAACTTGTCAGAATATTATTTGAAATGGTGAATTTTCAAATATTCCAACAAAATTTATGTTTTTTTCTATCAACAAAAGATAACCATTGAATTAAACTTTTTTCTCATGTTCCAGGCTAGATTTTATGCTCCAAGTACCATTTTCATAGATGAAATTGACTCTTTATGTTCAAGAAGAGGTTCTGAATCAGAACATGAGGCATCTAGACGAGTTAAATCAGAACTTTTAGTTCAAATGGATGGAATAAGTTCAAATAATGAAGATCCAACTAAAGTAGTTATGGTTTTAGCAGCAACAAATTTCCCATGGGATATTGATGAAGCTTTGAGAAGAAGATTGGAAAAAAGGATATATATTCCTTTACCAAATAGTGAGTATTAAATTGTTTCTTTTGTTTACATGAAATGTAAGAAAAGTAAATACAATTTTCTTTCCATTTTGTTATAGGTGAAGGACGGGAAGCCCTACTAAAAATTAATTTAAGAGAAGTTAAAGTTGATGATTCTGTTAATCTTAGTGAAATTGCTGAAAAACTAGAGGGTTATTCTGGAGCTGACATTACTAATGTTTGCAGGTTTGTAATAAAATTCTACATTGAAATCAATCTGTTTCCATTAAATAATTCAAGTAAACGAAATATATGCCATAAATAATCGATTTTCAGAGATGCTTCCATGATGTCTATGAGAAGAAAAATTGCTGGCTTGAGGCCAGATCAAATAAGAGCATTGCCAAAAGAAGAGTTAGATTTGCCTGTGTCAGCTGCAGACTTTGACGAAGCAGTTGCAAGGTGTAATAAAAGTGTTTCACAAGAAGATCTTGAAAAGTATGAAAAATGGATGAATGAATTTGGTTCGTCTTGATATAGTGGCACCCAGAAGTAGCTTTTAATTTTAAGAACATTTTTTTACCAAAGGCAGTTAGGCCTTTTCAGTTATGTGAGAGCAACCAAATTAATCCAAATAGAATTCTGCTACTAAAACTTATAATTTTTAATGAAATATGTGACTGTCATTGGGATCAGCTGCTTTACAATTTTTATTTTATGTTAAAGGAATTTGATTGAAGTCAAATATTTTTGCATTTTTTATGTGCATTTTGTACTTAAAAATATCCTTTGCATAGATATTAATCAAGTTTTTTGATCCAAAGTGTAGATTTAAAAACGCACAATTTTAATTAAATGCATCTTTTATTATTAATTTATTTATTTGTGTTAATATAAATCTTATCATTATAAAAATATATTTACATATTTTTGAATAAAAATGTTAAAATGTTAACATAAATCTAACTTATTTTCAATGATATGTGCTAGGTCCACATCCTTCGGTTCGTATCCGTTTGGTTTCTTCATCTTGATTCTTTCCTCCTACTTTTGGAGGTTTATAATCCTTCACGTGATCCACCCGTATCGTTCTGCCCAAAATCTGAAAAATGATTTGAATCATACATTTTCTGCTTAATGAGTTTCCCATTGATATTGTGATAAAATATTTACTTTTATTCCATTCAAATTATCAACAGCTAATATAGTACTCCTTTGATCCTCGTAGCACAAGAAGCCATATCCTTTAAACTTTCCTGTGTCTTTGTCTCTTATAAGATTTATATTTACTATTTCTCCATATCTAAAAAAAATTCTACGTTAAAATAGTTAATACTAATATTAAAAGTAATGAATGAGCTATTACTTACTGTGAGAATACAGCAATCACATCACCCTCTGTCAAGTCATACGGCATTCCACCAACAAATATCCAAGCACTGCCTTTGTACTCGTCATGCCAAGAAGTTTTGTTTTTTGTTTGTAATTCCTGCTCGCTGAGTTTAATGACATTTTTTATGTTTCTGAAAAAAAAATACAAATTTAACTTTATAAGAGCTGATGTACAGACTTTTGTGTTAAATCAAAGCTGCTTATCTTACGTCATAGGATTCATATTGATAAATATTTTATTCAACAAGATAGTACTAAAAATGTTAAAGATAGAAATAGTCCTCTGTCAAAAAAGTATAACGGAAACTTGTTTACATGCTGCTTTTACTCATAACCCTAATGTAATATGGTCAAGCAGACAGTACTAGAGACACTAGATTCTGAGGCGAGCAGAAAAGTGAACTAACGTCATGGATTATTACCGCCAGATTTGAAGTAGTCAAGAAACATTAAAGTTCATTTAACTTTACACATCTCATGTTGAGTGACAATAAGCTAATATTGAAATTGTTTGAATAAGGATACAAACCGAATGAATAATTAACAGATTACTCATATGCGAGTTACGTCATTAATCACTATTGACGTTTATAAGTTATAACAACAGAAATGACTCATAAAAGGTCATTGTCATTTTTCTTATCCAGTGCATACTCATATATAGGCATTGGCCAACACAAAAACATGTGCTCACTGCTTGCAGTGTTATAATATTCGTTTTTTTTTTTTTTTTTACTAAAAAGCATTTCGAGAATAACGCTGCATTTAAGAAAGGATTTGTAAAAAAAATTAAATGCCTTACTCTTTATATCTTATGACAAATAAAACCTTGTAAAATCTAATTAGAATATATTGGCAGGTTTGCAAATTGATATTGTGTAGACAAGAAGAATAAAATTTTTGAGAAAAAAAGTAAAGGGGATAAATTAGTAAAAAGAAAAGGAAACCAAAAAGAACAGATCAGCCATAAGTAGAGTAATATGTATGGCATATTAGTGTAAAAAATTGTAAACACCTACTTAAAATCAATATAAAAATTGCTTCAACGTTATAAAATAAATTAAATTTATTAAAATTTTGACAATTATCAACAACTTTTTTTTTCTTATTATTTACTTCTTATTGTCCACGTTGATTGATCAGCTCGATCCTATAATAGAAATTTTTTTTAATTAAGAATCTTATTTCAATAAATCTTTTATTACAACACCATACTTACTCTCACGTCAATTCCACAATTAGACAAACTTGTTCTTACAGTGTCACAAGACCGTAAAAGTTCCATATTTTTGTCTTTTCTGGCTTGCAATCGTACATCATGCCTGAAATTGATTAGAATATCTAATATATTAGATAAATTACTCCTGCTTTGCCTTTCAGATGAAAGTTTAATTCCCAATTTTGAAATGAAAGTCTGCACATAATTAGAAGCAGCAGCTACACTCCCTGGGTCTCTTATACCATTTGTTTTCTGAAAGAAATATTTTAATTACTCACAACTGTTTAAAAAAAAAAAAATGTTTTACAAATATATTTTATCACTGACCTTCTCATCTGCAATCATTTTATTAGTGGAAGAAATGAATTTTATAATAGCTTGCATAGCATTTGGAGTATTGTAATCATCAGCTAGAGCTTCATAAACTTTCTTTCTAGTTTGTTCTAGATTCTAAAATTAAATTAAATACCTACAGTTAAAATAAAAAAAATTGAAATTCTCTATGATTTCAAAAAACATACTTTTAACAACGTGATACTATCTACATTGCCACCAAAATAGTTTCCAGCAACATAATCATTGCAATTGCTAATGAAAAACTCAATTTTCTTCAATAATTCTGATGCAGTATTAACTAGCTGACTAGAATAAATAACATCTGTGAAAAGTAATAAATTTAATAAAATGTAAAATAATTGTACTATTATTATAAAATAATAACATTACTATTTCTATAGTGACTGAGAAGACAAAACATTCTAAATTGGTTTGGTGTACAACTTTTTAGCATATTAGCAATGCTTACTGTGTTTTGCAAACTCTTTGACATTTTGGTGTCACCTTCTAGATGTAAGTGTCCTGTATGTAACCAATAATTAACCCACTGTTCAACATTGTGATGACAACATGATTGAGCTTCTTCATTTTCATGGTGAGGAAATGCCAAGTCTATGCCTCCACTGTGAATGTCAATGTTATTTCCAAAAATGGCACTAAAAAATATGTATTTAAAATTGAATCCATCATATCATAAAGTATATTTTAATTTACCTTGCAATTGCACTACATTCTATGTGCCATCCTGGTCTGCCTCTACCCCATGGACTTTCCCAATATGGTTCATTCTCTTTAGACCTCTTCCACAAAGCAAAGTCTAATGAAGACCTTTTGTTCTGGTGGGTCTCTTCAATTTGAGGAACTTCTAATTTCCCATAACTAGAGTGTTTGGATGTGTCAAAATACATGGAACCTGACAAATTTAATGGATAAGAATGAAAACCAGCACAAACTTTCGTTAATTTTTATGAATTCAAAAGTGTACCATCTTTTCCTATGTAAGCACCGCCTTTGTCTGCAATTTTTTTTATAAAATCAACTATTTGAGGTATGTAAACGCTTACTTTACAATACGACATTGGTCGAGAAATATTTAAAGAGTCCATGTCGGAAAAAAACTCATTTTCATAACGTTGAGTGATGCTTTGCCAGCTTTCTCCGGTATCAATGGCTCTTTTAATTATTTTATCATCTATGTCAGTCATTCCCATACATACGACAACATTGATGTCAAAAAATTCCGTCATCACTCGACGAATAATGTCGAATTTCATGTATGTACTAAAAAAATGAAAAAATCATCAATTATGCTTTGCGATTCATAGTGAGATCCAATTCGTTTAATTTAAAAAAATAAATTACCAAGCATGGCCTATGTGAGCAGAGTCGTACACAGTTGGTCCGCACATGTACCAAGTGGCAACGTTTGGATGTCGTAAAATTAGAGGAGTTTTGCATTTTTTGACTGGATTATACACAAGTAAATTAGTGTCGGTACCGGTTGGCCTGATCCATTGAAATTTAGTATCGCTACCTAAGCGCCTGACAGAGGAGTGAAGAAATCGTTTGTATACATAATTGGCCATTTTTAGTCAGCAACCAATTGTCATTGTCAACTGACAGTGCAGGTACGACGACAGGAGCCGGTGAAAAACGTCAACTGTCTGTACGTACAGCCAAGTTAACTTTTTACGCACGCCGGACTGTGACTTGGTGAGGCGTCCGCTGTATTGCCTAGCATGCGCGCAAACAACAACATGGAACATGGTCGATTTATATATACGTTTGGTACTACATTATCATCATTCATCACTCTCGCCTGCGGCCAGTCAGACAGTCTGCAGTCCCCTCATCAGTAGGTATAGCCGTTCGAAGTATATACGACTGTACCAAGCATAACCTCACGAACGTCACGAGGGTGTGGAGAAGGCTTCTGCAATTCTCTCTTAGTGTGCTTGCAAAGCAAGTAGAGTTCGCATCACAGCGAGTTACTCAGTTGACGTACCGCAGCTCTGCGAAATTCAAGCGAATCGCGTACGCTTCGCTCGTATAACCCTTTGCCTCTGATTTGCCCCCCCCTTGAGTCGAGTTTAATCCGTCGAGACGCTCGAGCTTGTAGCTAGTAAGCATCAACAATTCGACAATTATGGTTCTCTGTGGTATCGAGTGCGTCCAAAGGATTTCCCAGTATCTCGACGTTTCGCCGGGAAAGCTCTACATGTCGGAAAATAACGTGAGTATGATAAATTATTAAAATTACAAACTCAGATGATCAGTCAGTTAGTCTGTCTGACTGTCTGTCTGTTTGTCTGGTTCTATAGCCCTTTTGATTTTTTTATGATGAGCTCGTATATATATTTGTGTGTGTCTCTTCACAGAGCATGTAGCGTGCCTGCGTGTACGTGTGGGTTGGCGTGAAAGTACGTTATATGTAAACAGCGTTGCTGCTGGTGGATCGTTCCATAAAAAAATGCAAAGCCCATTTAACGACGCGGCTTCCCTTTTCACGTGGGTTTTTCCTCTCATTAATTACTAAATAATTCCGACTCATGCTGCACGTTTATTTTAAGATCAGTCTGTAGCCAAGATCATTATTGACGTATATTTGTTTATGTTTTTATTTATGACTTCGTTTTTGTTTTGTTTATAAATTTTTCTTGATTCGGGGCCTCAACGAAGTTTACGCATCGAGACAATTCACATGTAGGTATGAATTTCAACGCTAATTCGAAGATACTTGATGAAATGTTTTCATTATTTTCTCGGAATTATTTAACTTCGATAGTTAATCGATACTAACGGATTTCATGAACATTGATCCATAGATATTTTGAATTTTTTTAGATTAAAATTTTGTTGATTTAAAAATATTGTTCTTGATAATAGCTAATTCAAACGTCCGTAATAACCCATATAAATTGATAAACAATTCTAGCAACGTGTTAAAATTAATGTGTCACTCAAAATTTTATCAAAAAATTATAACTTGCAGAATGTAGCAGCCAATGGGTTAGTAGATAGTCAAAGCACAGAGGGCTTCAGTACTATAATTCAGGCAATGGTCAAGAATTCCAAATATCCAGCAATTCTTGGAGATGATTCTGTAACACAAGCTTTAGTAAGGCAATGGTTGGAGTATGCAGCAGTGTGTATAAATTTTGCAGATAATTCTGCCTTTGAAAGGAGGGTCTTAAATGTAATATATATTATGTTACATTCAATTTAGTGATTTTATCAAATTAATTAATGTAATATGTGTTTGTTTTTTTCAAGGAGCTTAACACAATTCTAAAAACAAACACCTATGTAACTGGTACAAAAAAAACTATTGCTGATGTAAGCATGTATTACTCTGTACATGGATTAGTGGTAAGCAAAATTTACTTTTGGTTGTGTCATATCTAATTGGAGAAAATTAGCCATTTTACAATATTGATTTTTTCCAGAACAAAATGAGCCCACAAGAGAAAGCAGAACATGTACACTTATCAAGATGGTGTGACAACATGCAGCAGGATGAAAAATTACGTCAATCCATGGATTCTATTAACTTTAACATGATGCATTTATATTTGTAACAGAAATTATTCTGCTTTCCTCACAAGTGTGTAATTATTTTTTTTTTGTAAGTTGAGGCTCAAAAATTATTTCCTACAAAATTGCGAACTAGTGCGTAAAAAAACGTTTGTTAATTACATATTTAAGGAAAAATAAACTAATATCGCATTTATTAAAACATTGTAAAATGTGAACTCTACTATCATTGACAACCCTTGAAAGCACGCGAAGGGCGAAATTTCTAGAAAGTAAGTGCATACACGACGTGCGGCGGTAAATTCAAACGAGCTTTGAGCTTGAGTTTATCGTTTTCGAACAATACTAATATTCTTCGATTGTAAAATGTTTTCGGTCGCTTTGACACCTTTAAAAAATAAAACGACATTCCGTTCTTTGAAAATAAATCAATAAAATTGCCAAGGAAATATTTAAATAGGCAATAAGCTGGAGCTATCGATCGATAGGATATTTTCCGAGTTTTCCGCAGTCTCTGGCGCTTAGAGGTCGCCAGCAGTCTGAGAAATTGTCTTTCTTGGTAGACACAACGGCTCTGATGCAGCATTCACTGTGCTTGTACAGAACCCATCGTCATCGCTACAAAGCTAGATGGCAATATATAGTCAGTCAGTATCCCCCTGAGCGCCGACAGTCAACACTCGGCTCGAAGTAGGGGAAAACTGGCGGCCCGAAAGATGTCTGCCATATACGGGGATATCCGCGTGCAGAAACAGCGTCAGAGGCGAGCAGCACTCGGTAAAGATCGTCGCTCGAGCGCGAATGGGAGGGGGTGGGGGACAGTAGCGTGAACCGCAGCTAGACTCCTTTTTCACGCTGCCTGCCAAAGTCAGTCTCCGTGTTGTAGTGGTCGGCGCCGCTGCGAGAGCTATATACGAGTGGTCCCAGCAGCTGTGCATCATGTGCAGTAGTAGCAGCGGACGACGACGACGACGACGACGACAATGATATAGAAATTCATTGGCTGCACGCATTATATAGAAAATACGTACTCGAGTTGAAGGAGCCAAGCCTCGATCTCGCTCTCTCGTGCTGTGTCTTACCACCGATGCCTCTCAGTGACCAAAAAAAAGTCCAGAAAAATAACAAAAACACATCGCTCGTTATTGTTGTGCTTGAAAATTTAGTTGCTCGCTCCTCAGCTGTTACCGAGTAGTTTTTCTCTTTCTCTTCTACGATATCGCGCGAGTGATCCCCAACAATAGATAAGGCATAATTGTTTTTATGCCTAGATTTGAGTGCGTTCGCGAGCATCGAGTAGCAGCAGCATCAGTATAAGCAGCAGCAGCAGCGTCGAGTTATATATGATTTTACGGTTCAGTGCTTCGGCTGCAGCAGCGCAAGCCAGCTACGCCGCCGCCGCCACCGCCGTCGACTCGGTGTGTTGTTGCTGGCCAGCAGCATCGTGATATACAGTGCCCCGTACAGTGCAAAGCAGCCAGAGGAGATTTAACATCGGCGCAACGGGAGAGAGAGTTTGCACGAGGCCTCGTGCACTCATACATAGATCTCTTCTCTATAATATAATAAGAGTTACAACGAGTCGAGATGGCCGACGAATCTAGCGTGCGCGTCGCAGTGCGGTGAGTTTTACAATCTTCAAGCACACGAGATTATCCGTCGGAATAGTTGTAAATGTAATTAGCGGGACCCTCGAGCGATAAGAGATAGTCTTTCGTAATCGACTCGTAGCGGGGAAAAACGCGATTAGGGGCGACTTGCCAAAGATCTCTTGGCTTTTTTATCGGACGGGCTGCAGGACTCGGGTTTTTGGCTATTAACCTGATCATCATTGATACTTGGACACGTCCGATGCTCGTTACGCCGTGCCGAGATGCGATGACGCGAGCTCTTTCGTTGCGTGTTGTGTTGATCGATTTCGTGCAGCCGTCGCCGCTGCAACTAGCAACCCTCGGCGTCTATATATTTCGGAGCTTTTTTTCGCGCAGCTCCCTTTCAAGGCCAAGGCGAGCAGCACATGTTTCTATCGTACGATCTCGACCGTTTGTTTGTTACTTTTTCCTTCTTTTACTTTTTGTTTGTTTGGGTAAATTTTTTAGCTGGGCATTTAGATTATACTCGAGTTGTATACTCGTGCGTTCGTGACACTATATACATCCGGTGTATTTCCAAACAAATAAAATAATAATCGAATCGCGCCTTCAGCGAACGCGCGTGTGTGCACGCGTGGGAGGCTCTCTCTTTCTCTCTCTCTCTCTCTCTCTCTCGGGCTCTTTTTTATTCAACTGCCTGCCCAGTCATTCGTATACGGCCCACTGGGCATGTGTGTGCACAGTTTCGCAATGTTTTCATAAGTATGTATATGTACGAGCGTGAAAGTTTTCGTCCAACTCGTATATGCGAGTAGTATCGATCGATTGCGTCGATTCGCTGTAATAGGAAGAAAAGCGATTGTCAATCATGCCCACGATCGAAGCGACCAATAACGATAATAAAAAAAATCGTCTCTTTCGTTTTGACGAGAGAGAAAGAGAGAAGCGCCGATGCGCGAAAAATGAAAGAAGAGCAAAGCCTGCGAAGCCTAACTGTTTCTCTTGTTCTCTCGTCTCTCTTTCCCTTCACTCGGAGAGCAGCCGAGGAAAAGGAAAAGCCGAAACACGACGGCGTTTATATCCTCTGCATAATGGGATTTCGTCGATTGTTGTCGGTCGATCGGAGCCACGCAGAGCCTTTGACGCGACCGAACCGATTGTTATTTTGTTTGAATACCTGCGCAACGCGTGTCTTCCATTTGGCTGAGATTACATTTGCAGAAAGGCGGAAACGTTAAATTTTTTTGCTGCTACCGCAACAGATGAATAATACAAAAGAGATTTTGAGAAAAATCGAATACATCCGTCCAGGAGTATAAGCGAAACGTCTCGAGATATTATTGACAAAATCTCGGAACATAATCGGACGTTCATGCGCGCGTTTATGAAACGATTTTTTAGAAAGTCGCGCCGCTGAGCCCTCCTTTTATAATCGAATCAACTATATATGCCATACCGTTACAAAGCTCTCACCAATAAAGTACGCGCATATAGGTAAAAAGCAACAATTGCGCGATTTCACGCGTACACGCGAATTAGCTCGGTAATGCGCAATTGCTGCCTCGTATAAAAATTGAACGAGAAAAGTACTCTTGGGTGGGTTTGTCGAACTAAGAGCCTTTAACTCATCGCGGACCCAATTATCGCCGCGACGGAAGTATGTATCACGGCGGTATGTATAGAAAGTTTAGGAGTCGGCTGTCTCTGTCTTTCCTTGTGACGCGCGCAGTCTCTGCTCGACTGGGCCTCGAAAGGAAAAAAAAACCCTGTAACAGGTCAAGATAATAATCAGAAAATTCTTGACTCGCGAAGGTTTTCATCTGGCGCTGAGCGCGCCTCTAAGCGCAGTTTCTATCTCACTATGTCAGTCGGTTTCTCAACGAGATATCCGATCGTGTGCGTATGCGTGCTTATACGTATCCTTGGAAGTAGGATATTCAAATGGCGATGGAATAACATTGATCTTATTTCCAAAGCTGCACTCAATGTATTATGTAGCGGCGGTACTCGTATAGACCGAGCCTCGTACAGACTGTGTATAAATACGAAAATAGCTGTCAAAAGTGCCTTTTAACGTGGAGCAGCGAGGAGGAATCTTACACGTGTCGACACGACTGCGATTAGAATAATAAATCAGAGTTTTGTATAAGCGCGCAGAGATAAACAGAAGCCGAGCTCTCTTATAAATACGTTGATAGCTGCGCGCGTAAAGCATCAATATGCTTAATATAAGCTGCTACCGCTAGCACATCGCACCTTCTTCAATTATGTCTGGCCATTAATTCAGTCGGTCGCGTACGAGCTTTATGTACGCATATACAACGACGGCTCTATTCAGTTGCAAAGTATAATAGATGCGCGTCGAGCGACTCGAGCACGGAGCGGCTCATCGCCATTGTATACGCGTGTGTAATGCACACTTGTCCATCGTAAACTAGGCGATCGCGCCTCTCTCTCTCTCTCTATCGGCGTCTTGGCTTTGAGCGCCCACTTGTGCCAATGATAAGTCGTAAGAGTCGTTGTTCTTGTAACAACGACCTGCTCGATCGCGTTTGTCCTGCTTGATTTTTTCTTCTTCCTCGGAATAATAATAAATAATTGGACGCGTCAAAAGAAGCGACCTATCCAATCGCTCGTTTCCTTGCATTTTTCCAATGAGCCGAGAGCCGAGAAAAAATCGGCATCGCGTGCTCGAGGACAATTAGCGTATAAACTGGCGCGTTCTCAAAAGCTCGGCTCGCGTGCAACTGCACCGCCATTATGTAATTTCGTGTAGCTTTGCTTTTGAAAAAAAGTTTGCTCGCGCACCGAAGCTGCGGCGATCGGCTCGGTATGTACAGCGCTTATGTCAAAGAAGGCGCGGCGCATCCGTTGCACAGGTGCGTAGGTGCTTACACAGCCGCAGTCCCGTTTTTTTCTAACGCACTCGTGTGCGACTGAGACGCGCGACTAGAAAATAATATGTAGACGATATGCATTTGTATTTGGCCTCTCGTGGCGTCGACTCTTACGCGTAATATAGGCCTACAGCTCACGCCAGCAGCTGTACATTGCACATTGCACATGGCATTGCCCTTTTGCGTCGCACTGCCGCCTGCCAGTGCTGCATTGTCTCTCGTGGCTCGCGTACACGGAGACTTTCGTAGCTTCCATGGGGTAGCGGTTCATTGTTTTTCTCTCGATGCGGGAGCGCACGCGTACGAAGGGAGACTCTAATAGTAGTTTTCGAGGGTGAGCCTTTGCGCGTATTTAGCAGATCCTCGTCCGCGTTGCTTTTGTCGGCTCGATTTTGTTCGCGGAGCTGCGTGCTCGCGTCGGCTATCAATTTTTAGCCAGGTATCGTTTCAGGCCCGGTCTCCAGCGACTACTTGGCAGGGAGACGAGCGATGCATGCATCCGTCCCACATGGCCGCGATTGTCAACAAGACCATCTCTCGCTCTCGTGCGTGCCTAATTAACGCGCGATCCTTGGCATTTCTTTTGCCGGATACACAAATTTTAATTAAGGCAAAAAATATCGAATGTCCGACGGTCGAGCTACCTGCGTACACTCTCGAGACACACGGTCTCTTTCTCTTTCTGTATAGACTACGCGCGATTCTCTATTCTGGCGGCGCTCGTCAAAAATCATTATTATCGTGTGAGCAGCCAAGCAGCTACACTGACTTACGTACGCCCACGTATAACGAATCAATTACGACGATGCTCGATTCTCTCTGTATACATAATGAGCGTTTGTTGTGCGTGTGGCCGCGCCGTCTGTTAAAAACCAGCTAAATATAACGGCCTACATCATATGCACACACATGCACGTTGCGTACGCGTAATGAAAATATTGCCTCATTCGCGGATTACTGCAAATAATATAATTGAAGCGTTTGCACGGGCTCGTTTTCGAGCGAGTGCAGAGGCTGCTCCGCACGTTTAGTTGTTTTGTTGCTCGTGCCATGGCGAACAACCTGTTGCTCAACGTCGCTTCCGAAACTCGCGTACTCGCGTCTAAAAATTCGAGAGAATTGCAAATCATCGCGGCTGCTACGTAAGCGAGGCTCGGGCGGGCACCTGTTCCCCGTTTTTCGTCATCGTATGCCGCCTCGTGTGGAAGCCTAATGACACCTTTATTACAATAGGAAGTCATTGCACACGAGCGAGCGATCAATTTTTTTTTCTTTCTCCATTTCTCTTCTCTGGTTCGCCCCCTTTTGCTCCGACTCTTTCGTACGCATAAAAGCTAATAACATAGCTCTTGCTCTCGCACTCGAGGAATTTCGTTTCGTTCGTTAACTTTTCACGGTTATAGCGCAGGTGCGCATGGGACTCGTAGCTGTTTCCCGCAACTGCAGGCACAAGAGAAAAGAGAAAAATAGAGAGAGAGAGGTTGTTGCTACCTGAGCTGTTAATAGACTCGCGCAGACATTACGAGCACTCCTTCGTGTGTTCTTCGCTTGCCAAGCGCTCGGTGCAGCTCGGCAACCAACTCGCTATTATGCGCGATGCACGAGCGGAGCTGTCAGAGAGAAAGAGAGACAGAGATTTTTAGCTCTCCGTCGCGAATGAGCCTGCAATTTAATGCAATTATGATTTACTGCTATTTTTGACGGAAAATTAACGCGTGTTATGAGAAAAAAAGAGAATAATGTACGCGCTAGAGAGCAAAGATGCGGTGTTGATAATAGTGAATAATGAGGATTAGCGGCTTATGCGATTGCGATAGGCGAGCATCAAAAGTTATGTATTCGCAGGCGCTATTATACGAAGAGGCGATTGGCAGGCGAAGGCGAGATAAGGCGGCGATCGCTCGTCGGCAGGCCGAAGCTCGATATCGAGGCGCGATGTATCGTTTCGCTTTTAAAATGTTTATGCCATTTGCGGCGTTCCATAAACATCATCGATAAAGCCGCACGCGCGTCGAGTGCCCCTGTATCGCGTTGCACACAGTGATACAAGTATACGCAATAGTAACGAGAACAAAATAACTCTTGGTCGTGAATCACGATTCCGCCCCCGCAAAAGCTCATAATGCGTATCTCGTATTAATAAATGCCGCAAGCCATTGTGCGCTGCCTTATTCATTGCTTTGTTTTTTGGCTTTGTTTTGTAGAATCCGGCCGCAAATAGCCCGAGAAGTCATCGACATGTGCAGGGTGTGCACGGTCGTGCCGGCCGGCGAGCCCCAGGTCTACCTTGGCCCGGACAAAGCCTTCACCTACGACTACGTCTTCGACACGAACTCGGACCAGTCGGGCATCTACGAGACGTGCGTGGCCAGGCTCGTGGAGGGCGCCCTCGACGGCTACAACGCCACCGTGCTCGCCTACGGCCAGACGGGCTCCGGCAAGACCTACACCATGGGCACGGGCTTCGACGTCGAGATCGACGAGCACATCGTCGGCATCATACCCAGGGCGATCAAGCACCTCTTCGACGGCATTGCCGAGAAACAGCAGAGGGCCAGGGAACGAGCTCAGATGCCTCCCGAGTTCAAGGTAATCTATCGCATTTTTTACTCCATCGCCAGTTCTACTCTATAAATATTGCCTACGAGCAAAAAGCAAAAAGCGAGCTTCGATGCTCCTGCGCTTTCTCTATTTTTTCGCGCTGCCAGCTGTATGCGCTCGTACGCGTTATTAAACTACATTGAAGTAGCTCGCGATCGTTGACCGAGCTCTTACGTAAAAAGATGTTACGTTATCACGCTGACATGTCGCAAGAATCAATGAAAAGAAAATCTTTTTTTCTTCTCTCGAGCCGAATAAAAAAATTGTTTGCGAACGATCGTAATTAAAGCTGCTGCGACTTGTCGTCGAGTGTAATTCAAGAGACTCGTCTCGCCTCGTGCGCCATTCGACTTTAATATATTGAATTTCGTTGCTAGAAAAATGATATTGTACCTTTGCTCGCGATTTAAATGACTTTTTATGCCATGCGCGTAGCGTTATTGATACGTACGTAGGAGTTTGCGCATGTCTGTAAAATAATATTCACCTAGAAGCTGAAAGTAGTTCTTTCCTCATTATCATCTCTAGAGAATCGTTATTATATTTAAATTTATGCTAATCTACGGCCGCTTGTCTAATCCACCCACCAGGATGAATTGGTCAATTGTAGTTTGCCTACACGCACTCATCAATAATATCGACGCGTCGTTATTAATAAAGTAAAAAATGAAATTGCTCGCAGGTGTCGGCTCAATTTCTCGAGCTTTACAACGAGGACTTGAAAGATCTGCTGTCGCCGGGTGGACCGCGAGGTGGAGCCCGCATCCACGAGGACACGGCGGGCAACATCCACTTGGCCGGCGTCGAGTCTCGCAACGTCTCGAGTCCCCAAGAAGCTCTGGAGTACCTGCGGATGGGTGCCTTGTCGCGAACCACCGGCTCCACGCAGATGAATACCCAGTCGTCGCGATCTCACGCCATTTTCACCCTGTACATAAGGCAGGCCAGATGCGTCGGTATGGACGACCCGGACGCCGACGTCGACACGACCAGCAGCAACGGCCAGAGCAACGCCATGGAGACCAACAGCAGCGAGCTCGAGACCCTCACGGCTAAATTTCACTTCGTCGACTTGGCCGGCTCGGAACGACTGAAAAGGACCGGCGCGACCGGTGACAGAGCCAAAGAGGGAATATCCATCAACTGCGGATTGGTGAGTGTTTATGTATTATGCATTCCGATGCTTAATACAATCCGAATTAGCATAATTTATCGATCGATTGTTATCGATGAATCACCTATCGAATTCATTGATGCGACGGCGCCCGATCATCGTTATAAATATATACATAATACCGGTTTCATTGTTTCGTTTTGTGGTTTTGTCTTGGGGCTTGGTATACAGTTGGCGCTCGGCAACGTCATCTCGGCCCTGGGCGACAAGACGAAAAAAGCCCTGCACGTGCCTTACAGAGACTCCAAGCTGACGAGGTTGCTGCAGGACTCGCTGGGTGGCAACAGCCAGACCTGCATGATAGCCTGCGTCTCGCCGAGCGATCGGGACTTCATGGAGACCCTGAGCACGCTCAAGTACGCCAATCGCGCGAGAAACATCAAGAACAAAGTCATGATCAATCAGGACAAGAGCTCGAGGACCATTGCCTCTTTGAGGCGCGAGATACAATTGCTGCAAATAGAATTGTTGGAGTACCGGCAAGGTGAGGCTCGAGTCTTTTTTTTTCCTTTTTTTTTCTTCAATAATCGACTTTCGACTGGCTGCGCGCGTACTTTATGAATCAAGCGCCTATAAGTAAACCTGTAAGATTGCGCGCGAGCAACGTATATATACACGCACCACTTCCTACTCGATTTTATCTCCAGCTCTTGCGTAACTCTCGACTTTATGCGTATGATATTACAGCCGAGCTCGCGTATTATTCATTTTGTCGCGCGAGAGCTTTTTCATATACGCACAACGAAAAAGGCCGAGCACGCCTGTCCGTGCAGGTTTTGCTTAAAAATATTTTCATTTATTTCCTTCGCAACGAATCACAAATCCCGCTCTAGATACAAAGATAAAATCAATAGGCTAAAGTCGATTACAAATTGTATTTACTACAAATTGAATTATCGCCACCGACGTACAGCATAACAGCCTCTACTGGCTCGTGCACATGCACGTACGTTGCTATACTTTTGGCCTACTTTTCTCCTTCTGAACAAGCGGCTTTGCTTTTCATTCGCAGGTAAAAGAAACGTGGGCGAAGATGGGGTTAACGACGCCTGGCACGAGAATCAAATGCTCAACAGCGAACTTTCCAGCTTGCGGACCCGCGTCAAGGCCTTATCGGAAACGGTCGAGGCACTCACGGCCAAAAATGCACTCTTGCTCGCGGAGAAGGCCTCGGGTCTTTGGGCCAATTCCGGCAATTCGGCCGACGACGTTACCGGACTGGTTCAAGGCTACCTCCAGGAGATCGAGGAGCTCCGAGCTCGACTCCTCGAAGCCGAGGCTCTTTATCAGCAGTTGAAAAAACGCCAGATGCATGTAAGTATTGAGCGAGCTTTAAAGTCACTGAACAGCAGAAGCAGTAAATAGAAAATTTGATAAACCGTGAAAAACATGTTTAGCTTTCATATGGAGTAGATAGCCAATTTGAAAACCTACAGGTATGATTCACCGCACGGCGATCGAAATTCTCGTTTATTTATCTTTTATATTTTAACGTATGTGCCTGCCAATTTACGTAGGTGCCACCTACATAAAGTACTCAAGGCACATACAAGTCAATAGCTATCTGAGTTATTGTAATACGTACGAACAAAAAATTAAACACCCCATTACCACGCAGACAAGTTTCAGATTAAAATTACACATGTTACATTTTTGTCATAGTAGAGTAATGCAAAAGTGGATTATCGCATGTCCCCTAAATATACGTATCCTATTACCATTGAAAACAATGCGAGAAAAAAAACACGACTCGTAACCCACATTCGACATTGCACGCAGATAAACAGACGAACATCGCTTATAGTTAGCTAGCTAGGTAGTTGCACAGTGCATACGTATATTTATCTTTTTTTGTGTAATACGACGAACAGATAAACGCTGCGAGCAATCCGTACAACAATGACACGATGTCGCACGTGCTGCACGGAGACTCGGCCTCTTTGATTATGGACGCGAAGAAAGAGTTGCAAAAAGAAAAGGCTCTGTTGGCCAGCTTGAAAAATCAACAGTCTCACAACTCAAATATTAGCCCGAGGGAGAGCGGCGGCGGTGGCGATGCCGACGATGGCGACATGGACGACACCGAGAACGGCCATGAATCCATGAGCGAGGACGAGTCCGACGACGAGGATAGGAAAGGTCAGTTTCAACTTTTGAAAAATTAATCGAGGCTAAGCCACGATAAGCAGAGGCTCGTTTTGCGCCTTGTTTGAGCTTGTAATTATAGAACTATAAAAATACTCGAAAAAATAAGACTGCGAATTGCAAATGCAAACTTACCGAGCGACGTGCCAGCTTTGCGCTGAACAATAAAAAGACGCGATTCATTCCTTTTGCAGAAGAAGACGAAGTAGAAGAGGCAATGGGCCGAGAACTCGAGAATCTAACGTCAAACATCGACGTTAAACAGCGCTTGATCCAGGAACTCGAACTATCGCAACGCAGGCTACAAACGATGAAACAGCACTACGAGGATAAGCTAGCGCAGTTGCAGGCTCGTATTCGCGACACGCAAGAAGAACGCGACAAAGTACTGACGTCGCTGACGCTGCAGCCGTCTGCCCCGACGGAAAAAGTCCAAAAGCTGCGCTCCGAGTACGAGAAGCGACTCTTGGCAATGCAAAAGGAAGTGAAAATGCTGCAGTCGGCGAAAAAAGAGCACGCGAGACTGCTCAAGAGCCAATCGCAGAACGAGACCCGATTGAAGGGCCTTCGCAACGAGCTAGCCGAGATGAAACGTGCCAAGGTGAAACTGCTGAACAAGATGCGCGAAGAAGCTCAGAGGCACAAAGAGAACGAACTGAAGCGCAACCGAGAAATAGCTCAACTGCGCAAAGAGAGCCGCAAGAACGCCAACATGATACGCTCCCTCGAAGCGGACAAGCGCATGAAGGAGGTCGTACTGAGGCGCAAACAAGAGGAAGTCACAGCGCTGAGAAAGCGGGACCGTGGCTTGAGCCACAAAGTCGCGGGCAGGACGCCAGCAGTGAAGAATCCCAATCCCAAGGCACTGAAGCAACGATGGCAGACCTTCGAGAGAACCATCGCCAAGCAGGCTTTGGCCAAGCAAGCTGCGACCGAGACCGAGCGAGAAATGGAGAGACTGCTGCAAGAACGAGAGGAACTTGGTAGGGAGCTCGAGAAATTGAAGAAACACAGACTAGTAGTCGCTTCCACAAAGGAGGATACGACAGACCTCGACGAGGAAATCGACAACGTCACCAGCAAAATCAGCTACCTACAGGTAAAAATAAATATTAATGTATTCGATCGATCCAGTCTAAAATTAAACGGCGCTAAAATCAATTTCTGACGTTTCCTATTCTAGGACAGTATATCGGAATGTCAAAGAACAATGGTGGAAATGGGAGACGCGGACGGCGAGGCAGAAGGTGAGCCCGGTATCGAGGCTCTGCTCGGCACTGTTAAAACCGTCGACGAGGCTCAGTACCTCATGCAACGAATGCTGGCCTTTACCATCGAACAGAGCTACATTGCGGCTCAGAAACAGCTCGAAGCACGCGACATGGAAACTAGGTTGAATCAAGTGGCACAGGAGAGCGATGTGCAGCACCAGCTGCTCGAGCACGTGCTCAAAGAGAGAGATCTGCTTTCGTTGACGAACAGCAACCCACCGAACAATACAACAGCGGCCTACAGTCCACCGAGTTCGCGTAGCTCGTCGCCCGACAAGTGAGTAGTGCCGCAATCGATATACCCGTCTGCTACCGCTCTGACTATTTGTCCGTGTGCGTCATTGTGCTTCTGTGTTCTTGTCTGAATTGTTGCATTTTCACGCGCACACCTACGTTGCATGAACGTACGTGTCAATGAGCTTCGGATAAAGAACCAATAAGGAGTACTCTATACCGAATACATTTTTTTATTCTTTTCAATAATACAATAAATTCGATTATGTATATATTAGTTCAACACGGTTTTATTATCTTGTCTCGTTGACAGTTTTATACAATTGATTCAACAGCATTTTGGAAAAACGCCGTTTGGTTCTGCACCCTTGAAATGATTCTTGAGTTCTGCATCGCATCTAAAATCAACGAAAATTGTATTATTATAAGATTTCCGATCAATCTGTCATGCTTTTACTCACTCTTCTTCGTGCTTGACTACTTTGCTTACGCGTGCTCCATTTTGCGCAACTTTGACGACTTTAGAACAAGTAACGAATTTACAGTCATTTGGCAAATAAGAACTCTGCACTTCCGCGTCGCAACCATCTAAAAAAGATCGGATAAATATTCAAATACTTTTATGTAGTAGAAATGAGAGTCAATTATGAAAACTGGAAAACTCACCGAATAACACACTTGCCTTAGAGACGGTAGCAAGTACGCATAAAACAAAAACTAGTAAAACAAACTTCATGATAACGATTTTGAAAGTAAGCGTTCTGAACTCGGAAATATTCAAACTGTCACTGAGAGAATTGAAAAATATTGTTGAATTTTATACTGTATAGAGCTATATAAAACTGAAATCGTGACCAATCGTAAAAAAAAAATTATGAACAGTACGTGTTGATATGTGCACTAATTTTAATCGTGCGCTGAATCGTAGACAATTTTTGCCTCGTTACAACTATCTTTTAAACATTACAGATCGATTTCTTTGTTTCTTGAATTCTAGTACTCGCGCTATAATGAGTTTCTACTGTTCGGCTTGTAACGCAATATTTTTTATAGTCAATTATAAAACTACGAAAAATTAATGAATCGAAAAATTTGTGTATGCGTTAATCGAATTTGATTGTAAAAATCTCATTTGCACAATTACACGTTTTACTCGTGTATTTTTTCAACTTCCAGCGAAAGTATGACTCAAAGTATTGGTCCAGATGACAAGCATCGAAGCATCAAGGTTCGAAGGAGGACGACCCAACCGCAAGAATTACTTTACGGTGTAACGGATAATCACAAAAACGATGAGCACCATAACAATCAAAATCAAAATCACAATCATCCGCTCACTAGGGTACCTAGTGCTCCTGGAAGTCTCAAGTTGGTTCTATTTTTAATTGTTACTATTTTTACACTGGCTCGACTAAGCTTTCTTTTTTTCAATAATATCGTTTTCTTAATCGATCTTTTTTATGTACAAAAATCACCAAAATGTGTATCCGTCTTTGCTGCGCCTTAATTGTTATTAAACGCACGCGTTATTAAAAAAGTTTTAATTTGCCACGAATATAAAGGAAAGTTTGGTCGACTAGTTCATTGATAACGATCAGCAGAAATGGAGTAGAGGGACATCGTGGTATTAGATGTCATTTGATGATAGTATAAGTGCAGGAACTTGAAAGCGAGATTATATAAAAAGAACGTGTCGATCTTTGCATGCTTACCTTCCTGTAGGGGTTTGGTACTAGCGAGGAATCAATTTGGAAGTGGTTTACTGAACGGCGGCTCGCCGACGATGTCGCGACGCGACAACAGCATCTCGCCACGGCCTCTGCGCCGAGCACTTGCGGGTGGTGGCTCTATGTGAGTGACAATGCTCCAGCTGGCTTTCACTTTTGCCCTACTGTTCTACCTGTGTCTTGACATTTTGCACAGTGCACTTTTCGTCGATGTCGTTGATTTATACTTTTTCACTGTGCGATTTAATTTTCTCTACTTTTTCGCCAATTTTTATTACTACCTTTTTCTTTACTTTTGTCATCTCATGTAAACCATTTGATTTTGCTAATTTTTGGCGTTGTTGTGGATCGATCATGGTTTTTTAATTTGCATGAATAGTGTGAATTTTTGAGGAAACTATTTTTAAATGAGATAATTGTGGTTTTTTTTATAGGAACTAGACAATTCAGTATAAGACACGTAGGAAGAACACATACATACACAATCCAAATGCACGATTTTCGAGTTTTTTCCTTTAATTTCAAGAGTCAGTTGGATCGCATTTGCTTGAATTGCATTTTTTTTATCTCATTCATATTTTTTAATATTTTATTGTAATATATACCTTTGAGATTTAACCGTTACACGAGCAACGTATAATTTTCATTTGCATTGTTGAAGATGCCTCTATACTTACACGAGGGACCAAGTTTTTCTTTGGAATAAACAATAATTTTATTAATTTATGACTTGACATTTAACGAAATATTTCAACTTTGCAATAATAAAGTAATTTTTAATTCAATTAGAGTATTGGACATGAAGTAAAAAAAATGTATATACACTTATACAAATAGTAAAAAAAAAAAAAGTTAACCAGAGCTCTGATAATCAAATTATCACTAAATGTACTCTTTTACAGTACTGATGTACATATAGAAGATAAAAAAATATAAATTTATATAAATCGCAAATTTATTTGTAAAATTAAAGATCATTAAATAAATATTTAGTCAAAATTCTGCTTTTCGTATGTGCCAATTTTTAAACACCACGAATCCCGTGTGTTTTAATGAATATTAATCGCTGTTTATATGATTTAACGAGTTTTTTTATTCTGATAACACGAAAATTTAATTTCAATAGTAGGATTTGTAATTGTATATACTATCTAAGTTGTTTTTACTTTTTTTGTGGTTTCGGTTTCTCAGCGTGTTACTGCATGCGTTTTATTAAAAGTTGGTTTTCTCGATATTTTTTATGTTTGCTTGTAAGACCCATTTTATTACTCTTTATGTTGTAAGTTGTGTCGTTCGATAAATATAATATCATCAAACTAAAACGAATAACACCTTCTAACTGACTTGGCCTTGAAACCCACTAAACCTCAGGGAGCAGGTAGCCCTTATGGACACATCATCTCCTCCTGGTTCACCGACAACCTACCGACGTTTCAACAGCCGAGAAGAGAATGTATTTTCAAGACTGACAGCTAGTCGGCAGACGCTTCACGTTGAGCATCAACCCACCAAAGGCGTAATTTCGAATTATCAGGGGAAAGTAAGCAAAGTTGTTATATTTTGTGATGAAAAATTAATTTTTCGAATCTACACAGTGAATATATTATTTTTGCAGACCGTACCTAGAGCAATACTTCATTGTACACACGTTGCAGAAGGTCACAGCAAAGCCGTCCTATCGATTTGTGCGACGAACGATTTACTTTTCAGTGGCTCTAAAGGTAAGTTTGTAAAAATAAGTATAAAATGTACAAAATATATTTTGTTAGCTTTGTAAAATCTCTTACAAAAATTTCAGACCGTACCGTGAAGATTTGGGATCTCGGCACAGGTATCGAAAATATGTCATTGACAGGCCACCCAAACAACGTCGTGGTCGTCAAGTACTCCCAAATACATCGGTTGCTCTTCAGCGTTTCTGCCGCCTACGTCAAGGTCTGGGACATACGTGCCGGTAGTAACTGCGTTAAGACCCTTTTCTCTTCTGGTCAGGCTCAATCGGGTTCGATTAATTTCTCCACACCTTCGCGGACACTTCAAGTGCCTGTCGGCGAAACGACTATCAACGATTTGGCCTTGGGTCTCGACGATCGCGAACTCTACACCGTGTCTAGCGACAAGATTCGCATTTGGGATCTGAGAAAATTGGCCTACGTAGGTAAATTGAACACTCCACATGCTGCAGCCGTTATGTGTCTGAACGTTTCCGACGACGGCAGAGTCATTACAGGAAGCAAGGATCATTTGATATCCTTGGTTGAGCCTAATATGTCAGGCCAAGCTTTAAGCTTGTCTCCGCCGCATTATGATGGCGTCGAGTGCCTAACTACTTATGGAAACACATTATTTTCTGGTAAACATTTCGATTATACTATGCCCAACTACTAAAGTGTAACAATACATTTAAAAATACATTTAAATAATTTAGGTTCGAGAGACATGTGCATTAAACGATGGGACCTCAGGCGAATGGAACTCGTCCAATCGATCAATAACGCGCACAAAGACTGGATTCTAGGAATGTGCCTTATCAATAATGGCTCAGTCATGATATCAGGTTGTCGAGGTGGTATGCTCAGAGCTTGGTCAGTGCCCCGATATAGCGACCAAATGGGTGAATGCACATTAATCGGCGAAGTTAAAGCTCACACTTCAGCTATTAACGCAACGGTTACGAACCAACAACACATCTTTACAGCCAGCAAGTGAGTGTACCAATGATCTTATGCTTATTTTTAATCATAGACAACTATTTTAATTCATATATAGTGGCTATTGTTTTGCTTTTTTTCTCATAATTATTTTCCTTTGGTTCTGGTTCTATATATTAACACTGAGGTAGTCAGCTCTGTTTTGACGCAGTGGGGAAACTTTTTCTTTACAATGTATCATTTCATCATTGATTTCATATTATTATTGACTATTATTTAGATTTTTTATGTTTTATACATTTTTTCCATTTTCAAAAATGAAAATTGAAAAAGGGAACAATTCAGAATAAAATCTTGAAACTTCGGTTTACAGCTCTGGCGAAGTGAAGTTGTGGAAAGTACCTAGTGATTCTTCTATCGCCATGTCTACATCCACAGTATCTTTATAACTTGATCCGCTTGATCTCTATCTTTTGGTTGGTGTCTGTTTTGTTGTTTGTGTTTACTGTTTATCTATATTGATCAGTAGTGTGAAACTTATTATCGATCTAGTGCTATTCTTTTTAATTTAGCACATCACATGCATACATTCAATTATAATCTCAACTTCATATTCCTGAGTGCCCAATAATCAAAAATTGACAATTAAATCATAGCAATACAAAAAAAATATTTTTAGGGTAATCTATTTGGGTGAGGCAGCATATGCATTTATACTAATTTTAATTTTGTATAAGTGTATATGTTTCCTTGCAAACCAACTTTCACGGGTGATACAAGTACAAATAATAAATTCCTATTTTTATTTGAGAAGAAACTTACTTTTGACTGAAGAAATAGTATAGTACTTGTAGGTTGATCTAAATTAAGGATACTTAGTATTCATAGCTTTTAAAGTAGGTAACTCAAGTGTATAAATATATTTTTACTACAAATATGTAATCAGAGGCCTAAAAAGCATCTTTCTATCAGCACTTACAATTAGTTTATTTGCAAAATTTTAGTTTTTTTTTCATATGTTTTTAATGTGCTAATTACACAACTCTATTCTGTGCACAGCTTGAACTTGCATATTTCAATAATTTTCTCCATTTTCTAAGCTAACTTATAGCTTGCCTCATTAACAATCTTCACGATTAAACTTTGTCTTTTCTCATGTTACAAGTTTTTTTGCATGCGATGAATTCCTGTCACTTTTTTCATATTGTTATGCCTATTTATTCAAATTAATTTTTATTCATAATCAAACTTTTAATTTAAAAAAAATTAATTTAAAAAAAATTAATTTAAAAAAATTGGTACTTAATGTATTTTTTATTCCGTAAATTATTTAATTTTGCTTTTTATTATTTATTTATTCATTGAATTCGTGCATTGCATGGCTACGATCTTCTTCTACTCAATGCAGCGATGGCACTGTGAGGCTCTGGACCAACAAGAGAGACAGCAACAGGACTACTTTTCAAAGAAGCCACTCTCTAAAATGCTAACACGAAGTATTTTATTTATTATTTAATAGTTTATTGTCGCTTATTTCTGCTTACCGCATATTTACCAATCGATACGGTAGGGATCTAAGCGAAAAATACGTTAATTAGAGCGAACAAAGAAAAGAACAAATTTAATTGCGGCTCGTTATGCAAGATATTCGTAACGAACGTATCACTGGCTGCTATTTATACCCATGCAATAAAGAAAAAAAATGACAGAAAGTACTTGCGTTTCTGAGTACTTTTATCAAAAGAATTAAAACATGGTATGATATATGTATACACTATGATGAACTTTTTATACTGCGTGTAACGTTATAATTATAAGTGCATAAAATAATTAATGGTGAATAGATTGTAAGTAGAATTTTAATGAAATTTTGATTGAGATTTATTATGAAACAGTATGTGTATGATATAATCGTGGTAGTCTGCGAATCCAACCCCTCGTGATATTTTATAAACTTGAAAAAGCATCGCAATGTTACCAATGAGTCATGAATACGTGAAAGGTGTTTGTTTTTATATACAGTGTAATTTTTCATTCAAACTAATGTTTAATCCACCAAAATGCCTGTGCTAGACTTGCGGTGCACTTATTCAAAGGCGCCTAAATGAAATTAAAGATATAAATGATATAGATTTGTACTGAGAAATAACTGAAAAATTTGGCATTATCTAGCGTTTATTTTATTATGAATATAAAGGTGGTCACAACTGTAATCTTCATTAATTTTAGTACAAACAATAATAGTTGATTAATACTGTACAGTTTGAAGTCTCTCTTGATTTCAAAAATATGATATTGTCAGGGTTGATCGCTGTTCATTTTTCTTCTGTAAGCACAAAAACGAAATATTATCATTTGTATGGATGTAAAATTAATTTGAATAATAATATTCAACAAATTTACTTTAATTTATTAATTTTTACATGTTTTTTTTCCATAATTTGTTACATATGTATTACCAAATCTAATTTGTTTAAAATAAAAAAAATATTCAAATTTTCATACCTCTTTTTCTTTTTGTGAGCGCTAAGTGATTCTTGCCCGCTATCCTCTTGTCCACTATCTTCTGATTGGCTACTGCAACTACTGCTGCTCGATGAACTGCTAGAAGAACCACTGGAAGAGTCGCTAGCAACACCAGTGTCTTCTTTCACATCAATTTTATCTGCTATTTCTGCCAGTTCTGGTTCCTTTTCTCGTAATATTTTATACCATTTACGTGACAATTTTGGTCTACCACGAACCTATGAGTTCAAATATACAGATATCCATTTATGTTTTGAGAAAAAAATTATATTGTTTAAAATTTAAATAATGTTCCATAATAATGGATACAAGCAGAAGAATTTAAATATATAACTTACTGTTTTATGCCATACTACTGGAAAATTTGTTCGAGAGCAAAAATTTTGAGTCACTGCAATAGTATCATCAAGATTGAGAACAACATGCCACCAACCTCCAGGCACAAAAACAGTCTCTCCTGGTTTCTGTAAAATTTCTATTGGTTTGCAATCTTGAGGCCAAGATGGCAATTTAGTTCGAGGATATATAACAGAAAACCAAGTAATTGCTTCATCTCTTTGCTTTCCTCCTTCAGCACCAGTCACTTTGAGGAGTTCTTTAGGAGTATGAGTAGGGAACAAACACCATCTTTTATGCCCAGAGATAAGTGCATTCCAGGCACTAGTACCTAAAGGATCAATATGAATTCCAGTTCCTAAAATGAAAATTAAATTGGTATCATAAACTCTAATTATATTGTAAGAGTTTTTTTTATATTTACCCGATCGCTCTGGTCCCATTACAAACCAACGATAAGGTGGTCTTCTATTTTCCCCAACATGTTGGAAAAGATCATCTCTAAAATATTTTGGAATATCATAATCTTCCAATAACTTTTTTCTTCTGTGATGTTCGCCAAAGGAACTATCAAAGATATACAGTGGAGAATCGTCTTCATTATTTTGCATGTACTGAATATAATATTTCATTTTCATTTTAACACTGTACCCTTCATTATCTTCTCCACATTTAAATTTTTGGTTTCTGTACTTTTTTGCTAATCTCTGCAAATAGTTATTGAGGCATAATCAATATTAATGCAATGATAATAAATTTTATTCAAATGTACCTCCTGGGTCCATTTATACTGTGCCTGCCAGTCTGATTGAACACCTTTAATTATCACAGGTATATAGGGTTTCTCATATCTTAAAATAAATTCTTCCAATGAAACTTTATTCACGTCAATGCGATCTACATTATCTTGAAAATCCCAAAATACTGCAAAGTTTTTCTTGTAATTGAGATGTGTCCAAGCTATTTTATCCACCAGTTCTGTAAAAATATGAATAATATTATTTAACAAATAATATTAATTATTATCAATGTTTGTAATAAGTCACGTTGAAGAGAAAATTCGAAAGTAAATAATATTATCGAATCTTTGAGCGACTGATAGTTTGTTCCAATAATTGTTGGCAGGCAATAAATTTTTTGAATTAAACTTTTTGCTATCATTTTGTGAGAAATAAGCTTGTAGTTAATACGATATGGAAATACAATCGCCGAGTTTCAATAATCGTTTGTACGCATGCAAGATAAAATAAAAGAAACAAATGTTTTGGTAATAAATGGTCACTGTTTACTGACAGCATTGCGTATAAATAATGAGCAGGCAACCAGTACCGTTACTAAAAAGAAAAAATAAACCTTTACAAATGCCATAAAAAGTCAAACAATGACAAAAACATGAAAGCAAAGTCAACGACCTAAGATATGAGAATTTTTAAATAAACGACAACTAATATAAGCAAAGTATACAAAGATACGACGAGCATGTCAGCAATAGGCTTTATTTAATTTTCAATCAGAAGTAGCAAATTTGCAACAATATAAAATATTTTTGCAATCTAGCTACAAAGGTTATCATAAGTACAGGTTATAAAAGCGTGAGTGGTAAACCTACCAGGTCTGGCTTTCTTTTTAACCTCCCTGATTCGTTTTCTTGCTCTGTGATCAATTTTTGAGTCCTCCATTGTCACAGTGTATGATGTTGAGCACAGCCAGTGCAACACACGCGAGCACCAAGAGGTATATACGGATAAAAACACTAGTTGCAAATTGTAAAAGGATATAAAAAAAGAAGATAAAAAATCTGCGCCTATAAAGCCAGTAAGCGATCTCACGAATCAGCACGACCGACGATGTTTGCGCAGAGAATCGTCACGCAACACTACACGACTGCGGCAACTGGCGAAGCAGCAAGAGGCGCAACACGTTCTTGTCTGAGCTGCCGCGCATAGAACGAAACATAAACTTGGGATTCTCGAGAATTCGGCGCTCACTGCGATGTGCTTATGAATATTGACATATTGTAGTACGTCGATCAGACGAATTTTTTTTACGGATTGCAATGGAACGAAAGCAAACTTACGTCTGCTCATAATACACATCCCATGCCTTTTAAGCTCGTTAGAAGGATCGATGAAACGCCTCGTGTTACCGGACAGTGCATCGAAACTTGAATTATTATTCAAACGCGCCTAAAAAAGTGCGAGTTAATTGATCGACCAATGATCCGTAAGTGTGTTTACACGATCCCCCTTCCGGGCGGGTCGTGCCTCCGCATTAGGAAAATTGCCTACGTGACTAGCGCTAGCAGAGTAATGTCTCGAGAGTCGAGCATCAAGCGGGCATGCCCAGCGATGAGCTGTTCATTTTACCTTGCGAAATCGCAAAGAGGCAGGTGTTTTTTGGCATCCGATGTTCGTGCAGCCGATCGCTGCTTCGGTATAGCCATAATACTCGCCAGCAGACAATGCTTCTCTCAAGTAACGGAGTATATGACGCTATGACTTTCTCGATGCGCTTACACGGAAAGATTATTTGTTAGTAAATACGCCCAGAGCTCCGATTGTTTTGACAACTTCAAAGAATCTAAATGTATGTAAGTTGAAAGGTAACATGTCGCAGCATAAGCTATGTATGACCTTCTATATAATAATTAAGTTATTTGAATTGACTTGTATGATCCATAATTTTCAAAACAATTAAAAGTCATTGTTAACCCTGCTGAAAAAAATCATGGGAAAAATCATATGATGTATTGGCATGATTAATCATATGATTTTTCCCAGCAAGAGGAGCAAACCTTTATTTTAATATAAAAACCATTGAAGAGGAGGTGCCAAAATATAATTTAAATGAATTTATTAATTTATTAATGTCATTGAAAATGAAGAAACTACTTTTGAAAATAGTTAAAAAATGTACATTTAGAGCACAACAAATTGGATAATTTAAAAGAGTTTGAAGTGAATAATAAAACTGCCGAACTGTTGAATCATCAAACTGCCTGAATTTGTACCGTTTTGTAAAAGATTATCACCAATATTTTCTTGATGATAAGATAGCATAGTTATATCTGAATTTTCATGCCTACTACTTTTATAGTTCACTTAAAACTCTTTTAAATTATTCAAATTGTTGTGCTCTAAATGTGAATTTTTTAGGTTATTTATAAAAGTAGTTTCTTCATTTTCAATGACATTAATAATCATGCCAATACATCATACGATTTTTCCCATGATTTTTTTCAGCAGGGAAATTTTTTTAATCAATTTTTGTGTAACTGCCCTCCGGGATTTCCGTTCGAATTTGTTTTTATAGCATACTTAGAAAACGTAAAAAGATATTTGTCTTCTATTTTAAAAAATTTTGATTAATTTATCGCAGAATGAAATTATTTTGAATTCTTATTTTTGGTAACATGAGTCAATATAATAAGCATGTCGCACTCACTAAATTGCAAAAAAAATATTACATTCAAGCAAAAAAGTTGAAAAGCGCCATGAATGAAGCATCAACATGAAAGGTAAACACAGTTGCAGAGTGATATGGGTGTAAATGTGTGCAGTTGTAGAGTTGCCTCCCTCTCATGCGCCTCTAGTCAAAAACTCGTCAATCAAGAATCTTTGCATTCGCAAGCGATCATTGACCAGGCGCGAGACTTCCGAGAAACGCGAAAGAAAGGAAAAAAGGCTCAGCAGCTCGATACGCCACGCGTATAAACGTATTTCTCCCACTCGTTGCAGTTTTGCGACGATAAATTCGTCCGCTGCAAAAGTAAAAGGCAGATGAAAAGTATATCGCTGCTGAGCGATGACGATATCAGTAGCGACTGGCGAGATATTAAACGCGTGCACGTGGTCGCGCGCGCACGTTATATTTTCGGAGCACGCAGATCGTTCGGTATCACATGCGTATGCTAACTACACGCACACTCGCTTTCGTTGAGTTCTGCAACACCGAAAAATGTAAACAGAGCCAAGTAGAGACTCTGCCGATGCTAGCTTGTATACCATTGTTATTATCACTGGAAGTGTATAATGTGTGTCTTAATATGCATCTGCCACGAGCCCCATGTGATGCGCGTTGCTAGTCACAGTAGAGCTGCAGGTGCAACTCGCGACATCTTCCAATGCTTTACTTGCATCAACTTGCATAAGAACATTTTACACATAATAAAACAACAGTAATGTGTAGAATAACTTTCGATGGGGCACTTGAGTCGAGTTCGATGCTTTATCGGTCCCGCCAATTACCACTAGCAGTGCCGCTTACAGGTATTAGCCTAGTCGGTGCTGCTGCGCGGGTGGACCAGCAAATTAGACTCGTTGCAACGTTGCCAAATCGATGTTCCATAATTTTGGCTCTAACTTTAAATCGACACACAGATTAGATAAGACGTCGTTATGTTATTTGGGCAAAAGCAGCATCGGTCATTTAATTTGTTTTTCAAATGTAAAGCATAGCTCTCTTATCATGGCCCCTGTATCGTCAAAGTGTCCGAGTGTTTTGACGAGTACGTTCGGAGAGATTGACAAGCGAAAGATCTTTTTCCATAACAATTGTACCGCGAAGAATCGGCCTCAGGAGCTCGCAATAATAGTCGAGCCCGGCAAAAATGCACGTGTCGAGAAGCTATTGCGAGCTACGAGAGGGTAAGGAGGGAAGAAAGTGCAAAAACTGCTGTTATATCGTATCTGCGTAACTGTACTTGTATTAGGAGGCGTTACGTATATGGCATGGGCTTTGCGCGCGGATTGTTACTACATCCTGCGTACACCCACACGCTATTCTCTCTCGTGTCGGGTGTTGCTGGCACCGTAGCCGCCTGCACTGCCTCGCCGCGACTAGTGCACACCGACCGCGAGTGCGTTCACATCGAGGTGCATCTGCGTGCAACGCGCGCACTGCGAAAATCGACGTTGCTCTCAACTGCCGAGAGTATATGTATATGTAAGAGTCGGAACTCGGAACTCTATCCTATATAGTCGGAGAGCGAGTGCGACCGAGAGAGAAAGAGAGAGAGACGAGCCCCCGCTGCTGCTGCTGCTGCTACTGCTGCCGCACTCCGCAGCCGCCTCGCCAGTGAAAATCTTAAACTCAGGCGGCCATGTCTCGCTCGGCTACCCCACTCTCTGCCATTGGCGGCGCAAAAAAGCTACTCTGTGTGTGTGCGCTGTGCATCGGCTAAGCTTATACTATATTCTCCGAGTACTCACACGGACGCAGCCACGTACTTGTCTGCATGTGCAAGTATATGTGCGTCTCGATTTGCTGCGCAGCACACACACACACACACACACGCATTCACACAGTAATGTGCTGTGTGGTGTCTCGCAGTGTCCGTGCAGACCAATGACTGTACGCCTATGTTATACTGTACAGTGTGTTAGTCGCGCAGTAAAGAGCGTCGTCGTCGTCGACGTTACCCTGCGTGTGCTCTTGCTACTGCACTGCACTGCTACGTTTGTCCGCGTTATTGCGTGCGAGAGACGTGCACTCGTGTAAGCTGCACGTCTTGTACATCTTTTACGAGTCTCGGGGACGAAGCGACGAGCAGCGAGTCGTTGTTTTTTATCCGCCTATATACTAATAAACGCGCGCGAGTGTGTGCCAAAAGGCCCGCGAGTCTTTGACGGATCCCGTTTTACGTGATCTCTTCGAGTGCGTGCCAGTGTCTGTGTACGTGCACCTATAACACGGGATATCGTATCGAACATAGGTATACGTTCGAGTCAGTGCCTGTGCCATAGCCACTAGCATAAGCAAGAAACATACAACAACAATAACAATCAACAACAACAAAGCTAAACAATTGCCTTATCCCTAGTATATATTGTATACATATAGATAAGAAGACAAAAGTCGCGCGCGCATCGTGAGCTGCTGCTGCTGCTGCATCGTCTACGCGGAGAGGAGGTTGTCGTCCATAACATAGTGTACAGTGCGCGCTCTACTCGCTACACCTAATACAGCGCATAGGCTGCTGCTGACACTGCCACTGTATATCTGTATATCGAGCGAGGCATCTCTCCGTCTCTCTTCCACTCGCTGCAGCCGAGCGCCTTGCACGCATGCACGCACGGACGCAAACACCTACTCACTCGTATACACCAACAGCTCGTGTATGAGCGCTCGCGGCAGATGTGTACGTGTATGTGTTCTTAGCTATATAGGCGCTTCTATTTACAAACACGCTACGTACGAGTAAAAATCAGCAAAGTTATTCTCAACTATCGACTGGAAGAGGATGCTCAAGAGAACCAAGGATCATCGTCGACTTCAGCTTAGAGCAGCCCTAATAAAAGGAAGAAAATAATATCGCTTCGAATCGAGAAGTGGGCATCGCCGTTCTAGATAGCAGTTCGGGCGCTCTTACGGCGCGCGGGCCGCGGCGCTGCTCAGACTACTCTGACTCTGTCTCTGTGTGATATGTGCGTGTTCACTAGCGTGTAGTGTTGTGTACGTGTAGGTGCGCGACAGCCGACTTGGACGACGACGTCCTGTGCATTCGGCTGCTACGATATCTCGCGGCGCGCACGGCACGGCACGTTCTTCCGTCTCCTTTCAACTTTCGCCTGCGCCAGACTTTTCTCTCTCTCTCCCGCTTCCTCGCAGCTGAGCGCGGCTGCTTATGCTGCCCGAGTCGCGAGTGTTGCTGAACAAAAGTACTGCCTGCAGTCGTAGCGTCTTCCGCTCGCGCTTGTTCCAAAGCTATCTTCTCCCAGTCTGTAGCGTATACACGCGTTGTATACGCGACTCTCGGGCGGTATTTCTGTGACTTCAGTGTTGTGTGGCTCGATTTCCATTCGGACTTCGGGCTTAGTGTTACGGTGTAACGATACGCATTATGCGCGCCACGATTATGGTGACAATTGCTGCCGTTGCTGACTCCGCTCTTACAATAATTGCCACGGTCACTTCTGTTCAGAATTTAAGCCGCTCGGAACGGTGATCATCGTCCAGAGCTTTTCACCTGCCTACCGCAACGCAGTTCACCAACGCAGCAACGAGAACATGGCTGCGGCGGAGTTAAAGCTCAACTCGCCCGCTGGGGCCGAGCCCATCATTTACACATGGCCTCTGACCATTGGAAGTGGACGTGTAAGTGCATCGGCTCATTTTGTAATAACCGTTTCTTTGACACACGCAATGACATCGATAGTCTTATCTTATATTGACCTCCGTGTTTTTCTTCTTACACGTGTACGTGCGTCACCTAAACATTATCCACCACTAGTTAATCTTCTATCATTGACGCTTGCCCTTCGCTCTGTATCGACAAACCTTTTAAAATGCTTATAGATGTAATTAATATTTTACAAATAAACGTAGCTCGTCTACAATTACATAATTAGAAAACTTGTTCGAAGTGAACTGTTTATGCAGCAGCCACTGTTGTGTGAGGCCCTTTAAAGCACGTTATGCGCCTGGTTTTTCATGCATACACTCACACGCGCGCGCGCTCTTACGTGCACATGTACACGTGCGGCTTCGCTGCACACTATTACCAGCCGTGCATAACTACTCCAATACTAACGTGCATTGGTACACCGACACGTAGTGCATATCTATTGTTGCTTTGATGCAAAAAGGGTATTACTACAATATACATCGAGTCGACGGAGAAAGAGAAAAGAGCACGCGTAAAGAGGAAATCGGTTTTCTCTTTTAAGTAACTGCACTTGCAAATATATGCCTGTATGTATATATTCAAGTCGCGAGTGAGCATGTATGCATACATAAAAAACACTGTGTATATCGCTGTCGCACTCAAACTCACGCGCGCAGCAGCAGGTGCTTCTGGTGGCGCGATTCGTCGATTCGACTGCATGTGTATGCACATTTACGCGCGAATAAACAGATGACGATCTATCTACACTTATTACTTGTTGTTTTCCATGTCGTGAATGACAATAATATTCGTAATTTGTCTTTTATCTTACAGGACAAACATGATGGTTCGATTGATATTGTTGAGACGATGCGATGGGTCTGTGAGGACTTTCCAGACCTCAAAGTGTCATTGGAGCATAATATAATTGCTGGATACAATGGGAAAGACTATGAAAGCATGAAAAGCCTATGTGATAGGTTTAATAGAGCTATTGGTACTTTGGTCAATCTGGTGAGTTGGGATTTTATCAAATTATTGTCCTCGAATACATATTACAACAAATGAATCTTTTTTAACTATTTATAATTTTTTTATTTTTTTTTTTCATACATTAGGAGAAAGGTACGAGTCTCACTGCTCAAAGAATAAACAAAAGACCAAGTCGCGGTTTATTGAGACACATTCTTCAACAAACTTACAATTATGCTGTCACGGAGCCTGACAAACTGAATCAATATGAACCATTTTCTCCAGAAGTGTATGGAGAAACTAGTTATGATTTAATTTGTCAGATGATAGATTCAGTCGATATAACCGAGGATGATATTTTTATTGATCTGGGTTCAGGAGTTGGACAAGTGGTTTTACAAATGGCTGCAGCTACAAAATGTAAAATGTGTTTGGGTATAGAAAGAGCTGATGTTCCTTCAAAGTATGCAGAGGTAAGTAAAATTAACACAAACAAACAAACAAAATTTTAGTTTTTGCATTCATAATAATTTTATTTATAATAATTTTATTTATACAGAGTATGCAAGCACAGTTTCAAAAGTGGTTAAAGTGGTATGGTAAAAAAAGTGGAGAATATCGCATCGTTAAAGGAGATTTCCTTGCTCCAGAGCATAAAGAAAGTATTACTAGTGCAACCCTAATATTTGTTAATAATTTTGCATTTGGACCTAACGTAGATCATCAACTTAAATTAATATTTGCTGACTTGAAAGATGGGGCTTGTATCATATCATCTAAATCATTTTGTCCACTTAATTTCAGAATAACAGATAGAAACTTAACCGGTTAGTAAAAAGTCAAAAAATATCCTTAAAAATTTCATCTTTATTCAATGTAATGAAATATATTTTTGAATATTATTCGCAGATATTGGAACAATTATGCATGTTCAAGAACTGGAACCAATCTTAGGGTCTGTCTCTTGGACAGGGAAACCTGTCTCGTATTATTTGCACAAAATCGACAGAACTAAACTCGAAGATTATTTCAATAAGTTAAAGAATAGAGGTCGTAACGACGATTCAAATGATTCTGTAATCAACACTGCCAGTTGTAGTAGTAGGTCGAATCGAGGTGATCGAGCTAAACGTGATTTGTCGCGACATCTCGATAGTCCTCAAGGTCATCAGAATTCCAATAGTGAGACAAATTCAGAAGACGAAAATCATTCTAGATCTCGTCGTCGTCGAAAAACTTCCAAGAGAGCAACAAATGGAACAACTACGAAAGCATCTTCAAGGGGAGGCCGATCGACGCGGGGAACTCGTGGTGGTGGCGTCACCAAACGATGTAAGCCCAAAAAATCGATCAATATATCTGGGTTGGATTTACTGCACAGTCAAACAGTGATGAGTACGTCACCTCAAGCTCTTGGTAAAAAACCGCCACCAGCTCCGGGTACGGTTGACCAACAGCTTACTTCTCTGTCTGTGCAAGCGCTCCAGCCAAATTCTGCATCGGTACACGAAGAATTAAGTATCCCGAAAGCTCCGCACGAAACACCGTATGCTTTGCAAATGTTGTTAGATGTTTACAGAGAGCAATTTATGGAAATGTTGGAAGCGATGAAAAAATCTGATTATAGAACTCGAGTTGAAGCTGATATAACGAAAGAACGATCAATAAACGAAACGTTAAAATTGCGAGCAGCACAGTTAGAAAAACAAATAGCTGTTCTAATTAACGACAGCGTCATTTTGCTGAAAGCTAGAATGGCTGAGTTGCAAATAAACTCGGACTCACCTGCAAATCTGTTAGCAAAAGCCAAAGAGATTGTTGTCAAACATAGACAGCTTTCTAATACTGTACTAAAACTTCAGACCCAGGTCAGCACTATCGAAAGTGATCAACAAAAATTGGCTACACAAAGATATCAGGAAATAATAGAAAAGTTCAATAGCAACCCTGGTCAACCCTTACAATCCGTTACAAATGAATTGATTATGAAAGAAATCGCTGCTCAACTTGCTCAGAGAAAACAGTTGAAATCCAAACATATTAATCTGAGTCAGACAGTTGTTCAAATGGAAAGAAATTCAAAAGAGCGTGATAGCAATAAACAACAACATCAACAACACCATCCGTTACAATCACACGCACCTAGTAAAAGTGGCAATTCGCGGAAAAGAGATAGCCGTACGCGCTCGCAAGATTGGCCTGACGTGCCGGATGTTGGTAAAATTCAGGAAAACAATCCTGAATTGCTAGCTCAAAAAATTCTTGAAACTGGACGACAAATAGAAGCAGGTAAACTACCGAATCGTTCGTCTGGATCGTTAACAACGGCTACTGGTAGTTTTCCTCCACCGTCTAATGCGAGACCACGACTACCTCAAGCTACTTTGAATTTTGGCTCGATTCAACAGCAGCAGCAGCCTACTCTTCCTCAGCAGCAACAACAACAACCACAGCAACAACAGCAGCGACAACCTCGTGAATCGCTCAGAGATAATGACTTTGAATACAGATTGAAGAGTATTATTACAAGTGTGCTGAATGAAGATGTACAAAATCGATCACAACAGCAAATGATGCAGCAGGGGCAACAACAGCAGCCAATGGGTCCACACAGTAGTGAATCTGATCGTCAACGATCAGCACTACAAAACCCCAATCATGATTACTCACAGGTAAGGGGATTTAGATTTATATTTCACTAATTTAATTTATGGTCTTTCCTTGCATCGACATTTAGATTTCCGCGTCAATAATAATAAATATCTTTCCTATTTGTGCTTGCAAAAAATTATAAGATTTTTGAATTAATCATATTCTCTTGGCCCATTTCAGAGAAACCATTGATTGCTGCATGACGTTATAGTTCTAGTTTAATTTTTCCTTTCTTAGTATCATTGAATTTAACTGATTTTTTATTAATAGTCTAAAGTAAAAAAATTTCCATACATAGAGTAATTTGTTGGATTGAATTATTTAATATAGCTCTGTAAGTGCAAAAAGTGCATTTTTGAAACTTGTACGAATTTTAAGTTCCGTAAAAAATGAAAAATCGCGTTTGTAATGCTAAAGCATCATAAAGCGTTTGGTTATCTACGAATCGGGTTTTTATTGCATGTGAGAGCGTGAAAACGCAAATCCTTACAAAGCATGTAACCTTTGCTTCGAAGGTATCGCCGGCAAAGATGGCTCTACGTCGTCACCTTTCCCAAGAGCGATTACCGACTGTACAGTCAACAACACAACAACAACAGCAACAGCAACAGCAACAGCAACAGCAACAACAACAGCAACAACAACAGCAACAACATCAGCAGCAGCAGCAACAGCAGCAACAACAACAACAACAACCACAACAGCAACAACAGCCCACGAGTAGTGAAATTCCGCACCAATCCGATGTCAAAGTGCAATCACAACAGCAGCCTCAATCGTCGTATGCTCGGCAACAAGCCCCAAGCTCTCAAATGTCTGGCAGTAGTACCAGTGCGAAGAGCAGCGGTGTGGCTTCTTTGCTTGGCACCAGGACGATCGGTGATCTAGTAAGCGGTGAAATCGAGAGAACACTTGAAATTTCCAATCAAACAATCATCAACGCGGCTGTTGATATGAGTGTTATTGGCACAAATCCGGAGCCCTTTGCTCCGGCAACTAGTTCGGTTGGGAAATCAAGTGCCGTCGCCGAAGCAGAATCAGCAGGTCTAACTACACTACCAAGCGTAGCGAGCTACACTCCGACTCCTAGTGCAGCTGTACCTACTACATCAGCTCAGCAACATCAAAAGGCCAACGTAAACTCTAACAGTTCTGCCAATTCTAGGTCTTCAGTGCTTTATGCACCTCCACCGAATCAAACCCAAAGGTATGCATAAAATTTAATTGATGTTTTTCAAAATGAAAAATTAAATTTTTTATTTTCGTTATTATTATTTATTTCAGGTACACACCGGTACAGTTACCTCGCGCTGACATAAAGCCGTACCGTGAGTCATATTTCACGGATAATTCATCGTCGACTACAAGAGCGTCAACGACGACGGCGGCGGCAACGATACTCCCATCGCCCTCATCGTCTTCGTCGTCGTCGGTTCAGCCACCCTCACTATCGAACGGTGAAATGCCGCTTGAAGGGCTTGCTGCAACTTTGCACGCGCGCATGCTTAACAATCAAGGAAGCAGCAATAATAGCAACAGTAGTAACGGCGCGAGTAGTAGTAGTAACAGTGGTAGTGTCAATAAAAGCGAACACAGTTTGGTCAATAGTAGTAGAAGGTTTGTTGTTACTTCAAACTCATTGTAATCTTATTTATCTACTCGATTTTAATGCAACAATTGTTTGTAGCAATCGATACCAGCCTTATCAACGTTATGGAAACAGTAGCATTAGCGGTGGTAATAGTGCTAGTGCTGTAACGCCACAACCGACCAAACCAGTGAAAAAAGAACTACCGGTCACTACGAGTGGAGGCGCTCCTCTGAGTCCGCTTATCGAGCCACATTCTAACTCGTCGACGCCCATTGTTGACGAGCCGCAACTGCCTAGTTCGAGACGTAGTCCTCGTGATGGTAAGTTCCTAATTCATTTTATTCTTAAAACATATAACAACTGTGCCTTGTCTAATTGCTTTCATGGTAAAAACATTCTAGTTACGATGCAAATGATTAAAATAAAAAAAATCCAAGCAGTTTTAATTTTTATCAAGCTTCATTGCTTCATTGTCATATACTAAGTCACAACTCATTTGTTTTTTTTTTCATACACAGTCTTTGTTACACTTAACGAAGCTAAACAACGGTTTTTTATACGTAACTTCTATTTTCTAGTTAACGCACCCGCATCAGTTATATCACATCCTCAATACTGATGCATCTATGACAACATTCAATCTAATTTACTTTCATCTTCTTTCCTAATATTATTATGCTTTAATTAACACAATTAACGAAATAACATCTTCCTTTTGTAGACAAGACATTAAGGAAAACAAATTTTATAGATCCAGACTGGCATTGCATAAGCTCTGGTTTTGATCGGCTGGCAGCTTTTGCTTCAACTGAGTTGGACAAACGACGACGTTCGACTGAAGCCGTTAATACCAGTCCCGATAGTGGTCTTGGCTCTGATAGTAGTGCAATTCATGGTGCACCACCTATAGTTCCTTCACCCGATGAAGCAGCCCTAGGACCACCACGCACGCCTTCACCAAGTAGTCCCAGGTCAACTGGTAGTCACCACAGTCATCATCACAACCATCACTACAACAATAATCATCCACATCATCAGCAGCAGGGTGTTCCGCTCAAGTATCAAAGACACAGCAGTCAACATAGCAATCAACACAGCAATCAACACAGTAATCAAAGCAGCGGCGACGTCGAAAGACCACATCACTATAAAAAGAAATACATTCATCGAGAGATGCCTGGCTCGTCGACGTCCTCATCAACTTCATCGGGAAAATTCAGGCCAAAAGGCAAAGATTGGGATTGGAATCATCATTGGTCAGGAGGTAGTCCGAATGAACGCTCTTAAGACCTTTTTGATAGTATATGAATGATGTATAAATGATTTTGTACAAATTTTGTTAGGGATAATGCAGTGCTATCGAGAGTTTGCGTAGCGTATATAACTTTATCGTGAGAAATAGCTTAAACAAATTTATCGTAATTAAAACTTATTTTACATCCTTGTATCATAAAATAGTAAATTTAAATTGCTCCGTTATCATAAAGACTTGAGTAGACGTTTTTTAATTTCAATTTTTGTTAGTTCTTGCTTATTGTTTTTGAAGTGTGAAGAAAATTGATTAAAGATTTATTATATTCTTTATTCGTTATGTGAATGTTAATTATTGAGTTATAAAGGTGAATAGGTTTTAAATTTACTTAATTGAAATTGAAAAGATTTGTTCAAGTATTTAATCGATCTTTCAAATCAAATAAAGTAAACATTAGTTATATACTTTTTTTACTATTAAGAAAAGAGATCTATTTTAGAGTAAAGAGTATAATTAAAAAGCGTCTACTTTGTTATGTTAGTATTTTTCTTCCCATGATAATTTATTGTATTATAAATTATTTTATGAAACGTTTCGTTACTTTGTATAGTAACACGTTGTTTTGTTTCATTACATTGGAAGAATATTTGAGGTATAATTGACGGTTTTTGAGATATAGAAACAGAACTAATAGTCTACTCAAATTTAATTATATGTGCTAGATACAATTTTCACTTGAATACGAAAAATACATAAATGAAAGTGATAATGAATATTGTATTAGAAAAGAAATTTTAATTTCGAGGCTAGTAACAGAAATGATTGAAATTAATAAAATAAAATCGCAGCCCACCGTGAAAACGACAGAGTCACATAGCAAAAGTGCATTAAATAATGTAATATGTACATTTTAAAAGTAATTTTCAATATTTATACGGGTTCATAACAAAGATTATTTACTCTATTGTATATTATATTAATATAATACATTTAATATCATATATATGATAGCTGAAATTTATGGTCACGCACTTTTGTGGTGTCAGCTCATTTTCTCAACTACTATTGAGATGAAACTTTCACACGCATGGAAAAAAATCTAAGAAAACTTTTTCACTATGAATCTTGTAATCTTTTTACTCAAACGACTAATAATTTATACGAAAAAGTTATAAATAAATTATAATGCTCTCAATAAATGTAAAAATTCTGCCTATAGCGTGTCGTATAGACTATAATGAGTAGTAAAAAAAGACAAAAGTTAAGTACTTTTCTAACTTAACAGTCGAGTCTCTGGTGTGTTCGTTGTAAAATTTTTAGAATTTTGTAATAATCAAGAGATGAACATCTTCTATTGATCGATGTTGAATCTCGTAACCACAGTGTTCATCGATGCTTGTTTTTTTATAGATGCAATAAATGGCAATTACATAAATTGCTTCTAAAATTGATGATTAAAAGTTAGTATGAAAAATGCTTGAATTAGTATAAATAACATCGAACTGACAGACATTAATCTGTAATATCCAAAGAGCGAGCGATCTTTGCGAGCATTGAACATTTTTTTCGACTTGGTGCATCGTATATAATAATAGTAATAATAGTAATAAGTAAAAAAAGACGTAGTCGAACGAGTTGAAACTACTATTACTCGAAGTTATTAAAAAAGTAACCTCTAGTAAAAGTGGTTTTTCTTAAGAAAATGACTAGAAACAATGTGAGTAAAACAATGTAAATTTAATTATATTAAGTTCACGGATATGAAAGACATAGCATTCCCGTGGCATCTAATAAGGCATCTGAGCACTTGTACTTGTAAGAACAAGTGCTTGATAAAAAATAGTGTAAATACCGAATCAATAATCTTGTATAGACAAAAAACCAAATGCGCAAAAAGAAAACAGGAAAAGTTGGATAATTGTATTTATATGGAAACAACCTTATAGATATATCGAGAAAATGCGAATAACGATGAGCTCGTAGGTAGATAATATCATAAATAATATAGAAAAGATACTGCAGGCAGCTGCAAAAATCTGGCTGTTATACATACACTGCCGAAACTTCTATTAGTTGTATTATTATTGATCATTATAATTTATTGTTTTTATTGGAATATTTTAATACTAAGATTTTTGTAATAATCAACTTTCTGTTTCTTTATCATTTATCACTCCCTGCTGTTATTCATTCCGCTATGTACACACGCAAAAGAATAAACTTTTTATAGCAAGGTCAATACAGGCACCAGCATAGACGCGCATAACAATCATCATATTTCTATAAGAATTTCGAAATTCGTTGCAATAATCGAATCGTTATTACGAGTTGCGAGGAAAAGTCGTCGCAGTCTGCTAGTTTCTCTCGAGAACATGTTACGCGTTTTTCGTGTTTTGTTGTTATCGTTCCTCTTTAAATGCTCCAAGTGCGAAGATATCGAAATCGTGCATTTGCAGTTCTCGTCGAACAACAACGATTCAGCGGTAAAAATGCAAAGAGAGCATTAGCCGAGGATATACGCAAGCATTTGTTCATACTTTTCGTTCTAGGTTCCATTGACTTTCAGAGCTTTTGGTAGAAAGTTCAATTTATCGCTGAAATTGAACGACAATTTATCCAAGTCAAAGGTCGAAATTTGGAAACGATCGAACAATAGCAGGCTAGACCGATTAAATTATCCAAAAAGCTCGTCTTGCTATTACTCTCATCGAGACTCGTCGATCAGTGCAGCAATTAATTTGTGCGAGCCTAGCGGCGTGGTTCGTATAAGTCATTTTTCATGGTTTTCATCGACTGGATCGATCGTTTGTACAATAAAAGAAACACGTTGATTTTGTTGCCAGCGTGGATTTGTCTTTGTTAAAAATGAGAGCTTGGAAATTGTACCGTTGGATAAGGACGATGCCAGAAGATCGAGACACGCGATAAGACGACGACAGACGAGCATACCGATTTTTTACCATCATCGTCAGCTCGACGTGAAAATCAAGAAGATGATGGCCAGAAGACGCCAAGGCGACAATTCATCGTTAACATCGACGACGGCAGAGCAAAATGAAACGAAGCCACCGAGACTGACGGTAGAGTTGGGCGTGTTCTTCGACGCCTGGGCCTATCGGATTTTCCGAGCGCAGCTGGACAGCGACGAGGAGCTGGTCGATCTGCTGTTGGCCTACGTGAACAACATCCAAGCACTGTACCAGCACCCGAGTCTGGGTCGGGAGATCGACGTGGCGCCGGTGCGACTCGAGCTGATGGAACGGCAACCGGCTGAACTGGCGACGCTCGAGGGTCAGCGCGACCGAGTCCTCGACTCCTTTTGCCAATTCTCCAAGGAGTCGAATCCTCCGGGGGACGAGGAGCCTCTGCATTGGGACGTGGGCCTCTACATCACGGGGCTGAACCTCTACTCGACCGAGGCGGACGGCGAGAAGAACTACGTGACGATGGGGCTGGCTCGGGTCGGCGGAGTCTGCTGGGATGACTACGCCTGCGTCATCACCGAGTTCGGGGTCGACAACGAGCTGACCGGCAAACCTTATCCCTCGGCGGGCTTCCAGTCGGTTTACGTTGCCGCTCACGAGATCGCTCACAAGTACGGATCGAGAAATAATTGGCTCGTTCGATCTAAGCCAGTCGCGTTCGTTGCATTGATTTTGCAGCCTTGGCATCCAGCACGACGCGACGGGCAACAGCTGCCCCAAGGACGGCTACATCATGTCTCCGAGCCGCGGCGTCCAGGGCGAGTCCCAGTGGTCGGCTTGCAGTCGCGAGAGCGCCTCGAAGATCCACGAGGTCAAGAAGTGTCTGCTGGACGGGCCGGAATCGGAGGCGTCGATCGGCAGCGACGCTCTCCAACAACAGGTCATGGAACTGCCCGGGCGCCGCTGGAGCGCCAAGAGGCAGTGCGAGATCTTGCTGAAAAACCGGAAGGCCGTCGTCGTCGAGAGCGAGAACCTGTGCCGAGCTCTCAAGTGTCAAAGTCCCTACGAAAAGGCGACTTTTTCGGCTGGGCCCGCCTTGGACGGTACCGCCTGTCAACTGGACAAAGAGTGCAGAGCGGGTGACTGTTTGGACAAACGGTACATTGCAATGACTCACGCGCACTGCCATAATAACGTATTCTAGCGGGAATTTCTATGCATGCAAAAGACCGATACAGAGTCGACAGAGTCGACGCACAAAGAGCGCCAGTCTTTTTTTCGCCACTTAATTTATCCCCGCAGTACAAGTTCTTTGTTCGTATATGTTGTTCCACAGGCCAATCAGCAGCAGCGTTAGCAACAACGAATCCATAAACGAGCTTCACAACGGCATCTGCAATGACGCGGCGGACACGACGACGGCTTGTAAAAAACGCCGCAGAGCCGAGAAATATGCCGGCGAACGATGTCGGACTCACTCGCAGCAGGGCATTGCCGTTGCCGGCGTGCAGATGCGACACGAAAGCGAACGTCCTTGGCGAGCTTGCATGATTTTCTGCAAGCAGAGCTACGGACAGGACTCGTTTGCCAACGACACCCTTATTAGCCTGCTGGATTTGCAAAAAGGTCAAGCCGGTTGTAGGCATCAACGGCCGCGAGACAGCAACGGCAACGAGGACGCGGCTTATTTTCCCGATGGCACTTGGTGCCACAGCGACCACAACGATCGGCTCGATTATTTCTGCAGAAAACGCCGATGTACGCCGAAAAAGTAAGGACTTGCCGCGAGTCTCGTTTCTAGTTATCGCATCCTTGAGGCTCCCAAACTTGTACAGGTCGTGTATGCATAAGTATGAGCATTGATCGGTACGCGATCGCGATTAATCTTTCGCTGACTCATCGTCATCTCCGCTCTGCTCCACAACGATTATCGTCGCTTGATTACATTTTTTTTCTTACCTTTTTTTTCGACGTAATCGCGACAAAAAAATTGTCGCACGCGACGAGCGACCAAAGATCCGCATCGCCCACCTGTAACGATACATTAAATCTTTGCTCGAGCATACAAAGAGAGAACGAAGACTGCAAAGAGTTTATAGTTGGAGCTCAAGTAGTTCCATACATAAACACCCACCCAAACGGCTGACGCATCGAAAAAAGCGAGTCGAAGCGCGCACGCAACCGACGAGCAACAGGTTAAAGGTACTTTGTCGACTCGATTTCTCACAGACTCGATCGTTATCTCCCTCTACCATCGTGGCGAAAAGTCTTTTGTTGACTGTTCAGACTGTTCGACTATAACGGACTCTCCAACGACTTCCAGAAAATCAACATGAGTAATAGAAATTTGAGCTCCGTTCGTGGCTAGTCACCTTTGACCGGTTTGCAATTTCTCTGGTAACGATCCCCTCTACCTTTTCAGCGAGCAGCGAGACATCCTGAACGAAGTGTAACGATCTCGAGCCGGCGAGTGCGATTCATTTGTGCGACTTCCAGTCGCGGATCATCGACGCAGTACTGCGCTCATTGCACCAACTCGTTTCGGATTCAAGACATCGGCCAGCATCTTTTTATCCTCACATTCTGCGTCTATGCAAAACAAACAAAAGATCCTGCGATTTCAATTATGAAAACATTTTCAAAGTCTCGACTCGCGGATCAAAATTAAAGCAAGAGTCACTGGTTTAATTAAATTGAACTTGCTCATTGATTGACGACTGATTATCTTACGGTTTTTTATTCTCTTTTTTTTTGTTCTTGTAACCTGTGAATCATGCATAACGCTTCATATCAATAATAATGTCATATTACTTGCCAAGTTTAATAAAGTTATGGTCATTTCCACTTCAAACCGATATAAAACTTCTTTTCATTTTAAAGAATGTGTGTATGTGCCGTGTAGCGAATTGTGCCGAGTGCAAAAAATGTCTGACTTCGGCGTATTGTACCATAGTGCATGTGTGGAGAATATACATGCAAACAAAAATAACACGATGAAAAAGAGATCGAAAATTTTTTTGCAGCCGACACCCGGAAGAAAAAAGCGCGTAGGCTCATCTTATGCGACTTGTATTTAAAGAGTCTGTGTTGTGCCAAGCTCAAGCAGCATATAGTAGTAGTTAGCACAGCACACATTCATGCGGCGCCTATATAAATTCACACATGGATAGCCTGACGTCAGATCAGTGGCTGACTATTTTTGGATGTGTTGTTGCTCGACTATAACGTCGACTTTTCCGATCGTGGAATTCGGACTGTTATATGATACGTAAATGTTTTCAACTAATTGCACTTACATCGTCTTAGTTAGAAGGAGGAGGTTTTTAATAAAATATTTCACTTTAATTTATATCATATAGAATGTATGTTTTAATTCTCTTGTTTCATACTTGTTGTTTTACAAAGTTTTCTTATACAATTCCGTTCGATGAAATTTGCGCGACAATAATTTCACCGAATATACACTTGCAGTGCGTATCACATATACTTAGTTAAAAGCAACGATATAATTATCATTTCATTTAAACCTGCTGCTGCGTTTCTGAAATATTCTGCAGATAGTTATATAGCTGCATTACACGAGTGTAAAAGGTCACTGACTCTCAAATCTAGTTGAAATGATTTCATCGGTAAGATACGTCACATTGTGTACCCCTCGTGGCTACTTCAGTTTTCGTTTTTAATCTAATGATTCAAGTATTTTATTAGGAGTGCGATCCAAATATATTCATTTTCAATTGATTAACGTAATGAATTTTTAAAAATAAAATCAATTTTTGGGACTAGAAAATTTTGAGAGCAAGAGCTGTTATTTTATACGTAACCTTTCTCGTGCAAAACTAGTACAGATTTGTATTGTCGCGTAAAGTATGGTTTGTATTTTTAATCATACAGCAAGTAAAATCATAAGGATCTAAGTTTAGCGTTCATCATCGCTTTGCAGAACATCAGAATTAGTCAGCAGAGAAATAAGACGACTACGCATTTCAATTTATATCATCAAACGTGATATATTTGATCAAAAAATGTTTTTTGTATATAAATTACAACTTCGGTATTTTTCGTAAACAAAGTTGCTTCACGCAGTAACTGAGGCGTTTGAATCTTACAAAGTGGCTGTGGATCAATATTTTATACATCTGCCTCAGCAATTCAATCATTTATACAACATAAAATTTTATTTTTACAAGATAAAACTTTCGTTCGCTTCATCATGCATAAAACTGTGCTCTCAGAGCACATAAAAATTATTCAGTCTCACATTCATACAACATACATACTTTCACAACAAAATTTATCTAATATAATATTTATAATTACGTAGTGTAATGTAGCATTCAGCCACAACTTAGAAACCTAAAATCCTATATGATTCAGTCATACATATAAATCGCACTCGATTCAAATATATATTATATGATGCGCATTTGTGTTTTATAATAGTCATTCTACTTACAATAGTTCAAAATTTACACAATTCAGAGGTCACAGGATAGTCTGTACAAAGGGTTTTATTTTTACGAAAATATTATAATATTTTAATGAGAGTATGTTTCACCCGGGTTCACTTTCGCTGTTACACATTGTGTTTATGATTCATGAAATACGAAAACAATGTCCAAAAAACTTGATATCAAGTTTCAAGGAATAGAATGATACAAACTAGCTATTGAACTAAGTTTAATAATTGATCGATTACACACTAAGATATCAACAAGAGTCTTTTCGCATAAGTAATTAAGAAAATAAAGTAATCAAGTCTTGTCACCGGCAGCATGATCCGATTGCCTAACGATTTTTTCTTGTCTACAGCATTAAAATGTACAAAACAATAAGATAGATAGCTTCACTAGATGTTGATAATATTGGATTGCTGCTCGCTGAATATACTTGCTGCTTATGCGATCCTTGTTCTAATCGGTTGGACAATCATGTTTGCGCTCGGTTTCTTCTTCTCAGTTCGGTAGCGTATCGAACAGTATATCTTTAGCCGATTGCGTTAGTGAATCTGGGAATTTGATGTCGAAGGATACCAATAGATCTCCTTTTCTCGATGGTTCTTTAGGGAAGGGCAGACCGTGACCCTGAATTCTCTTGACCGTAGCTGGTTTTATGATCTCTTTCGAGAGATTCAACGTGATTTTTTCGCCTCCGAGCGTTGGTACTTGAATGACGGCACCGCACAGAGCTTGCTTCAGGCTCATCTTGCAGGTGTACCTAATGTCGCTTCCTTCTCGCCTGAACTGCGAATGAGGTTTGTCTCTGATGATGAAGACGATATCTGCAGGTACTTTGCCTCTGCCTTGGTCGCCCTCTTTCTGGAAGGTAATCTTTGTGCCGGCTTTCCATCCTGGTTTCACGTTGATGGTCAAAACTTTGTCTTCTTTGCGAGATGAGCCATCTGGCTGCATGACTCGGCGGGAGATCTTCATTTTCTTTGTGCAGCCTTTCAGGATATCCTCAAGACTGACATAGAGATCGTGCTCGATGGCCGGGTCTTGGGCGCGTTCCTTGCCACCGCTCCTGCCCTGCGGAGCGAAATTGAAGGACTGCGATCGAAAAGCACCTCCTGGTCCACCTACCCCTTGGCGCATGCCACCGCTGAGGCCGAAAGGATCGTCGGTATCCATGTCGTCGTCGCCGCCGAAGAACATACGATTGCCGCCGCCGCCGTTGTTAAATTCGAAGAAAGTCTGAAAGGGTGAGGAAGTGCCGAAGAACTGGGCAAATGTGGCGCGGGGATCGCCGTGGAAGGTGTATTGGGTTCCACCGACACCGCTGCTGCCGCCACCGCCACCGCCGCTGCCGACGCCACCCTTGAGACCCTCTTCGCCGAATTTGTCGTAGACGTCGCGCTTCTTCGTGTCCGACAATACCTCGTAAGCCTCGGCTATCTCTTTGAACTTTTCTTCCGCTCCAGCCGCTCGGTTCTTGTCTGGATGGTATTTGAGCGCGAGCTTGCGGTAGGCCTTTTTGATTTCGTCGTCACTGGCACCCTTGGCAATGCCAAGAATCTTGTAGTAATCTTTACCCATTGTTTATTGCTTCGTTCGCTGCAACAGAAAACAAAACGCCGAGACAAGGCGAACGATTAGTTATCGTTGCTCAGGTGTGTGAGAAAATGAGCTATTGTTTAGATTACGCTCGTGTTGCGATCGTTAGTAAGATATAGTCATCGAACGCGGAAGTAAGTCACCGCTGCTGCATGAGCTTTGCATAAGAAAAAGTCGCGTTGAGTCAGTATCTAGTAAGACTGTAAGACAGTTACTGTTACGATATTTTTCGTACGTATGCCGTCGTAACAAAAAGGTACGCGTGCTAGGTAATTAGCAAATTAAGATAGAGAGAGAGAACGTAAATACACACGTCAGACAGTAGCGATTGATTCGCAATTGTATCGTAGGAGCGCGTGGCAGTGACGTACGCTAAGCGGGTATACATAGTTATTGTCGCGAGAATAAAATAGCAAGTTCTCGCTGTTCTACGCGATACAAGACAAAATAATATTTTGCAGCTCATAAACAACGCTTATGTATAAAGTGAGACGTATGGGCAAGAGTGTGATTTATACTGCGAATTGCGATCTATAAGAGACGACCTCGACATCTTCCCCCTCCTCCCTCGCCAGCTCGCTTTTCCCTCATGTTTGAGCTCGCGAGAGAAGCAAAGAGAACGAGAGGAGACACGCACGACACGAAGTGTAGTCATCGTCATATTTTTGCTCAATTTACAGATATTTTAGATTTCACGTAGTACACAAAATAATAATACACCCGTCGAGAGCGAGCGCGCCCAGTTGCTACATACTGTTTTGATTTTGCATACAAATATTATGACTTTCCGCGCGCGACGATGTTCCGAGGGCACTTTTCATGCTATGCGTGCGTATGCTGAATCGAAATTCTAAAATCGAAAGCTACGTGCAAAAGAGAATGAGCGAGAAAAAGCATACATAATTCATCGATCCGATCAGCTTTTCACTTTCAAATATGGTTAGCACATAATCTTGAGCTACTGCTAAAAAGCCTATAAAACTGCAGTATTACGTCGATGACAGAAATTAATCAGACACGAATGTACTTGGTGTAAAATACGAAAATTTAGGCTGAAAAGCTCGATATAATAGAGCATAGAGCAGCGATCGAGGTGTATTATTATAGAGAATCACGCGCGACTTTCTCGTTCATTCTAGCACTTGCGCGAACATTCGATAGGCATCCGAGCAAGAGAGACAGAGTTTGAAAGCTTGGACTCAGCAAGCAGCAGCGGCAGCAGCGTAGCGTTCAGCTCGGGTAACCAAGACGTTGATGTAGCGCATACCAGTCTCTCACAGGCGCTTATAATTTTTATATTCAATTTTATATAAACACACGGTAGCAGGCGGGATTTTACGAGGCCTAATAATAATATATAGGTGATGGAAAAAAGTATGTTGCAGAAAAAGAGAACAACGGTATGTGAGCTGACGGCAGCGAGTCTCTTCTCTCTCGCACACCCACGCGATTTATATATTTTCCTCGCTATTTCGGGAAATGATGACAAATGGACGAGAGCGGGACAGAGAGCTGATTGAAACACGTACAGACACACACAGCGACGTTTTGCGATTTCGTGAAGAAATCACTTGCGAAATAATCACACAATATTCGTTTAGATTAAAGAGACCAAGTCGTTGGGTCTGCTAGAGAAGAGACTCGTACCCATGTATGCAACGAGAAGTAATCAAGAACACTGCTCAAAAAACACTTACTTTTCTTTTGAAAAACTCAATGAAATGTGTTGTTGATCGTTATTCACAATGCAATTTTCACAACTGAACTTTGTTAAATCACTTGGTTTATGTTTGTCCTCTGAGTGAGAGGTATAGGATATATTCGTAACACTGTTACTAAACGTCTTTACTGATCAAAGTCTCGTATTATACTGAGAGCTCGGCTGGCGCGGCAGGCCCTCTATATACAAACAGCGAGTCTCGTGTATTCAGGAAGCTTCGAGAAGTGACGCGAACCGCGCCGTTCTAGATTTTTGAACGAAAATCTCGATTGTCCGATACAGTTACTTTCGATTCCAAGATGCATCCTGGAGCGAGGATGACTATTTCGATGCGCGCATAATTATTGTATAACTGGAACGCTTTGTGTATTGTTTTTGAACGCGAAAATTTTGATCGGTGAATAATATGCCACAATGGAGAGAACGAGATGGGTGGGGGTAGTACAGTGTACGCGATGAAAATTTGCACTCTGAAGTTTGCCGTTGTTGAACACCAAATGCCTGTCTGCCTCTCACAACAGAATAGCGTACATACATCCGTGTATGCTGCAGATAAGCACTATTGGGTGTATGCATACGCTTGTTCTAGAAGGATATAGCTTGATAATTACTTCATGTTAATTGCGGACGATTTCAAATTTCTTTCTTTCCAAAATTATCCCGCTTTGGTTGGATGAACTAACCTTCGAGAACGAGAGTACTAATTCGAGTACCCGCATCCATACCAATTTTTTCATGAAAAACGTCGTACAGCTTCGACGAGTCGATTCGACAGCTATTTTTAACAACTTTTATTTGCAACCGTGCAGCATTATGAAAGACCATGCTGTAAAAATAAGTAAGAGCTGAATTTCAAACCTGAATGTGCGCTGCACGTAAAAAATGCTTCATTGACAAGAACGGTTGTTATTGAGAACTGTAGTTCATTCTCCGCTTGTAAAGAAACTAATATTGTTATCTATTAAGTGATAAAATTTAGAAATTCATTATATGAGATTTCTTGATAAAGCGCGTCAATAGATGCAGTGTATACCATATGCATTTGGTTTTTTAAAAACATGTTACAGATTTTTGTTCATTTACATCAAGGGGCAATAAAAATACTCAATTGAAAAATAATAAGCATATATATTTTAAACAAAAAAACTAATCAAACAAATGAATTTCCCATGTATAAAAATTATGAAAGTATTGACTTATACATTAATTTTTTTATAAATTGAACCTTATTATCTAGATAGTCTCAAAAAAAGTGCATGTTTACTTTCTTTGGAAGATGGTGGAATATACTTTTCATAAAAATCTTGAACAAATTCTTCTTGTTTGAATCCAAATTTTTGATACAGTGTGACGGCAGGGTTTGATGCAGAAACATGTAGAGTTATGTCTTTTCCCATGCATGTTTGAATTAAATGATAAATCATAAATGTTCCAATGCCGGCATTTCGCCATTCAGGACGTACTAATAAAAAAGAAATATAGGCTTCATCAAAGCCTACATCTGGTACCATAATAGCAAATCCTATAACTAATTTTTTGTACAAAACAACACATGTGAAATCTGGATAGTTGAGACACTCTGTCACTGAAAAAAAAAACATTATTAAATTATATTTGTAACTAATAAATAAAGTTTTTTAAAGTTTTGCTATGCTTACAGTCAATCCCAGGCCAAAAAAATTGGCTGCAAAGACAATTGATGGCTGGTATGTGCTGTGGTCTAATGTAGGAATAATCTATAGGAGCAAAAGGCCTAGGTCTCCAACCTAATTTTTTTTTATTAACTTTAGCAATTAGTTCATCTGTGACTTTAAGCCATAATGGATGACTACTAGTGTCTCTTCTAATGTATGGTTGTAATAACCTGCTTGTATAAGTGCTATATACAGGTGTAGAAGACCCCGCACCTTGTAATCTTTGTTCAAAAAATATAGCATCATCCAATACAAATCGGTCTAAAACTGCATTGCCTTTTTTTCTAACTTGAAATTGTTTAGTATTCGGTATTTTTTCTCCAACATTATCAATATTCAGTATCGGTAATCCATATTGCCTTTTGACTCTACGAACCGCTAATTTTCTGTAAAGTCTTTTTATATCAGCAGGAGCAGATTTAAGTAAATGCTTGTACTGCTCAATTTTTTGAAGCACAAATTCTTCTTCTCTTATGTTCATCATGGGCTTCAAGTCATCTAAAAATTAAAAACCCATTTTAAAGATTTATTAAAATTTAGTAAAAAATTATGATTATTTACCTTTTTTAAAATTAAAAGATTCATCCCATGGCCATGGTCTTGATTTTTTAGGCTTGAATAATGAAGGTAGTGGTTTGGGTAATTTTTTCTCATTCTTACAAATTTTAATGGCTTCAGGAATTGTTTTCTCAATGCTCGAACATTCCATTGGCTCATTAAATTGTTCAATTTCACTAGTTTGTACATTTGAAAAATTCAAAAACGTTTTTTCATCCATTATATCTGATGATTCATCAATTATTTTCATATTTTCATAAGGAACATCTTTGGATTCTGATGCAGTGGACAAACACTGAGCTATAAAATCATCAGAAAAGAAATTTGATTCTGGAAAGGGTATTCCTTCCTTAGCGGGACTTAATTCCATGTTTAATGCAGGAAAATCGTCTATACTTGGTAGTTGAAAATCCATATCATATTTTAAAAAATCTTTAATATAAAATACAGAAAATTAAAAAGAAGTTAAAATATAATTATAGTAATATTTGATATCGTAATGATTATATACCATTTAAATCCTCAGAAATTTCCTCTTTCACAGTATTAATTAATTCATGATTGTATTGAAAATTCTTTTTTTGAAATACTTGTACATTATTCATAGGTCTCATGTTTTCCACGCCATTAAGATTAGAATTACTGTTAAAACCAAAGTTATTAATAATATTTGGTTCAGCTGGAACATCTTTGAGAACTTTACCCTTGGATATTTTTTGATTTTTTTTCTTCAATTCAACTTCCCTCTGATCTATAAAAATTGATTTTAAACTAAAAAAATGTTAATAAAGTATAAACTTAGTAGATTGATCTGAAAGTAGACTATAAACTTACTTCTAGCTATATAAACTTCAGGTGGATCATTTCCTATCAACTTCCAATAGCCTGGTGTTTCTAGCTCTTTGAAACCAGATTCAAAGTATATACCACTGTGATGTGACAAAATACCAGATATAGTACCAACCCATTGCTTTCTTTTCTTTCTGTATAAAAAAACCTGAATAGTTTAGTTTTACTTTTACATGCAAAATGTAAAGATTGTGAGAGACTTACACTGTACTAGGAAACAAAGAATCCCAATTATCCGATATAAACACTGCAATTTGAGTTTTCCAATGAAAATATCCTCTCCTACTAATACCAAGATGTTTCTCTTTCAAATGGTACATCGTTAAAATGATAACGTTGAGCCAAGACATTTTGTACCTGGTGAAAATTTGCTCCTTTTCGACGGAACAATTTTCACATTCAAAATTGAAAAATACATCGCCGGCAAAGAGGGTCGGTAGACCACCACGTTTTAAGCATGCAATGTGCATCGACTGTTCGCAATCCCCGATGCAACGCACACATGGACTATCGTAGGGATCACATCCTTCTTGACACTTTTTGCAAATTGTTTCGCCCATGTTTTTATTGTTTACATATATCAGACAGAGGTTATATACCTTTTGGCATTTGCATTATTGTCAAATACTTGAAGCATTTAAATCGATGGGACAAAATAGATAGATATTCCGCTAGTTGATATGTGACGATTTTACTTATTTTATTAATTCGATAATAAAAGAAAAACTTGCATTTGTATGAAATATGTGAGCCTCGGTGCACGAGGCTAAGCAGATATGTATACACGTGTAGCGTTATACCGCGTGCGAATAGCATATAGTGGCCGTCAATTGATAGTTTGCCCCTTGCACCGAGTTTTTTGTCTGCTCGCCATCAATATCACCGATTGACTTTGCGAATGACACATGTAATGAAGAAACGCAAGTGCTCGCTTTGTCAGGTTTTCACGATCATCATATCGACTTAAACTTTTAAAATGATTGTGTTTGAGAAAAATCGATCGTTTTAAAAATAATGAGTTTTATTGCGGTGCCATCGAGTCATTGAAAGCCAGTGCCAGCGTTATAGAGCAAACTTTAAAAATATCAATTTAAACAGCTTCATGTTAAAAAATGTTGGATTAAAAAGGATGTGCATTAAAGATCGGAATGAATTTAGAGATTTGGCGCATAACCTAGAGCAGATAAACAAACAAATCCACGCGAAGATCGAGGTCGTCAAGGGAATGCCAGCCAACAATATCGTCAGTCTTAGCGGCAGACTCGTCGCGTTGACGTAGTTTTGGGCGGCTCAGTAAGACTCGGCCTCGCTCGAATCGCTGAAAAGTCGCGAGGCGATAAAAGGAAAATGTCGAAATTACAAATGCGAGTGCTGTACGGGCTGCGAAGCGACGTGTCGGGAAACGCGCACTTCATCACCGACGACGAGGTGCTCTACGTCGTCGGCAACGGCCTAGCCCTGCACAATTTCACGCAGAATCGCCAGAGGCTCGTCCGGCTGCCCGACAGGAATCGCGTCAATCTGCTGGCCATCTCGCCGAACAAGTGAGCTATATTATAGAGAGAGAGGTAGAGGGTGTCAATTGTCGTCTTCAATTGTTTCGTTGATAATTAAATTACAGAAAGCTCGCGGCACTGTGCGAGAGCGGCGATCACCCGGTCATATCGATCTACGACCTGTCGACGCTCAAGCGAAAAAAGATCCTGGGCATACCGAACGACCCGAGCGGCTCGATCCGCGGCTTCGCCTGCGTGAGCTTCAGCTACGACAGCAAGTACCTGGCGGCCGTGACGAGCGAGAACCAGTCGATGCTGTTCTACAACTGGGAGAAGGGCAAGATCGAGTCGAGCATAGAGCTGAGCAACAGCCAGCTGCCCTCGTCGCGGGTCAGCTCGATCAACTGCAATCCGGCGGACACGGCGATAATCGCCCTGGGCGGGCCCTTCTGCTTCAAGTTCCTCACCCTGTCGGAGACGCTGTGGCGGCCCTACGGCTTCTCCAAGGCCGACAACCTGCACGTGACCTCGCTCACCTGGCTCAACTCGGACCGACTGCTGGCCGGCACCTTGGACGGCCGCATCCTCTACCTGGAGAACGGCGAGCTGCGCAACGTGTTCAAGGTGCACGAGACCGTCTACATGAACATGAAGGTGCGCGACGAGAACGCGGCCCAGGTCTCGAGCTCGGGCGGGCCGGCCGACCACAGCCAGGCGGTGCTCTGCCTGCTGACCTTCGTGCGCGGCTTCGCCTTCGCCCACGGCTACGGTCAGGTCGTCGTCTTCGAGAAGGACGGGCCGCACAAGTACACCAAGCGCAACCTCTACTCGGTGCCGCAGCAGGTCTCCAAGCTGGCCAGCGACGAGCTCTACAAGGTCAACTCGCTGTCGACCAACCCGAGCTGCGACAAGATCCTCGTGACGACCGGCTGGACGCAGCTGTTCTACGCCAAGCTCTGGGGCCCGGACATCCTGAGCGAGCCCGAGCCCAAGCCCGTGGCGACGATGGGCCACCAGCTGCACCACGGCCCCATCGGCGGCCTGTCCACCTGCACCTGGAAGTCGCACATCGTCACCTTCGGCACGGAGGACCGGAGCGTGCGCATGTGGGACTACGAGACGGGGGGCCTCGTCATGGCCAAGCAGTACCAGGAGGACATATCCTGCGTCGTGCTCCACCCCTCGGGCCTCTTCTGCCTCATAGGCTTCAGCGACAAGCTCAGGTTCATGAGCGTGCTCCTCGACGACTTTCAAGCCATTCGCCACTTTCCCATCCGGGCTTGCCGCATAGCCGCCTTCAGTACGGCTGGCCACCTCTTCTCGGCCGTCAACGGCAACATCATTCACATCTACTCGACCATCGACTTTAACCTTCGATTTTTGCTCAAAGGTACGCAACGTAAGCGTATATATAAGCTTGTGTTTAGCTACAGCCCCGCATTTGTATCGCGCGCAGGCCACACCGAGTTGATCAAGAACGTCGTCTGGGGCCCGGAGGACACGAAAATGTACAGCATCGGCTCGGAGGGTGCCATCTACGAGTGGAACACGATAACGGGCCAACGAGCCTCCGAAGTCGTTCTGAAGAACGTCACGCTCAACGGCATCGTACTGTCGGCCGACGGCGTCACGGCCTTTTGCATATCCGGCGACGGCCGCATACACGAGATACGCGACAGTATGGTAAGGTCGCAAGAAGCTCCCCGACTGCAGGATGATCGTCTGCGCGATCGTTTGATAAATGTTCAAAATCGTATCGCAGGTCGTGCGCATCTACCACTTCCGAAACATCGAACCAAGCCACATCGCTATGAGCAAAGACGACGCGCTCGTGTACGTGACGTACCCTGGCGGATTCGTGGCTTCGCTCGATTATCCACTGGTCGATCCGATCGAGCTGACCGAGTACCGCTTGCACGACGCGGATGTCTCGCAAGTGAGTGATCGCGAGCATCGGTGAGCCGAACAAAAGCACCTACACACGTATGCACTTGGGTAAACAAAAAAAAACAACAAAAAAAAATATATCCTGTTAGATGGCTTTGTCGTACGACGAGCACGCGCTCATCACGACCGGTCTCGACGGCACCATCAGCTTCTGGCGGGTGACCTACGCCTACGGGACCGCAACCACGTCGATCCGCGACATGCTCTACCTCGAGCAGATCCTCATCAGCCGCGAGGATCTGTCAGTCAAGGTGCAGACCATCAAGGACCTGTACTCGCGGGTCAAGGAGCAGGAGACCGAGCACGCCTACAAGTCGCGCCAGATGATGCTCCAGCACAACGACATGGTGCGCGAGATCCACAGCGGCTACTGCGAGGCCATCGAGGAGCTGCGCGACAAGATCGACAAGCTCGAGGAGGACCACGCCAACGAGATCAACAGCATCAACGTCGAGATCGCCAGCACGCGCAAGGCCCACGAGGAGGAGATCAGGAACATGGAGATCAGCTACGACGCCAAGCTCATAGTCGAGTACGACAAGTACGGAGCCTTCGAGAAGAAGAACAACGAGATGCGCAGGGACTTTGAGGGCAGGCTCAAGCAGCAGGCCGAAGAGTATCAAGCTAAATTGGGTGAGAGATAAATTGCTGATCTACCTTATACTCGCGCACGACTCTAATAATAATAAGAATGAGCGTTTGCAGAGGAGACGATCGCCAACTTCGAGGCGCGACTCGACGAAAAGGACCGGCAGCTGCGAGAGTCGCACGAGGAAAACGCCCAGAGCACCCACGTGCACGAGATAATCAAGAGCCAGATCGAGGAGGACGCCGATCGCGAGATCATCGAGCTGCGCGCCAGCTACGAGGCTCAGCTGCAGCAGGAGCGCGAGCAGGAGCTCAAGCTCAAGGGCGAGGCCGGCGTGCTGCGCCGCAAGTACGAGGACGCCCAGAAGGACCTGGCCGACTGCAAGTGGCACTGGCAGAATCTGCGCAACGACTACGCCGAGCTCAAGGCCCGCAAGGAGGAGCTCGACAAGGAGGTGTCCGAGCTCGAGGCCGAGGCCGTTCAGCGCGAGGCCACCATCGTCGCCCGGGGCGAGCGCATCCGCGACCTCGAGGCGGCCAACGACGAGCTCGACAAGATTCGCTTCGTTCTCAATCATCGCATAGGCGAGCTCAAGGCCCAGATAGAGCCCAGGGACGCTCTCATCGCCGAGCTCAAGGGCAAGGTCGCCGACATGGAGCTCGAGCTGCTCGGCATGAACCGAGCGAGCCAGCGCCAGGAGCTCAAAGTCTACGAGATGCGCGAGAAGCTGAGCTCGGCCAAGCGCGAGATTCAGCACGAGAAGCACAGGCGCAAGATGTGCCAAGAGAGGCTCAAGCGTATGAGGGTCGACCTGCTCGACGCTGCGGCCCTCATCAACGAGCCTACTGCGCTCAAGAATACCATTATCAAACTCTACCAACGCTACAGCGATCAAGCTCAGTTCTTGAGAGAACACCAGGCCGACGTCGATGTCCAGAGCGAGTTTGCCAAGCAACGAGATCATCTTGAAAATACGATAGCTCTGCTCAAGAAGCAGCTGAATCTCTGCAGCAGTGCGGTCGATCCTCAGGCTACTCGAGTCTTTGAGGACAATATGGAGCTGCTATCGGAAATGAGCGGCCTCAGGGACGAATTGAAGTCCGCTCAGAGGCACATCGCCGACATGGAGTGCTTGCTTGGCCTCAAAGGTCGGGATACGAGTCCTCTCGAGGCCAGAGCTAAGCTCGCCAAAGCCGTGCACGGCAATGAGGATCTCGAACGTACCTACAATGAGCAAATGCAAGAATGCAAACGAGTCGTCGAGGGTCTCAGAGTCAATCTTGAGCGTCTCATGTTGGAAAAAGATACAGACGAGTAAATGTTTTTTTTTTACATTTCTTTTTCCAACTCGAAAAATGTATCATTTTTTATTTTTTGACAAATAAAAAGGTTAACAAAAATATTTAATTATATGTAATATATATTATATATATGTATTAAATATGAATGTAACAAAATGCACTACACCAAGTTTTTTAACCAACTTAATTACAGTTTATATAAAGTCTCTCAAGAATTTTCATAGTCACTCGTGGAATGTTATACGATTCTTGTGTTATTCACAGCACAAAGGGAATTATTGCTTTGCGATTTCTAGGGTAGTCAGAAAATTCCTTTTTGTAAAGTTTATGTTTGCCTAAAGCCCAAACAGCCATTTGATAAGCGCCAGCAAATGCAAAGATACCAGCTGAAAATTAAATTTCAGTTTTAGCATAGTTGAAATAACAAAATAGGTATATTGCACAAGATTCTACTTGAAGGTCAACATTAATAAATTATAGATTGAATTACTTGAAATAAAATTTTCTTTTAAATTACCTGGAATACATTGAGTCATTACAGTGAAACCAATCCAACTTCCAATTTCATATGTATAGTTAGGGCAAGATACAAAGTTGAAAAGGTTTGTGAAAGGATTTCCAGTTGGTTTTGGTATTTTTCTGATAGTTGTGCCAGGTGGCCTCAGATTTCTCAAAGCCAGATGGATGCTCAAATTACCCAATTCGCATAAAAAGAATAGTGCAGCACCAGTAAAAAATGAGAGGCCATTGGCCGGTGTGTAAAGAGGATGATTTACATGGTATGCTACGTATCCAGTAAAAAGCCAGTAGTACGAGCAATTTTTGAAAAGATTTCTTAATGGCATAGTGGCATGGCTGAATCTGTGTACGAATAGTGTCTCCAGCAATCGCTTGATATAATGAAGAGACCAGCATGCAGCTGCCCAACTGAAAAATCATTAAGAATGTGTTTGTAGAAACTTCAAATTGTGACAGAATTTCAAATATGGTGGCCAAAATAAAATTTACTCACTGTACTGCAGGATGAATTTGAGCACCAATTGCATCTCCATATAATATCCATGGCCTTTGGTAGACCCACAAGTACACAGCAAGTGGTCCAGCATATTCAGCTAGAAAAACGGTTTTCCATCCAATTTGTGGTCCTAGATCCTTAAAGTAGAGTTTGGATCCATTTTTGAGTTGCAGTCCTTTAATTGTTTCTGAATCGCCAAGAGCTTTTCCTTTGGCTTCTGTGCGAAGACATTGTCTTCCAGGATAGGGGGCTTTTTTCTTACTGTGCAACTGTTTTTTTACATCTCCAATAGTACTTTTTTCTTCAACCTATTTTAATTGAAAACAACGAGAACATTAATAACATCACTCTCAACGCAGTCGGCAAAGCATTCCAGGTAATGACTTTTGTTGTGAAAGCGCATCTACGCTAATGACTGTTTATTAACAATTAACTCGACATTTGTGACAGAAAAGAAACTCGCAATCGACCGCACTTGTAACACCAGTACAATTCTTTATGAGCAGTATCAAAAAAACATTCATTCAACGGTGAAAATTCAAAATAGTTCTCTGGGCGAATAATGTTCAACATCTTGCAGAAAGATATGTAGGTACATGCATATTGAGGAATATAATTTTCCGCTTACTCACCGTCACTGAGGCGATAGGTTTACCGCTCGCTGACACAACCTCGATCTACAAATGCAATAATTAATATTGTACTTGGCTGTTGATATTTTATTAATATAAAATTAGCAACGTGAGAACAGACATACCTCCATCTGGGCAAGAGTATAAGCAATGATACACGTAGTTGACTATTTCAAGTGAATGAAATTATCTCCGGTGTTTATAGCGATAGGACCGAGCGACGTGAACGGCAACTCGCGAATGTGTATATGTATATGTGTGCGAAGCGTGCAATGTGTCTCAAGATAATGGTCGCGGCCGTTGGTGGCGTTCGTGCTCCCAGGTAAAAGACACATACACACTAGAAGAGAAAATTCAAATTATTTCCAACTTGGCAAACAACTCGAGGCTAGCTTACGCGTAGATAAATGCAGGTGGACTAGATAGCGTCGAGCTTTTTTTTTATGCGGAAAATTGGGCAATTACGTGCATAGTTGCACGGAAAAAAATCATGCGGTCATCGATCGATCAGCAATAATCATCGTATAAATGGACGATCAATCGAGAAAAAAATCACCAATAAATGGAATCGATTTGATCCAGCTTGCCTAGCTCATTTCTCTTTTTCACGCAATCTCGGATACATTAAAAAACATAATGTAACGGTAAGAAGCGCCAGCTCCGTTTTTCGAGCGGAGCGTGTATAATCTGGCTTCAATTATATTACCAGTCGACTCTGTCTTACTCGGCAAGTCGGCTAAGCGACACATTTCCGAGTTAGTCTCGAATTGGCTGCTTCGAAAAGCATCGATCTTTGACCCCACTCGACATTCAACATGTTTCGTACAGGCACGTTGTACAAAAACTGCATTGCGATGGTTATAGCAAAGGAATATGTATTTCCTTCATCGTTTGAAATTTATGCAGCTATTTATACATATAAAATAGTTCCATAAAATTCAAGGATGTCCAGTTTCTTCTATATTTTATGAAACACTAGAAGAATATTTAATGACTAATATGTACTTTTTTCTTTTAATTCAGAATTAAAATTCAAGCTTTTATACAGTGTACGGGACATCCACTCATACCTTTGTATAGTAGCTAGCTATAATAATGTATCATTGAATTTTTTGCTGTAACGGGAAATTGTAAATTTGGTGGATTTCAAGACTGATGAAAATTTGTCAAGCATACTTTAAAATTATGACAATTTTTTAGCATTTCATGTGTGCACCATACGAGGCTCTGGTTAGTTGATGAAAAAATGCGAAATCACTCAGCGTTCGACTTGAACAAACTTATTAATATTAATGAGCTTAGCTTGTAACTTTGCATTGTGATTTCATGTACATCAATCGAGTCTAAATAAAGCGGGCTTACATTTGAGAGTTATGTCAATTTTGAAGAGTTGTTACATCAAGAATAAAACATTTTTTATTTATGAAAAACATCCAAATTCCTCTTGCTTTGTGAATTTTCAAAAAAAATTTTCCGTCGGTAAAGAGTTCGTGCTGAAAGTATTGCTGAAATGCTGTAGGTGGAGCTAACTTACTATCTTGTATGAAACCAATAATTATAAAAGCTATACTAAATGAAACCAATAATTATGTCAGCAGCGCTATGGCAATGTATACCAAATATGATGCCAATAAAAACTTACTAAACAGAAACCAATAATTATAGTGTTCTGGCAATGTATCGATAAGATCAAGTCAAATAAATATTCATTACTACTACTACTACTACTACTACTACTACTACTACTACTACTACTACTACTACTACTACTACTACTACTACTACTACTACTACGAAACCAATAATTTTTCTGGCAATATAACATAGAGTTTTGCCAATCAAAATCTTATAAAATTGAAATTAACCAATAATTACATCGTTGTGGTAATGTATCAAAAACGTTAGGCCAATACAAATGACATTATATTACATTACAGTAACCAATAATCGGGATAATATAATTTTTGAAGATAATAAATTTTATCTTTGTAAATCTATAATGTACTTGACTTTTTTACACGTAACATGCATTGTATAAAGCTTGTACAGAATGTTTTTACTTTTTTTTTTGGTAGTTACAAGTATTCACATAAAAATATAAAATTCTAGTATTATATTTATTAAAATATTCACAGATATATTTCGTACATAACAATGATAGATTGACGTTTGATATCAAATTAAGTTTGGTATTTAAATGATTCCAGTAGATTTTCTGTATTGGCTAAAGTGATCCAAATACTGATGAATCGTATCCAGAGGTTGAAATAGCTCGTTTATTCGATTCTGTAAAAAAATAAAAATAAAAAAAAGGTAATTTGGTGCAATAGAAGAAGCTTGAAATTAAAATATAGTTTATACAGACCTGGAGATAGGTTGGAACTTGCACTGGCACGGAGGGTCCAAGAAATCCTTGTATGAATTCGCGCATCAGCTCCCAGCAATTGGCTGGCACCACGCAAGGCTTGTACTCCACCTGCAAGTCGATAACAGACGTTGTGATATGCACAAGTATGTTGACAAAGTCCAACTTTACAACACATTAGCTAGAGGGATCATTGAATGCCTCACGCACCCCATATTGTACACAGGAAAAGCTAGTTTTTAGACTCGAAACTCAAATTTCTCTTTTTATATTGAGCTAAAATAGAAGTCGCATCGCAGATCGTACCGAGAAAGAAGACTTAGCAAAGAAGGAAATTTGATATGTTTGCGTGTGTTTACGCGTCTCGTGCGGTTTTCGCTACTTTTTCCAGTTGACGCACAGTTATGTAGCAGATTTGTCCCTTTTGTTTGACCGACGCGCTTTTCGAATCTCACTTGGCGGTCCTCAATGGACAAAGACGCGAGGAAAGGTCAAAGTGCAACTTGAGTTTCAGAATAAGTTTCGTACGAAGAGACAAGTAATTGGAGCGTAAACGGCTGCTTTATTTACCTCGGAACATTGAAAATATTCTGTAATGCCGAAACTGGCGCAAAGTCACAATCTCGAAGACAACGATACCCCCGTAGGTTTTGTGTTAGGGTTAACGGTCGAGTAAGAATTTTTACCGCGAACGTGTATCGCGTCACTTCCATCAAAAGCTTTGTTACTGCTCGGCTCAATTTTGACGCTCTCGTGCAGCCTAGGAGATCTTTGCTTTGCATTATACGCAGACACAGATAGTCTGGAGAAAGTTGGTCATGCCTGCATACGGGGGTGCACTCGTGCAGCAAACATCAGGACACGATGCGCTCGTGCGTTATTTCGTGTAATTTCCGTCGTCTCGGTTCTCCCTCTCTTTCTCTCTCTCTCTCTCTCTCTATGCACGTATAGATGGAAACATATTGCAAAGCGTAGCATAAACACGGCCGAGTGCCTGCCTGCGTGAATAGTCGACGGCCCGAGCGAAGTGAGCACACCTGTGTTTATGCTTGCGAGATTAAAGTAATACGACGCATCTAATAAGCTTTACATATTCATTTGCCGTTGCGTAGCTTGCGTATAGCTCGGTTTTTATTTTTGCAGTTATGCAGCGCACAATGGCCAAGAGGCGTTATATTAAAAATATTTTGCGGTTTTATGGAAAAGAGAAATATATTTCGGTATTCGCGAGAAAAAGGACACGAGAAAGCTTAATCGCTGCTGCCTGCGCACAGTCTCGGAATAAAAAAGCGCCGAGAAATTCTTGAAAAAGTTTTTAATACCCGCGTAGACGCGCGCGCGCATATCGTCGGAGCGTGCACACATATATTTATATAAAAATGCAATTCAACAGCTCGGCTTAACAACAAAACTACTGGCATCCCTTACATACGTTATTCTAGCAGGAGCACATGCACCCCGCGTAGAGAAGAACTTGGTCACGTGGGAAAATGTACAGCCTCGCGAGCTCTTATATTTTTTTACGCCCGTGCGTGTAAGAGTGTGCGTTGAATACGCGACGACACAATAGCTGCACGCGTAATGCACGCGCGAGACTTTCAGTGCTCGGGGCACTTGGAAAGTTCGCGCCAGCTCCTCTGTACGCGCGCAATACATAAAATGCCTTGTACATATATGTAGTACGTACGTGTACGAGCTTGCGCGTGCTTTGTTCGCTTTCAAGATGCAGCGGCCGATGCATTTGACAAATTATTTACTCTACTTTTCCGATTGATTAATCTCGCGTGCTTCGTGTTGTTGTAGCAATTTTTACATTTGGAAAAAAGCCGGAGCTTTCGCTGCAATCTTCTACATGCGACGCTTTTTGCGCTTTTCACGAAGGGTGTTGACGTTGAATGAAAAAAAAATCGTGCAACCGAGCGCATACATCTTATTCTAGCCGAGTACTTTGTGACTTTCTGACATTGCGCACTTTTCCGTAGTACTTGACAAAAAAAAAGCCCTCGTGACAGCTCTGTTTATCTCTCGTCCACTGGTTTTGCGGTAAAAATTGTTCTCCTGCAGTTAAATGAATAAACGCAGAAATAAACCCACCTCGAGCAGTACCCCCTTGAAATTTTGCGCCATGGTGACAGTGCCGAGCTTGATGAGAAAATCTGCCATCTCGAAGCGCGGCCCCTTGGACTCGATCTTGGTCTGCTTCTTGTTCGTGTAGAGGGTCGGCATTTTCAGCATGAGCAGGTCGAAGAGGCTGTCGGCGATGAGCGGGACGGTCTTGGTGCCAGATTCTAGTATGGAGAAGACCGAGGCCGGCTGTTCTGAATTGTGCAGCACGTGAACGTTGCGAGGTGGACCTGTGCAACGAAGAAAAAAAAGTCACGTGATTAATCATCGAGGATGCAATATTCATACGCGTCTATAATCAGGGAGCGTGCAAAATACTCTCTCTTTCTCTCTTGCTCTCATTCTGCTGTAATATTGTGCAAATTGCGAGGCGAGCTTCTATGAATTGCCAAGTGGTGATAAATAACGCGCAATAATACGCGTGTCTCGGCTCATTTGCCGCCGCTACAGCGTACTGTACTGCAGCCCGGGACAAATCTGTACATATTGCTCGATCGACCTCGACTTTATCGTTCGTTCATTGTTGTGTGTGTGTGTGTGGCATTGTGGAGCTGGGCACCCGCACGCGAGAGAGCTACCAAACCCGTTTCTTATATTGTACGTCCCTTTCATTGTTAAGTACTGCACGCGTATACGTGCGAGCGGATCGGATTTATAAAAGTGATGATTTAAAGAGATACGCTACGCTAAAATATACAATCTTGTATTAATTGTTCCCTGCGCTCGCTCGGAAGGAGTGCGAAAGCTCCCCCTGGCGCTCAGAATTTCAGGACGAGTGAAAATTTATAGTACCTTTCGCGTGTGTAAAAATATACATCCATTAGAGCGAAACGTTTAATGCTACATTGTGCCATCCAAGTATATAATTATTTCGTTCTAGTTGCAAAAAATTACTCTACCATCTCTTGTGCAGTATATAAAGTGCAATTATCGTGTCAATTATTTTCCAAGACTGTCTAAGCCCTCGACTCGAAATTGTTGAAAAACGATTTTCTCCATTTCTCTTTTTCCTTATTTCAAAGGCTCTCGACAAGGATAGGATATTTCATTCTTTTGAACAACTTTATTATTCTCCAATTGTAAATCGTCGAAAATGACTTGTGCGCGCGACTCTTTCTTTTTAATGGAACGCTCAACGTTTAATTCTCTTTCGCTCTCTCTTCCTCTTTCTCTAGATAGGATTCTTAATTTTTCCAAACGAGCTCTTTGCTCTGGCTCGGTAATTGATTAATAAGCACATAAATGTCCACAACATTCCCTACTCCGCTCGATCAACTGAGCAACCTCACCGTCGTCAAAATCGTGCAATTCAATGAGCTGCGAATGCAATGCCAATAAATAATGCGCCCGAGGTCGTAGGTGAGGGAGCCTTAACCACCAAAATTCAAATTATGCCCGGAGAAAATTACGGCGATTTTGTTTTAAAAATATGTATGAAAAAAACGAGCGAGAATAAATGAAAAAAAAGCTGGCGAATCGAAAATATTAGGAAAAAAGGTGGAATCGATGCGAAATCCTGAGCATGTACAATCTCGAGAGCAAAACATATTTCACGCTAGCGAACGTCGAAAATAGAATTTATCCCTGGTGTGGAACATCGTACATGTATATGGAACACTAAATTCACACATATGTGTATGTGTGTGTGTGTGTGTGTGTGTGTGTGTGTGTGTGTGTGTGTGTGTGTGTGTGTGTGTGTGTGTACGCACGCACCCACACACGCCGAGCTTTTGCTTTTCGGCTGGTCGCGTGTCTGCACCTTCGACATGCGCTCAACTCTGTGCATGTGTCCATACGTGTATATGAGTATATGTACGTGTGACGCAGTGCGGAATCGCGCGCAGATCCTAAACACAACGACAAGGCAGAGCACGCAAGCCTGTATGCGTATAGGAGGATTATTCCTGCGCAAGCACATTCATTGCGTCGAAACTCTCTGTCTCTTTCTGTTCATCTAAAGTGACATTATTTAGGTCTTTTTAAATTTTTTTGATTTTCAAAAATGTTCAATTTGTTTTTTCGTAATTAATATAGCAAGGCTCATAGTTGCCAATAATGCATTTATTATACCGAACCATATGAAGCACGTTATAATTAAGAAACGCTATGATGCTCGAAAACAAAAGTTTCTTTAACGTATAACTCGTAAATGTGCAAGCTTATCGTTAATCACATAGAATGTATATAATACTACTTGAGTAAAATCTCCCAACGGGCTGAAGCGCAAATTTAATTAAAAAAAATGTTTTCAACAGAGGGATTGAAATTATATTTATCTCCTATTTGAAACTGTGTGCTGTGATAACGTGCATGTACGTGAGAAACTAAAATATTAATCAAGTCGAATTTATTGAAACTGAACGTATCCGAAGAATTCAAAGAAAAAGTATCAAGGCATCGAGCATTGCGAGTAGTCAATTGATTCTGGAGGCAATTTTATCAAAATTAAAAAGAGATGTGTATAAGCTTTAATGAACAAAACAATAATTTAAATGTCAATAAAATATTGCATGGTGTGAAATAAACGCCAAAGTAATTCTTTTTATTTTATTTAAATTAATAATAATTTGAAAGAGCCGCATTAATCAACGATGTTTTTTAATCAAAACAATATGGGGAGATTTTGTTACGCTTTCTTCGTTTCTCTATTCATCTAAATTACTATTGCCAAAAGTGCAACTTTCAATTGTTTGTAACCATTGCCCGCGAGTGCGTTTGATATTTGTTACTGCTTTGATAAAAATTTGAGCAGCTGTTGACCAACAAAGTCTCCACGCAAGTTCACGTAAAAACGTTGACTTTTTTTCCATTCTAGTAATTTTCCTCGTGTGTAGCTTTATAGACATTTGTTTTTCGACAAAAAGGGTGAGCGAGGAAGTTTGAATAAACTCTCTCAAGCGCTGCAAGTACATTATATTTTCGTCGAGGAGTCGTCAAAGTCTGCGCGCACACACACTCGATTGTACGTTTGGAGCGAACCAGCAAAACTTCATATCCGATTGATTCACTCCCCTCTTTGTAAATAAAACGCAATGCTAGACTTCTTGATTGAAATTGATTGGAATTAGCCCTTCGCTCTGTGTGTATGAGTATATGTCTGCTTATTAAGAAGGATAGATGCCCCTAGGGAGGACGCTATTGGCTACCCATCAGGAAAAAGCATTTGATAGATTTTAAAATCAACAATTCGAAATGAGTTCCGAAACAATTGTCAAAGCGAAAAATACCGTACAACACAGGTGATATAGAGTTCAATAAAAAATCACAATTTGTTTGTTTTCATTGTCGACTCTTGAATACAAGCACAGTCTCAAAGCTCACCCTGGAAAAGCAAAACAACATTCTTGATTCTCCTCGAAATTGCACAAAGCTGTATACTTGAAAAAAGAAAAAAAACAGTGAGAAAATCGAAATTTGAAAAAATTGCTGATCCCCAACCCTTTCCACTGCTTCCTTCCTAGGTCCAAGCTGGGAAAATAGGGATAATGGTATTGTGGTATTAGTAGTGGTAGTAGTAGTAGTAGTAGGAGTAGTAGTAGTAGTAGCAGTAGTAGTAGTAGCTGCAAGCTGCAGTAGTAACAGCAGCAGTAGCGTCACGCTTTAACCCTCCAAAGTCCGGAGAGAAAGAGGGGAGAGAGAGAGCGAGTATGCGCGCGCGAAAAGCTGAGGGGGATGCTTAGTATCGGAGAGTCGGAGTGTTGCCAGTTGCCTGCGATTCGGCACTCGCGCAACTTTTCTTCCTGACCGTCGTCGTCAGCGGCGCACCGGAACAATTTTTTATTTCGCTTTTTTCTTTCCGTACAAAAGCCAAAGTACGGTGTGACTTGGTGCGGCACGATGGTTCGTTTTTTCGCAATGTTTTTTTTTCGTTTGTATGTATGAAATGTGCGCGATCGATGGTTCATTGTGTAGCAAAGTGATGAAAAATATCCCCGCTTGTTTTTCCTTCACTCATGAAATGTGACGCCAGTTCGACAATGTGCAACGCAAAATTTTAGTGTAGGTCACTGCACTAAAATGCCAAGTACCAGGTCAATAATTTTCATGTCCACTTATTTGCTTTGATTAGTTCTCTGTGGAAATAAAGAGACTTAGTGAGAGAGAGAGACCGCTGAACTTTTGACAATAATGCCAAATGTCACGTTTAAATTAGATCAAACTTTTTGCAATGTGATCGAAGCTCGGATAATCGCGCACGTTATCGTTAGTAAACTTTGAAATCTAAAAACTCATCGTCGGCGTCGGCAGCGGCGGCGGCGGCGGCGGCGGCGACGACGACGACGAGGGAGATGATAATATAATAACGAGTGAAACGTGACATTACATACCACGAAGACTTAATTTATCGTTATAACTTCATTAGCCTTAATTTTACGGTTGACCGAATTCCAAAGTAAAGTAAAGTAAAAAAGAAAAACGAAGAGAGAGGAAGAGAGAGAGAGAGAGAGAGAGAGAGAGAGAGAGAGAGAGAGAGAAAGAGAGGTACGAGCAAGCTTGCAAGCTCAGCAATAGCAGAAGTAGAAGCTGCAAAATCGGCGCGCACTAGCAACACGCGCAGCTCTTTAAAAAAATTACGTAACGGCATAAATCACGGTCCCCTCTCGTTTATTTACGAAAACGTCTAGCTGTCATTGCATTGAATAATTGCCAGGCATTAATATATAAAGCTGCAAGCTCGAGCTTTATTAAAAATTAATCTTTCGATCGAGGTATTGTATGGCAAAAGCGGAAACGAGCCTCCGTGCACAGAATCTCCCTTACGGACACACTGACACAGAAAGAAAGGGGGAGAGAGAGAGAGTGAGAGAGAGAGAGAGAGGCGCGCGGTTGACCTGGTAAACGCTTGCGCACGCCTGCCTGCCTCTTTCGCATTACATGCGGCTTCGAAGCTTCTTCTGCTACTGCTGCTAAAGTAACACATACACCAAAGCGCGGCGGACACAATCGATGATCACTTAGCCTGTGAGAATATTTATTGCACGTGAACAGTCGTAAGAGTCTATTTTTCCATCTAGCGAGCCGATAAATTTCTGCACTAGCATGTCTTGGGCCATGCATCAAATAGCTATTAGATGTATAAAATGATATTTTGTTGACGCGCTCTCTGACGGCCGGAATATTAAAAGAGACGATTAATGGCCAAGGGAAAAAGGCAACGCTTTGCGCTGCGACCGCTTGTATTTATCTAGCTGGGCACGCGAAAATGAAGCTACCTCTTATTCATTAGTGCTCATTTTTCTTCTCGAGCGCGCGAGCTACGTCTTAGGCAATGAAGATAAAGAGCCTAGACCGACTCGTTAAAGGTGAAAAATAACTTTTACAACCGACTACGTAGCTTTCACGCATATACACAAGTAGTGTTTATGCACGATGCTTTACAATTTCGAAAAATTTATACTTTCAAGATTACGAGCGCGAAAAAGGCCGACCGATTGATCAAGCGTCACGGCGTATTAAGCACAGTTAAAGATCCCTCTAAAAATTTATACATTTTTCTGTGTAAGCAGCAGCAGCAGCAGCAGCAGCAGCAGCAGTAGCAGCAGCAGTGAGTGTATCGATCATCAAATATACGTTCACTCCCGCATCGAGGCACGCGTGTATATCTATATTTGTGACAAACTGACGGCAATGGATATTCGATAAGACTCGAGTCTCGTTACTCCGAAATGACATTCGGAAAAAAGCGATCGCGAAAGAGACATCGCTGCTCGATACATACATAGATATATCTCAATCCTATATGCGTATACAACTTCATTATATGAAAAAAAAACGAACGAGAGGAAGGAAAATTGAAAAAAAGCTGTAACACACGGCGTGACACTGACGAATGAAGCTTATCTTGTCTGCGCCGATCTATACACATACGTATAAGCGTGTGTTGGTATAATTGTTCACTTTGCGGACGATAAATCGAGCGCCATGCGCATTTCCCGAGTCGGGCGACCTGCAAAAATGTCCCTTATATAATTCCGTGCGTGCGTGTCTAGACGAACTTTGACCCGAGCTTTCGCTTTTTGAAGAAATCATCGTAGCTTTACGGCAATTGGCCTCGTCGTCCTGCAAACCTGCAATTACAATGGATTTCTCCAGCTGTCATTATTTCGCGTTTGGGTCACTTTTGTGCTATAGAAAATGATATAAACGTAATTCGCTAGCCAAGCTTGCAAAACAAACTCTATACAAAAAAACCAGAATTAACGTTTAATTCACGCTACAGACAGTGACAAAGACAATGGTTTGTTCTATGTATGCGCACGTACACACCTAGACATGAAAACATTGCATGCACGAGCGTATCCCTCGTAAATCGCGAAAACCAAGCAAAATTTAGATGCAAGTGTTCTGCTTATGAAACTTGCACGCGAGCGTCAACGTTTACGTTTGCGAAAGAGAAAGAGAGAGAGAGAAATACACATACGTAGATACACGCGCAAAAACATTTACAAACACGTGGAAGAGTGTAAATATATGAATGTTGTAAAGGGATATTTTCATTCTTGAGAAGTACCAGAGAAACAAAATTCAAATTTTTAATGATCGTTTTTAGGATAAAAAAGTTGCGCTCGCTCGGACGGACGGACGCTCGGTTTTTACGGGTTTACCCCTGACACCAAACGCGAATATAGATGTTTCACATCAAAATTTCGATCTTATTATCGGATGAAATTGCATTAAATCAAAGAACAACTATTACAGTAAAAATACTGAAGGTTAGATAGATTCGTTTCCCGATAATCGCTTTGGAAATATGTATACCAAATTATTTTATCCTAGCGTACGGAAAGTCGATGTTAAGATTTTTTTCTCATACTGTACAAAGTGTTATTTTCCACACGCAATAATAAAATTTTTTTTCAGGCCTCCGAGTATGAAATAGTATATTAAGCTAGACAACGAAAAAATAAAAATTTTTCTTTTTCGGGGTCTAAAATAGTTATTTAGCTTGGCTTCGATGTTTTCTTTATACCATTCCGTACACATAATTTTTATGGTAAAGTTTTTACAATTGAATCATATTATCTTGTATAAATTTAAAAAATGTGAACCTCTTCTAGATCTTTTTATTCTCATACAATTAATAGATATTACTTTTTTTGAGTTTGCAATAAAAACGTGCAACTAATTATGGAAACTTTTCAAATTTTTAAATTTACTAAACACGCTTACTACGCAGAGAACAAAAATCTTCTCATATCCAATCGAAGCAAAGGTAAAACTTTTTTCTCAGTTTTCCAAATGAAAGAAGCAGAGCGAAAAAAATTTATAACTGAAATGGAAATGATACAAAACATTATTTTCTCAATTTCTCAGTTAGTTTCTCCGAGGAAAACTTTACGAAATAGCAATAATAATAACTACGATAATGAAAAAAAAAACGAATTTCCTGTGCAATTCTGTGCCATTACAAAGCGCATTCTTGGTTGTCGTTTTTGAGAGAGACAGATACAGAGCGAGAGAGAACAAGAGAGAGAGAGAGAAAACAAAATAACAAAGTATAATATAAAAAGTTTTTTCACACAGGAGACTCATGGCCATGAAAGAGATAGCTGATTCAATTATAAAAAAAGTCCCTGGACGAGCGCGAGAGTGAATAAAAACTTGACTTTTCGGGGCAAAAGCTCGGGTCAAAAGCTTGCGGGTTTTTCTATAACTATACATGTATGTATAAATGAGTAAGAGGGAGAGAGGGAGAGAGAGAGCTTTGCGGTATATGAGTGTCGAACGCGCTCTAAAAGATGTCGAGGCAACTAGCTTTTGAAAAGCACATCTACACATATATGCATACTTTGCTGCAGCCATCTTACGAATATGGAATATATTTTATACCCGCACGTAGATGTATAAGCAAGTTCGAAGAAATAAGTACGAAGATGTGTTATATATATATTTTTCAGTATGTACATTATACATGACTGGTGTTTGTCAGCTCTTAAATACACGTTCAGTTGGTAAATGTTAGGCAGCTGTAGGATATTTGCCGGGCCCATGATGTACATTGTAAAATAGGGGGGAAAATTAATTCTCTTGAAAAAGTAAAAAATTGGGAAAAAATTGCTGAATCAAAATTCGAGTTAAAATACGCGCGTACTCGCGAGTTTTGTGTGGTTGGTGTAAATCATGGTTAATTAAGGGTCAGGTCGATAGACGGGCTATGTTTGCTCTCTCGTGCGCGCGCGACGTGTGCGTGAGTTATAGGCTTGTGTGCCAAGTACAAGCGTGACCTGGACTCTCTCATCTCTCTCCTCTCGCTCTCTCTCCTCTCCGTACAACTATACGTACGTACATACATGCACGTGTATGCGCGCCTACGTATATGCATATCGAGTATCGACTGGTGCACGCGTACAATCGTCATCGTAGATACGTGCCAACTTCCGGAGCTGTGCGACGCTGCTGTTCGCAGCCAGGAAACAATGCCTCGGAGACATCGTTATCGTCGCGCATACGTGTAACAGCCTGTAATTGCTCGACACGTTGCGAGCTTGCCGATGAGAAATTACGTAAATTCAGCAGCGCTGCCTGACACGGCCGTGCGCGCCACATAAAAAAAGTGCGCCAGCTCGATTTTCGCAGCTCCCAGCTGCTGTACGCTCGGGGGGCTAAATCCGTTTTCCATCTCCGTCGCTTACAGCGAGGTTAAAAGTCAGGAGCTGCTGCTGCTGCTGCTGCTGCGCTTGGCCTCGGCACGTATATCGCCGAAGCTGGCAAAAAACAGCCAAGACTTTTTGTCTCTCTTTCTCGAGCTCGCGTATACTTACACCTACCGCATCCATATGCGCGCAAGCTTGCAAAAGATGGCTCTTGAACTTTTATAGTGAGCCAGTCAATTCGTATTTCTTATGCAGACGCGACGTTTTTTTCTTGTTTTTCATCCGATAATATTAAGTGGCAGTTCAGTTCAATGTATGTTTCTTATTTCTAAAAGTTCCAAATTACTCTGTACGTAAATGTATTCACAAGTGGAAAATAAATAAGACGAAAACAGAGAAAAACAGAAAAATTACCAAGAGAAGAAGACAATCTTTATTTCAAGACTCGATTCGGGACTAAGTGATTTTCGACTCAAGCAACTACTTGGCTGCAGGCTCGTTATTGCGTGCACTTTTAGTGCACCGAGGCGTTTGACCTGGTAAAAGCACGTCTCACTAAGAGAGACGATGTACTATATAAATATACATAAGCATACTTTTTTCTCAGCCTCGGGCTTTATAATATTTTCCTTGTGTCACGCGACACTTTGATGATAGTCCAGTGCTAGCGACACTGTGTATAGTCGAAAAGGGTCGGCAAGGATGGGCGAAAAAATGATTCTCAACCCAGCCGCTTATTTTCTGTAGCAGTAACTTGCCAAGTAACAACATCCTCGCTTGCGTCACAGTATTATCTTTACCGGTGCAGGCGATTGCTTTTGTTTCGTTAAATTGTTTTTAGGCATGTAATTTCGTACCAAAGTTCGATAAAGCTCTAGGTAGTGCGCATCGATCCTGAGCTTTACTTTCAAAATCTATAGCAAGTTTCTCTCTCTCTCTCTCTCTCTCTCTCTCTCTATTAGTTTGAGCTTTTTTCGACCAAAAACATTTGTTGTACTTTATTCTGCAGTCTCTGCAATATGTATACATACACGACTTTAATGCTCATGATGTAAATTTTGTTCAATTATACAGGCTTTTGGAGAAACGAGTAAAAGAAACAACGGGGCAGGGAGGAAAATAAGTGATATAACGACAATAAGCTCATTCACTAGAATATTATACAGGCCAAGATCGTGCGAGGCAAGAGAACTTTTGAGTGAACAATGACGTCTTCTCGCATCTGGCGAGGTGATATTCAACGCCGAGCGCATTACTACTACGACTACTACTACTACTTCTACTACTACTAGCACCATTACTAGCACTACTATATCTGCATAGAAAAGCGGCAGGCTAAGCAAAATCGGCCGCCTCTCTGCGAGCGAAACTTGTGCGAACTTTAGCTCGCTCGGCATCAGGAAATTCTCCCGGCCGCCACTGCCGCCGATGCCACCACCACTGCCTCGCTCTATCCTTCCAATGATCCATATTTCCTTGGCGTGCGTGTAAACTTTAGTTTGCCACTACATATATATACGAGCGCTGCAGTAGAATAAAAAACAAACGTAACGAGGCATAATGACAATAAAGGCAATGAAAAGGATAAAAGCGATAAAGGCGATATTGCGAGTACAAGAAGAACGACGAAACAATTAAAAATGACGAGGATCCAGCTGCGATCAGGAGCACGCTCGACCATCCTGGCGAATAGTCCTCCGTGGCAGTGAAAGAAAAAAAACCGCCCGACAATACTCGTATAGACAGCAGAAGAGAGAAGGAAACATGTCAGTGGAAGTAGCGTTTTAAAAGACCCAAGAAGAGACCAAGACAGAGGAAATACAGCAGCGGAGCGCCTTATGCTCGGCTGCCGTTAGCGCTACCGGCGAGGCTGTGTGAAGGAGACATGTCACTGCAGCACAGATATTACGTGAGTTTTCGCTTCCTATCTCTACTTCTATTGCCGCTGAAAACCCACACCGCTATTGATTTTAAGCCCCCGAGCGTGTACACGACTTTTTGCTCCCGCAAACGCTTATCTTGATCTTGTTACTTTTTTTTCCGTGGTCAGCCAGCATCTCACTCGAGATTGTTTCTGCGCTTAATTTTCCGCGTAACTATCTTAGCATCATATATGGGAGTATAGTTACTCAGCTCGTTGAAAATTGTTACTGCTGATGATATAAAAGCGCCTTCGCTACGCGTTATACGACGAGCGAATCCAGCATGAGTTATTTATTGAAATTTTCGCCGATTTGATCTCAACGATAATAGTCGCCGCTGCCGCTTTTTTCATTTCGAGCTTTCGACCTACGTTCATGCACCTATTCGAGTTTATTACGCGTGAATGGGCAATAAGAGATTGAACTTTTTTTCTACAATTAAAGTCTGTTTTTTTTTTTTTTTATAAATTAAACGAGGGAATGGTAAAAATATGACGATCATAAAGGCGGCCAAAAAGAACATGAAAAATACATAAATATAAAAATTGATGAGTTACAAGTGCGGAAATGACGTATATATAATAAATAAAGGGTAGCAACTTGCAAGAGTACCGATTTTCTATATCAACCAAAAAGAAGCGAAGTTTGTTTATAATTGACGGTTGCTCTCTCGCTTTGTAATCAGAGAGCAAGATGGCTCAAAAATGTGTACATAGTATATTTTTTCAATTACACGACACTCGAAGCAGTATGATTCGAAAAAATAATTATGGACCTTTAAGTTAATCGAATTATTTTTATTATTGCTCTACTTGCATGTCTCTCTTAAATTCAGAGCCTCTCTTAAATTGCTCAATCTTGATGAAGATGAGTAGGAGAAAATCGTATGAGGGTGAAAATTAAAATATTCGAAAATACTTTTTGATATTGGTTTCAATGATAAAAAAAACTACGCGAAAGAAGTAAAAAAAGAAAGAAGCTCACATAGTTTTCTTGGGGAAAAATTGTGGAAAAATGTTGAAAAAGGTTTTTGTTGAAATTTTAGCAAGTCTTGGATATTTGCTTAATGATATTTTGTCAGAAGCAACGAAGCGTAAGGTTGAAAAAAAATCGAAGACACGAAGAATCGCTGGTCGTGTGCGATGTAGCCCGTTTAAGATTCATGATCGTGGCGCGTGCGGTCTATGTAGCTGCAAGCAACAGAAGCTGCGAGCTGCGACGAACTCGTGCTGCTCACAGCTATATAAGAGATAAGGTCGAAGCTCGGCGCGGCGCTGCAGAGCCAAGCACGCAGTAAAAGCCCGGTTATGTGCGCGCAATATCGACCGAGGTAGGCTGCAGTCGTGCAGCTGGAGGAGCCTCGAGGTAGTGGCGCTCCTGCAGGGACTAAGGGAGCCCTACCAACGAAACTAGGCTCTTGGCTCAACGCGTCCGACGGAGCAAATATGCTTATTTAAAGATTGCCTAATGACGAGCAGTGGATTAAAGCTGTCGATAGGTATACTGTGACACGGCGCAGTTGGCTACTAATACGAGGTGTCCGGCCGCTAGTCGCGCGCAAGCCGTTAGACGAGAACAATCGGCGCCGAGCGAGCCAATGCGACTACACGATTATCCGTTATAGGCGAGCGCGCTAATGCCGATTCAAAGCCATATAAAGAGGCATGCGCAGGGCTCGTAGTAGCTCAAGCTAGCTCTAGCAGAGACGTAGAGCTAGCTTTTGTGCGTGCTCGTCGGCCAACTGGAGCTAGCTCGCCAGTCTGAAGGGGATCGAAGCTATCAAAACTATTCAGACGAGTGCAATTTGTCAGCGTATAATCACACTAAGCACTTTGTCGAGGCAAGTAAGCTCGCTGGCTGCTGCTAGCCTCGCACCTTCGCGTCTTGCTGCCAGCGAGCATCGTCCTACATCTATCGATTAGCTGCGGCTGGGCTCGCGGCGCCGCACTTGTACACGAGCGTTGCGATCATTGCTCACCAGATTAACGCCTCACTCCCCCCGCAGAATTGTGCAGTCTGCCTTTTATTTTTTGTCCAGGCTCTTTCGCTCTCGTGCGTGAGTTGCCGCCGGTTGATGGCCCCTACTCACCTACAGTCTATATAATCTAGGTCAACTGGAAGACAACTGCTACGGACTGCTGCCACTCTGTGTCACTCGCTGTTTTTTTGCTTTTTTGCTTTTTCGCTTTTTTGCTTTCTCCTCTCCATCGTCGTCGTCGTCATCGTCGTCGTCGTCGTCGTCGTCGTCGTTGCTGTTGTTGTTATTGTAAGCATCACGCGCGAGTTACTGCTTCAGCTGAAAGCTCGAGCAATGCGTAACAGCCCCTGCAACGTTTTGAAAGAGAGCGGCACATTACGCATAATTCGACGATTTTGTACGAGCTTTTTTCTTTTCGCACACCGAGTCAATGTGTATTCATCTTGGCTGTGTGTGGGTATGTGCTGTATAGCGTACGCGAGCGAGTTCGTCGCTCTTTCATCCCGAGGCTCGTCAAAAGCTTCGCCCTCCGCAGCAGTGGTTGTGAACAGGCCAAGTACTGTTTTTGAAGCACGTCACTGTAGCATAGAGCCGCAAGCTCAGAGAGCAGCGTCCCAAAATCTTCGATCGATGCTGCGATACTTCAGAGGCTCACACTTTGATGAAAAAAAAAGGGGGGAATTTTCGGTCGAAACAACGTTTGGTATGCGTGTCTTCTCGTTGTAAGTTGGAGGCACGTGCGTGGCCGATATGCGCCAACAAGTTCATTAATAAAGCCATCAATCGCTGCGTGCAGTTGCATCAATCAAAGCTTGTTCAAATACATGCGCGCTACGTATGCTCGGACATGCATCGCCCTTCTATACGTGCGCACGTCAGCTGCCTGTATGCAAGTTTACCTATATGCATGACGAGATTATGCAATATGTATACGGCGCTGGCTGTAGTTGCAGAGTTGCACGAGTTACCCTTATCAATCCCCCGTTTATATATGCGCCGCGCTTGAGCTATGCTGTCGTCCCAAGTAGATTTCCATCCTGCCCCCAAGAATACGCATATTATATATATATACATGCACGTGTACTATCTTTGGGCCGGTCATCGAACCCTCCAACAAGGAGTATATCTATCTAATATATATATAGTCAGTTTGCAGGAACATGTACAATGTAGGGGTTTGTATGCGGGTTGCTTTTGCTGCAATCCCTACTTGCCGATTATTACTCGGCTGCTTTTGAATTTCCTTTGACTTGCGATTGAATTTTCTTTAAGGTATTTTCATTTAACTTTGGACATTGTTGGACGTTCGTCTTTCATACTTGATTAATTTTCCTAGGTGAATTATGTATTTTATCCCGAGCCTAGCTTTTCCATCGCGCTTCCGCGCTGGATGCTCCTTAATTATTATTCTTTTTCTTTCTCTCTTTCTCATTTCCTCTCACTCTCTGCTTTTCCAAAATTTTACTAAAATATTATACTGGCCGGTGTAAAATTAGTCTCTCCAATTGTTCCATTCTTTTGTCTCAATACACGCTACACACATACGCTCAGTCGCTGGAGAAGGCGATAAACTATTTTCATTGAGCAGCGGCTGTGCGCGCGCTTGCTGCACAAAAATATATTATATATATGGGCTGCTCTCTCTCTCTCTCTCTCTCCGTACTACCACTTGCTCTATCTATCTCTTTCTCTTTCTACTGCCAAAACCCGCGACCCAGATACCGATCGACCCGGTGACACCCTGTGCATGTGCCTATGTGTGCGCCGAGAGGGTTGGTACTATGTGCTCTGCTCTACTGCTTGCCCCGCCAAAAGAGAGAGAGAGAGACTCAACTGCGGTGTATACGTATGTACTCGAATTGTCCTCATCCCTACCTCGCGTTTTGCTACACTGACCTTTCTCCTCTGTGCTCGGAGAATTTGCTTTGATTTAAGGGCTCAAAGGGGGCTTAAATCGAAAAAATTTTCATTTAATTTTTCAAAATGATTCTCCTTCCCTTTTACATTGCATTTTTTAAAACTCCAAAATATGAAATCCACTCTGAGATATGGCCATTTCCGTAAGCCTTTTTTGTAACATCACCTATCATTTAAAGCTTACCAATAAATTAAAGTTTATGTTTAAATTAATATTAAATGATATATATTTAAGTAGTTGTATTTAGTTCAGTAGATAAAAGCAAAGTATTTAAATGAATAAAATAAATGTCGAAATATGATATTCATTTAATCAAGGAATCGTGGTGATTTTATATGTCATCATAGAAAAATAAGCTGATTGGGCAGATTTATTATTAAAAAACTGTCTACTTGAATCAATATAATCATTTGCCTTATAAACTACTACTTTTATAAAAATTTTATAAATAATTGCAGGAATATATTAGACAAATTATTTTCTATGTTTGATTCAGTGATGTTGAAAAAAACACTCAAGTATCCGGTAAATGATAACTTTCAATGACAGATGAAATACAATCCAGTATTTTAAAGCATCATTTTATTTTTTAAGTTTCTTCAAAAATTTAATACTATTTTTTAAGGTACAGCTAGTCTTGCATTTCTCCTGTTGTAATATTCAGATCGAACCATTTCAACTCAGGTGGACCATCTGAGGTACTTTTCCATAGGTTACCTTGTACAATGTACACGCACACACATAATATCATCCAAGTTAATCAGACTCAAATAAAAGTATTGAACTTTTTGATAAATGCAAAATAAAAAGGGATTAATTGTTCTTCAAAAAATTAATTAACTTTTTTTTTAGATGCTACACTTGAAGCTGTTAACACAATTTTCATCTAGTTTTAACGAAATCATAGGTGCAGGATTCTTATTTTGACTTATTAATTGAAATTACCGAGCCACATCAAGCACACGATTCAAGAAATCGTAGAAACGAATTCGTTATTGATGATTCAATGAGTCTTTGTACATCCAAGCACGCGATGATGTGCATGTAGCATAAATGTATTAAAATGTCGTCAAGGATTAAATTTCATTTTT